GCTGATACTTTTTAATAATAATTTCCTGTTTTCTTTTCCAATAAATAGAGCTTACAAGTTTCAATTCTTCTAATTTTCTTTATCAGATATATTTCATAATCATCTTCTCATCTTTTTTAATTTACTTTCTGTCACGGACAAAAGGGACAGAACAGAACAGGAAGACTACTTGGTGACACAGGGGTGGGGGATTTGTTAGAATAAAATATATTTATTTAATAAGAGAGGGAGGGGGTCAGGATTACGATCCAGAATTTTGTTTTTCTAATAAATAAGTAGCATCTATTTATACTATTTCTTATACATGGGAAAAACTACGATGGATTTAAATTATAGATTAACAAGGAATTTTACGAAACATGTATCATGAGTAGATTATTGACAAGAGTGAGTAATTAAGATTTGACGCTAGTAACATGCTGGATTTAGTTGACATTGAATAATATGATGGTTCGGGGAATATTTATGGTTTGACACGGGCAGGAAAACTGGACTAGGAATAAAAGCAATAGATGATAGGGAAAAGGTTTACTAAAGTTGAGTCAGACAGGAAGCGGGAATAATATTAAGAAACAGATTGACAATATGTTTTACAAGGAGTTTGGTGGCGGACAAGATATACTGATATGATTTTTGCTACAAGGTTTTACCCGGTTACTGACTAGACGTCACAAAAGCAGATGAAGATATTTGATACTATTTATGAAACAAACCCATCAAGCGCATTCCTTTATATAAAATGTTTATCTTTGGTGTCACTATCTTCAATGTATTTTCGAATGGTATTGTGATCATATGTGGCTACCTTTTTTATGACTATGCGTCGTAAGTAAATAAATAACTGTGGCCATTATTCTCTATACTTCCAAAACGGTCATCATTATTCTCATTAGACAAAGACGTGAGAGCAACTTAGGGAATAGCCGATCTCAATAAATGTAGAGAAATCAAACATTGGAAATCGTTTGATAGTAAATTGCAGTTGACATGTTTTTAATTCAAATTGATGAAATTTTACCTATCGATTTTGGTTGGACTATACATTGGCTTATTTAATCAGAGCTTTGTGAGAGTACAAGTACACATATTTATTCTGGAGAATGGCCGACCATGTATAGTGTCTTAGATCATGCATCGTGGTCTAGATGACTTTTATATTGCCCCACTTGTTTAGTCTATATTCATTCTGCTGATAAATGTCTAGTTGCCTGACAATTTTTTTTGACAGCCGCGCAATTAAAAAAAAGATATTGATAAGCAGGTGTCACAATCTGAATTTTTGAAGTCTGTGAAGCATTAGTAAAAAATCAATAACGTCCACATCCCCAAAGTAAAGCATTTTTATTCTTTCCAATACGACATCGAAATATCCTCAATGTCAAAAAAACACTAACAGGTCTATCATAATACCAGCATCAGCATACTGTTTCCAGATTTCAGTACAATGTACAAATAAGGTGTTGCAAACTCAGGAAGATAATCATCCATTACCATGACATAGGGCACCCATACAGTGTCTATATATACAGGCAGGTGCCTGGTATTGTTTAAGCCAAAAAACAAAAAGAGTCAATTTACGTCGTGAATGTGGGATTTATTCTATTCACATTAATAAACTACAATGCTTATCAATGTCCTGTAGAGTCATAAATCTGAATTTCTTTAAACAAATATACTTTATTTGATAAATCGGTATTCTATAGCTCTTAACTTGCACACTCTCAACATTCATTAGCTAATGCAAGCCTATTAACTCTTCCCAAGAGCATTTAAAACCCGCTTCATGCATTGGCTTCAGGTAATCTTTAACCAGTATAATACATTTTATCTCTGATTTTATTATTAAATTAGTTTTCGTTCTCATTAAAGTGTTAAAACCAAAAAAATGGGCATTTTCTAAAAAATGTGCAAAAAAACGTTATGGGGCCGCAACCTTAATCGAGGTTTTGACCAGCGTTCGGTGGTAAAAGTGACCTAGTGCGAACAAACACCAAACCTAGAACCTTGAATAAAAAAAAACAAGAAGAAAGTGCCCTCTTTTTATACTTTTTGTGTAATCAAAAAATGAGAACTTCTTTTACCTTCCATAATTTTTTTTGCGGCGCAATGATTGCGCGCTTGCTGCACAATGCCACCGTCATACACCTAATAAGTCTCTAGAACGTAATACAGACCTAACTATTTACAGTAAAATTCACTTTATTTAGAGCATGTAAACTCATGGCATGATTAAGGTCTTCTTGTAAACGATATTTGCGTTTAAACGCTTTCTATGTTACTACATGTCCAACGAACGAATTGGAAATCCTCGCAAAATATTTTTGACTGTTTCTACATTGACCTTAAAGGCCAATATATTCCATCTCTGCATAGCTAATTAAAGGAAAAAGACTCGTATAAAAAGAGCACTTTATGATGTATTTCCGTATTAATATTCTACATGTTCCAATAGAAAGACGGCTTATATTCCTCTCTTTGTCTCCTGCAAATTAAACGATCTAATTAATAAGACACTTTTGACAATGTTGATTTCCACGTAATATAGTACACTTAATAGTGTGCATTGGGTGGTAGTCGCTTAAAAATACAAGCACACAAGATGAGAAGTTTTAGCTTGTGTGCTGTATATACTCTTGTCAAAGTTCATTCTCTTTTTTTTTCGGCAACGATGTCTAGGGTTATAGATCTGTTTGCATATTTTTTATCTTTAAAATTGCGCCAGTCAGCGACTTATGACATAATTATTATAGGGACACAATTATGCTTAGACTATGTGGTAAAAAAAAATTATGGAACTACGTTATTTGCAAAGATTGCTTGTATGCAAACGATGTGCTACTAGGACTGACTGCACTAACTTAAATATATTCTATTACTATGGTCGTGCTACCCACTGAGAAAAAGGAAATGAAATGATATGCTCTTTTTTTTTTATCTTTTTATTATACATAGTACTACACTTTCTTCTTGTTATATTTCAGCAAATAAATGATGCTTCAAATCCAGTAAATAATTATGATCTCAAAGCGATACGTATACTACTGATATTGAGTGGTCACGAAAATAAAATAGGTACATATCAATATGAAGAGAAATATTATTTCCAGGTAATGGGGTTGATTTAAGTTTTTAACGGGTGATATGTATATAAAAAGCGATCTTTATTTTATTTTTTACATTGTTTATTTTGGTTATTCTGTTAAAGTTACTTTAACAAACTTGATTTTCTTATCCTTTCTTTTCGGATATATGTGTTATCCTTTGAATAATATGTAAAATTCTCAACCAATCCGGGTGTATATCATGATATTCTCTTCTTTGTATGTCGAACAACTGAGCGTTAAAAGTTTGCTCTTGCATCGGATATGAATTTTTCATGTAATAGATAAAATAATGATATGAAGATTTACTCGATTTTCAAAGGCCGTGTTCCTGTTGACGATATCATAGATATGGTAATAAAGTTGATTATCACATCATCTTACGGACCGATAGTAATATAATAGTTTATCATAAATGACGCATTACCTCGTTTGTTCACATTATACTGTTGAAGTCTGTTCACAGGGCACGACCCTGTAACGAGTAAAAATTTATTTTGCGAAAAGTAATACAATTGGACAAGCATGGACTACAGAATATTAATAGATCCCGAGCATTATGATCACTCTTGTCATTTCATGTTTTTATAATCTTTAATCCCTGTGGCCGATTTTTTATTCACATAGTATTGAAGGGCTAAGTTAAATAATTTGGTTATTACATCATGGTCCAATAATGCGATGAAAAGTCCTAATTTTTTGCCCACTTTGTATATAATCTTAACGTTCAACCATTTACTTCTGTTCCCAGTTTTTAAGAATTCCTTCTATCCCAAGGACACACAAATCACCAAGGCTTTATTTATTCGCCTGATCCGATCATTTGGGCGAATTTTTTAGTAAGTGTCTACCCATTTACTCAAAAAAAACATCAAATTGGGTAAATTTACTCATTTACTCGTATGGGCGGATTTACAATAAGTGCTTGCCCATTTACTCAAAAAAAAAAAAAAAAAAAAAAAAAAAAAAAAAAAAAAAAAAAAAGGATTAAATGCATTAAGGTGGTGCTTATTTTAAAAGTAGCTCTCTCTTTCGGCCTTCAACCAAATGAAAAACTTTCATTTATACATATTTAATCATTAAATACGTTTATTCGTTAAACAAAATTGGTTTGCAGTTTTAAAAGTTGATTATTTATTTCATTAAAAAGAATGAAAGTAAGATTTATCTATATCTTGATACTTGAAGACAGATTGCTATGTAGAAAGACAACTACTTAAATGAGCTAAAAAGTAAAGAGTATATGGCATAACATGCAGGCATTGATTATTTTGTTTATGAAGCAACAAAGAATCTAAAAACGAGGGGGGATAACCAGAGTTTTCTAAATAAAATATTAGGTTAGTTTTGATGAGAAGACTCAGAATTGATACCTACCCAGTAACAATTTCTATAGTCGCCACAACAGGCAAGAACAGGAAACGTAAGTCTGAAGAGATGATTAGAGAAAAGAAGAGCCATAAACGAAAAACACTTAGTTATAACACCAGTGTAGTAAAATGCATGTACGGCATGTATACACCTGTCTGTGCTGATTTAAAAGAGATTTAAGTAAAGAGAGGGACGTCAGAGATGAAACGATGAATTTTCCAGAGTATAATTGCGAAAGAAGTAAGCTCAGACGTTTAGTTGGTTACATGGTTCCTAGAAACAAGAGCGAATAAAGTTTAGTTTTTAACAAAAACTGATTTATTAATGTAAAAAAATAAAAAGGAAAAAAGGAAACTGACTCTTTTCTCCACACTGTTTTGGGCTTTGTCCAAAAGGTAAGCATTTTATGATTTTACATCAAATAATTCCGACGTGTAACGCGTGTCACATAAATTGATTTCAACCAGGTATAAAAACCGCGTTGTCGCGTATCAAACTTTTTTCGACAATTTTTCTTTTTTTTTTTTTAACAAATGAGTGGTACACAGACAAATAATGAAATAACACTATCTTCACAACCCTTCGAACCTGGATCAAACATGAAGAGAAGGAAGACGGGGCACGGTAAAAACCAAGTGGCCACTAGTTTCGAAGAAGAATTAAAGACTTTGAATGCTGACATGGACATCGACATACAAAGTGAGTTTATACAAGATCCTACAACAGATATATGCTAACCTTATACCAAGTTGAAAATACACAAGCAATTTGGAGTCGGCAAGCACCCCCCAAACTTGATCCCTCTAAAGACAATGTTGGTAAGTCATACACTCCCTTATTCTCTCCTTCTTTTTTTTTCTATCTAGCAGCTGCCAAACCAACATGGGGCTAACTAAATACTATAGTTTTCCAACAAATTGAAATTGACGAATACATGGATTATAATATCAATCAACCTGTTGTCAGGTTCTATGGTATTACTACTGTAAGTTAAATAACTGATAAATGTATCAAAATCGGTTAACCAACGTATAACATCAGGGCGGAAACAGTGTTGTCTGTCACGTCAAAGACTTTCTGCCATATTTTTATTTTCCTGCGCCTGTAGGCTTTCAACTTACCCATCTTGAACCATTTAAGAAAGCTTTGGAGGCAAGTGCTTATACCATGGAATTATTAACCCTTAGTGTATTAACGAATGAAAAAAAAAAATAGTCCTCGTTGGGCCAATTGAACATCATTAATAAGGTAGAAATGGTTATGAAACAAAGTATCTATGGATATCATGGTGACCAGAAATCACCTTACATTCGTATTACGTTGCAAAATCCCAGAGATATGTCAAAGTGCAGAATGAAAGTTGAAACTGGTGTGCGTGTACCAGGGTTGAATAATATCTGTCAGTCCGACACGACATTTGAAAGCAACCTTGCCTATATCCTTCGTTTTATGATTGATTGCAAAGTACCAGGTTCAAACTGGATTGAGCTACCTGCCAAAACTTGGTCCTTTGTAAACAACGGATCTTCTTTAGCTCAAATTGAAGTGGAAACAAGGTATAGATAAGTATATTTTATGGAAGATCACTAAAACTAACTCCAATGTGTAGATTTGACAAGTTTATTAGTCATCTTCCAGAAGGTGTGTGGTCTGATATGGCTCCTTTGAGAATCTTGAGTTTCGATATCGAATGTGCTGGTCGAAAAGGTATTTTCCCTGAACCCAATGTTGATCCCGTCATTCAAATTGCCTCTGTGGTTAAAGTACAAGGTAAGAGAGAATATGATGAATGTAGAAGTCGTAACAAATATACTTACGCAGCATATCGAACTAGGTCAAAAGAAACCATTTGTCAGAAACGTATTTACGCTTGATACTTGTGCTCATATCGTTGGCTCCCAAGTCTTATCCTTCACCAATGAATCAGATCTCTTGCAAAAGTGGAGTGATTTCGTCAGAGAAATCGATCCCGATGTAATTATTGGTTACAATACTACCAACTTCGATTTTCCTTACTTACTTGACCGTGCAAAACATTTGGGAGTCGCAAAATTTCCGTTTCTTGGAAGAATCAAAGGTAATGCGTGCTTTGTATGAGTGATAGGAATTTAATTATTAATCATCTATCTGTAGGTATAAGAACAGAGGCTAAAGATACGAAATTCACCTCTAAAGCATTTGGTACTCGTGAAAACAAGTCTGTGAATTTGGAGGGTCGCCTTCAACTGGATCTCCTTACTGCTATTCAACGTGATTACAAACTTCGATCATATACCCTTAACTCAGTTTCAGCAGAATTCTTGGGCGAGCAAAAGGAAGATGTACATCATTCAATTATTACAGAATTGCAAAATGGAAATGAAGAAACACGTAGACGTCTTGCCGTATATTGTCTTAAAGATGCATTTTTACCCCTGCGCTTAATGGATAAACTTATGCTACTGTTTAATTATACAGAAATGGCGAGAGTAACTGGTGTTCCCTTTAATTATATTTTGGTACGTGGCCAACAGATCAAGGTCGTTTCTCAATTATATCGTCGAGCTCTTGAACAAGATTTGGTTATTCCTGTTATCAAATCTGAAGTAAATGAAGAACCTTATGAAGGTGCTACCGTTATTGAACCTGAAAGAGGTTACTATGATGTGCCTATTTCAACACTTGATTTCACTTCACTTTACCCTTCTATTATGCAAGCCCATAATTTATGTTACACGACACTCCTAAAACCCGAGATTATCCAGAAATTAAATTTGGTCAAGGACGTAGACTACGAAATTACACCCAACAACGACATGTTTGTAAAATCTACTCGCCGTAAGGGTTTATTGCCTGAAATTTTAGGTGATCTCCTGGCTGCTCGTAAAAGAGCAAAGAATGATTTAAAAAAGGAAACAGATCCTTTCAAACGAGCTGTTTTGGATGGTCGTCAGTTGGCTCTAAAAATCAGTGCAAACTCTGTGTATGGTTTTACAGGTGCTACTGTTGGTAAATTGCCGTGCTTACAAATTTCTTCCAGCGTTACAGCGTATGGTCGTGGTATGATTTTCACGACAAAGGAAACAATCGAGGACCATTTTACTATCAAGAATGGCTATAAACATGACGCCAAGGTTATTTATGGTGATACTGATTCTGTTATGGTTAAGTTTGGCGTTGATAATTTAAAAGAAGCAATGGCCCTTGGTCAAGAAGGTGCCAAATTGGTTACTGAAAAGTTTATTCGCCCTATCAATCTTGATTTCGAAAAAGTATACTTCCCATATTTATTGATTAACAAGAAGAGATACGCCGGTCTTTATTGGACTCGAGAAGACAAATATGATAAGCTAGATACAAAGGGTATTGAGGTAACTGGACACTTATAACTAGCAAATAAGTAGATAAAAGTACTAAATTGAGTAGACTGTGCGACGTGACAATTGCCGTCTTGTTCAAAATGTCATCTCTAAATGCTTAGACAAGCTCTTAGTTGAGCGTGATGTTGCTGGTGCTCAAGTATTTGTCAAGCAAACCATTTCTGATTTGCTCCAAAATAAAGTCGATCTCTCGCAACTCGTTATTACTAAGGCTTTGAGTAAGTCCGATTACGCTAATAAGCAGGCACACGTAGAACTAGCCGAAAGAATGAAAAAGCGTGATGCAGGTTCTGCTCCAGCACTTGGTGATCGTGTGGCATATGTTATTATTAAGGCAGGTAACAATACCCCAGCATATGATAGATCTGAAGATCCCTTGTATGTTTTGGACAATAATATCCCAATCGATACGAAATACTACCTCGAGAACCAGTTATCGAAACCTCTTTTACGTATCTTTGAGCCAATTCTAGGTGAAGGAGCAGAAGGGTTATGTAAGTGTGTAGTTTTTTATTGATGGGGATCCAAATGACTGATAAAGCTTCTATAAATAGTAAGTGGTGCTCATACACGAACAGTAAATATTGCAACTCCTACCATTGGTGGTCTTATGAAATTTGCTGTAAAAACAGCTACGTGTCTTGGTTGCAAAGCACCTTTGCCTAGAGGTGACGAATCTGCTGCTTGTAAGCAATGCTCTGATCGCTTACCCGAACTTTATCAACACCAAGTCGAAAATGTAAACAATCTTCAAATCAAGTTCAGTAGGCTTTGGACTCAATGTCAACGTTGTCAAGAGTCTTTACATCAAGATGTTATCTGCTCAAATAACGATTGCACCATTTTTTACATGCGTAAAAAAGCTCAGAAGGATTTGGATGACGCCTCCGGACGCTTGGATAGGTTCGATTACGAATGGTAATCTGTCCACATTGTATAATTTCATTTTTAAAATACTCGTTCATCCAGTTTTTTTTTTTTTTCTTTTTTCTTGTATCAACACCACCTATCTATATATTATATTGCATATGATCTTTGCGTCATGTAAATCTACTTTTTAATAAAAACCTGATCATTTTCGCTGACTCTTGCTATAAGTTTATATCGTGGTGACATTTAACTCATACAGAAAAACGTGTCCTATAAAGAACGATGTAGTGCTTGATGACATTTCTGGAAGCACATACGATTAAATCAAGAAGATTCTTATGATCGTTTTCTGTTATTTGAAAATGATAAACAGGCTGACCCATTAAGAGCATATATTAAGGTTTTACGGTCGCATTGTTTTATTTTTCTTTCAAAAGTATAGCTATTTTAGTAATACGCGCCATTCGTTAACGTTAGCTTAACATAGGCAAGTGAGGCGAAGATTAGCACGTATTCTTTATGATCCAAGGACATATATATAGTTAGATATTACCTATTTACTTAACTATTAAATAAAAGTGAGGACTATGCCACAAGAACAGCCTAGTTTCCTGACTCATTAACATTCCTTTTAATTTTTAAAGAATAACCATTAGTAAGTGATTATCCTTATTTCAATAAAAGCATAATATTTTATGTATCATCATACACGCTCTATAATTTTTTTTTAAAAAAAAATAGAATAAACTGAAATCCAAATGAGTTTTAGCCTTCTATCGATACATCGAATTTAAGGTTGAGTCAAAAATTAAGAAGATACTGCTCTTTGCTTCACCTGCTCAATGTGTATACAATTCTGCTGATTTTAACCAATTAATTACAGCTTTTTTAAAATCTGAGCCAGCACTTTGAATCAGGTCAAGATGATACCGACAAAGTTCTCATCTTCTAGGATTATTGATTGTTGTGACTTTGATTTGGTCCGATTATTGTGAGTCTCGATTGGCTTGTTCTTTGCATGACAAGCGCGTTTTGACGCGATATTTCCCGGAGTCTCAAGAAGTACTAAAAAGTGTTGATGGGACTGGCTGTGGAAGGATCTCAGAAAAGCGTTCATATGCTATTGCCTAAACAAAAGTCGCTAATATTTTTTGCCTTGTTGTACTTTCTTCGTCTCGAAGAGTTTCGTTAGCAACTGTTTTTTATTCTTATTTCAGGTGTGATGCAGTCAGTTGATTGAGGACCTAGAATCTTCATTAAATAAACAAAGTCAATTAAAACCTCAGGCTCATGATTAAGGTATTATTTGACTGAAAATCGGCCACTAGAATGCCTTTTTTTTTTTGGCAGCATTTATGGCATCAACGCGCTTGGGTTAAAAAAGAGTGGTTAAATAAAATTGGAAAAGGTTGACGTTCACGTTGGAAATAGAAATGATTCGACCTTTATTCCCGAAACACGCCTAATGTCATTGCTTTCATTAAGTCAGTCTGTAAAAGTACTTAAAGAGGTATGAATACAAATGTCAAAAAATCGTAAAGCAGCCTTTCATGAACTCATTGAAAAATACGGAACTTAAATTTGCGTCACTTTTTTTTTTTTTTTTTTTTTTTTTGATAAATATCACTTTTTTTTTTTTCTTTATACTCTTCATTCTTTCTTCAATCAAAACTTTGAAGTTTTCAACCCCAAAAGTTGTTCTCCAGAGGTTATGGAATTCGCAATTGGTCTTTGTAAATTCAATTAATTTCTTTGGTGTCAACACTTATTCCAAATTACGCCTCTTTTTTTTTTTAACACAACTTTTCCAGTGAAATTTAACAAAAAAAAAAAAAGAAATCAACCATGTCAAAGTTAAAATTAAAATATCCAGAAACCCAGCATTACTCAACAACAGATGACGATCTCGATACAGACGACCAAAGTGATATTATACGTTGCGTCTGTCACAACACTACAGACGATGGGTTTACAATTCAGTGCGAGAGCTGTGACACCTGGCAACATGCGAAATGTGTTAATATAAAGAAGAAAGCGATACCAGAGCATTATATTTGTGAGCGCTGTAAGAAAAAGAAGAAAAAGAAACCGATCCGCCGCAGAAGTTCTTCAGAGACCGAAGATATACGAGGTAACTTTTTTTTAAATGAAAGTATTAAACAAAACTTGAGGATTTACGAGCTAGGTTTAGATAGGAAAAAGAAGCTAGTTAAACGTGTGGATAGTGGAAGTGACGAGGATAAAAGAAAAGCATCCTTTATACCAATATCCAAAAGTGTGATGAAAGAAAAGCTAGTGGAGGACTTGTTTTTAGAAGTGCATCGACAATGGATTGAACTAAACTGGCCTAAAGCTGCTAGTGGGAGTAAAAGGCATGCTAGCTCGTCAATCAGTCCAAACAAATGTCTTGATTCCATCATCGTAATGGAATCCAACTTACTACTACCTGCTATTCCTAAGGCCTCAGTAAAGCCCATCAGAAAATCGTTACGTGGTTCATTTTCATTTCACAGTCAAAACGATCCATCTATTCCAAAAGGTATATTTGCAGACATTCACATACCCAAAAGCAGATATTTGATGGAAGTCACTGGTGAGGCACTACGTAAATCAGAATACAAGGCTGATACCAGAAATAAATTCAATCTACTTGGTGCCCCACTTCCTCGTGTCTTTTTCTATCCTTCGCTGGATATCTGTATCGACTCGAGGTACACCGGAAACGAAACAAGGTTTATTCGTAGATCGTGTTGTCCAAACTCAGAACTCAAGAGTATCATCTTACCGAATGATAACGAAGATCATACAATACATATGGGGATATATACAAAAGATGAAGTGGATAAAGGGGAAGAGATTACGATTGGTTGGAACTGGCATCGAGGTCAACTTATGTGGAAAAAGAACAAAGAGTTTAAGGACGGACATGTTGCAGATATTATGAATGATTCCGAAAAAGAATTGATAAGGGAAACATTGGATCTCATAGACTCAGAATTCGGTAAATGTGCCTGTGAAGATGAAGAGGATTGCCTGCTTGAATATCTAAAGGAAGAACTCGAGAGGAAAAACACTGTAAAGAAAACGAAGCAAAAAATTCCCAAACCACGTAAATCAGCTTCTGCGTACACCAATATATTCACCTCAGATGAAGAGGACGAAATTAAGCCTGCGATATCTGAAAAAAAGCGTGTCCAATTTGTTGATAAATCTGCAAAAGCTAGTATACCTACATCACCAGCTATTTCCGTCGACATTGATGTTACCACAATGAGCCCAACTCCCAACCCCAGCGAAAATGAGTTGGATCTAACTTCAGGATCAAAACGAACTCGGCCAACATCGGCTACAATAAAGTTACCTTGCAAAAAGAGATGGTTATTCAAATATATTTCTCAGCAGCAAAGTTTGGAAGCATCACCACCTAAATTAAAAACACCAATAATATACGAAAGGGCTGATGCAAGTGATGGAGCAAGTTCAGAATCAACCCTACCGCTCGATAATACCCATCAAATTAATAAAGAACATGAAGCAATCAATAGTCCAGCAGCACCAGAACCAATTGCGAATGTTACAAATACTCAGACTAGCGATAGCGAAAACCCCCCGAGTAAGGACGATATGGCTAAATCTATCGAACATGTATACCAGGAAATGTCGTCTGTTTCTCAGCCATCAGTTGATATCGATAACATCGGGTCTGAACAATCTTTACCTACGGTGAAGAATGAAGCTGTCAGTCATAAACCTACCGTGGTTGATGAAGTTCCAGTCGCTGAAACATTAACTGGTCCTGAACAAAAATGCAAGGAAAATGCTGCGCCTAAAGTAAAGCTTTCAATTCAAGAGTATTTGAAAAGGCAACGAGGAAACTTACCTACACCAGATGAAAACAATAACTAATGTGTGAGTGTGTCGGAGGGTTGTATATAAGAAAAAAAATAAAGTATCCTTTTTTTAGCTATTCTAATCGTTGAGTTAAAACTATTATCTTTGTTGTATATCACTAATTGGTGTAAACTTAAGAAATCAAACTTATCAAACTACTGATTAAAGCATAATTTTTTATCAAAAGTCAAAAGGAGAAAAAGAAAATCAAGTCTTTAATCACTTATTTACACACGATGCCTGGATTTATTATTTAAGAACGATAATCACCATTGATAGTAACATATTCATGGGTCAAATCACAAGTCCAGAATTTAGTTTCACTTTCACCTAATCCAAGGTCAACTTCAATAATTAAGTCTTCCATTTCTAAAATTTCGGAAGCTCTGTCTTCATCCACCTTTTCAGGCTCGCCCTTCACCATAAGATTTAATCTGTTACTGCCATCGGTAGGAACAAATGTGACACTGACTTTGGTGGGGTCAATATCGATACCACTATGGCCAAGACTAGCGCAGATTCTACCCCAGTTTGCATCTTTACCGTATAAAGCGGTCTTTACCAACATGGAGGTAGAGATATGAGATGCGGCTTTTTTGGCACTTTCAAATGTCTCACCACCCTGAACAGGAAATAAAAAAATTAACATCCTGGGATCACTATTTTTGTGTATATACCTCATACCTTGATATGGAGTGTAACAAATTTGGTGGCACCTTCACCATCTCTAACCACTAATTGAGCAAGTTCAACAGCAAAGGCGGTCAAACGATCTCTAAATTCTTCATAATCACTACCTTCTGTCTCAATTCTAACATCGCTTCCTCCGTTGGCTAAAACAGAAATTGTGTCATTGGTGCTCATATCACCATCAATACTGATTGAGTTGAAACTACGATCGACAGCATAGGTCAAAGCCTTTTGAAGTAATTCAGGCTTAACGTAGGCGTCTGTAACCATGAAACCTAACAGAGTAGCCATGTTGGGATGGATCATACCTGCACCCTTTGCAATACCTGCCATTCTGAACTTGCTACCTTGCAATCCAAATTCTCCTGAACGCAATTTAGGGAAAGTATCTGTGGTCATATAAGCTTCGGCAGCATTCATCCAGCCACCATCATGTTCAGCAGACAAACACTTGTATGCTTCACGAATACCGGACTCGATCTTATCCATTGGCAAGTTTTGACCAATAACACCGGTTGACATCGTTAAAGAACTGAGGGGATGTTGAACTAACTCATCCATGACAGAACGCATTTTTTTAGCATCTGTCAGGCCTTGAGCGCCAGTAACAGCATTGGCGCAACCGGAGTTGGTGACAACCGCGTACAAAGCTTCCTTGTTTTGAGCTAAGGTTTCTTTACTGACAATGACAGGTGCAGCTTGAAACTTGTTAGTGGTAAAGACGGCGGCGCCAGAGCATGGTAACTCGGACACGACAAGTGCAATATCTTTGTTCTTGTTCTTTTTGATAAGTGCAGCGACACCACTAGCACGGAATCCTTTAGGATAGATACCAGAATGGGAAATCAATGCTTGCTTACCAGCAGAAAGATGTTCATAGGTGGAGTACAAACGACGTCCTTGAATACGGATCGTATTGTTTAAACGGAACATGTTAAATACAAATAAGAGAAAAGAAAAGAAAGATTGTAAAGAAAAAAACGATAAAGACAGGATCTGTCCAGGATATTTATCCCGCACTTAAAAGTCCGTATTTGAACAACCCTATACATAACCATGAGTCATCGGTTAAACAAACACAAGCCATAAGAAATTTTAATTGGATTAAAATTCCGGTATTTCTGACGAAGTAGTCTCAAGCTAAAGGCTTTATTTTAAACGCTTTGCAAAGCATATCGCCTCACTCAAGCCTCTGAAACTCTGTATAATGTTCTAGGACGAAATATGCATGTAACTTGTGTTGTTAGCCTTGTAGGCCATGTTCTAGTCAAACATTGCCTCAGCTTAGCTATGAACTGGAGTCTCGGTAGGTACTAAACTATACTAATCTAAACTTTCCACTAATAATTTTATGTTATGCAGCAGCTGATTTTGATAATCCATTTAAAACAAAAGCTGTTTCATTACTAATAATCACGAAACGTCAAAATGAGTAAAATATACAATGGCGGTTCGTGTTTTGGCTAGAAATAAGACACTTCCCGGGTAAACATGTCTTACTGCTTTCAAGCCTTTTGCCTTCCCAAAATTAACATATTATCCAAGATTATGCTGTTATGATTTAAAGCTCCAAATTAGCGCTTATATATCTTTGGGGACTATGATATGTACTGGACAATGTCTGCTCTATAAAGCATCTCAGAAAAACATCTGTCTAAAAATTATGCAACATGCATAATTTAAAGAAAAAGAAATGCTCGAAGCAGTAAAGCTATCATCAAGACGGACATGTTTTACGTCCATTCATATAAAATTGTTGAGATGCGACTTTAAAGTATCATCTTTTCCGTACAAAATTCAAAAACCTTTACGCCTTTTTATGTATGCATTTTTTGAAAGCGAAAATATTCTAGAGTATACCTGTTTCATCTTTTTCCGTGGAAAATATAATACGCTCTACATTTGATTTATCGTATAGAAAAACTTAGATATATTGCATGAAATTTCGGTTAGGATTCAGCCTCTTTGTGATAAACCCAATAAACAAGAACTGTTCAAATAGATCATAATGAGGTGATACATAGTTTAATTAATTATTACGTGCTTTTTACGTGCGTCAGATGGCCATACATCGCCTTCGATAACCATACTTTATTGAAATAGCATATATTTCCAATATTTGTTTAGCATACGTGTAACGTTGTGGCACTCGATAATTGCTTGTCATTGAGACAAAGAAGCAAGAGTTAATCAATCTCAAATTTACGAAAGTTCATAACATATTGTATATTTCATATATGCAGCAGTCAAGTGCGGTTGATTTTGTCTATCGGTTGAGTCAAAGGTTTGACTACAATGAAGGTTACTGAAAAAAAAATGTTATAAAAAGAGGCTTGAGTTGGGATGTGCCTTTAGCTTCTCGCCTAGCCTGTAAATAAGTATTGCTTTGTGATTTATAGTTGCGCGTATTTATGTGATAGTGTTTCCATTCTTTAAATATATCAATAACACCTTTCTAGACCTTTGCAGACCCCCTCCATTTATTGATTATATATACATCTTACTCCATAATCCTATTATACTAAACAAACAGTCTTGATTGGTATTGTCTTTTTATACAATAATCTGACATAAAACTAAACAGGATAGATGAAATAAAGCGCTACAGAAACATTTTTTTAAAATAAAAAATACAACACTTGAGGTGTTGCCTGTAAACCATTTTTTAAAATTGAGACCAATTTAAAAAACCGCAAAACCTGCCCTTTGGCTCTCTTCCGCTATAGAAAAAAAAATTGTTTCAAAATGAACAATAATAAGGATTCCTGTCCCTCTTGTGAATCTAATTCCGTAGAAACGTCTAATGATTATGATACATGGCTTCAGTGTGACGCGTGTCCGTTATGGTACCACGCCAAATGTCTCGAAATCAAAAAAGTTGAAATTATTGAACGATTTCATTGTCCTCAATGTATTGGTAACCATGGCCCAAGCACCTGTAAATATTCTTGCTTTTAGAGCTTTTTTTTTAAAAAAAAAAAAATGTTGTTAATAATGTCTGCTTTAGTTAAACCAAAGCAAAGAAAATCAAATCGAAGCCATGATAGGTTGAACTATGCAGATTTAAATGAAGGTACAGCAGCTGGAGACGAAAGGATTTGGGGAAAGCTACTTCGTGTCAAAAAGTTTCGAAAGGATCATTTTAAAAGATATCAAGCAAAAGATGTAAACATGGAACTTTTGAGAAAAACCGGTATGAGAGAACCTTTTGTGGTACAAGAAAATGAGCCTGAATTAGATATGGAAATGCCGCCATCTGATGTTACTGTTCATACTATTGCTGAATTGGTTGGAAAAGACACCTTGATAGATGTGATTGATGTTGCATCGCAATCAGAAATTCATGGCTGGACTTTAAGTAGATGGGCTGACTATTTTCATACTACTGACAGAGATCGCATCAGAAATGTCATTAGTCTAGAAATTAGTGGTACAGACTTTGCAAAACAAATAACGAGACCCAAAATAGTACGTGATTTGGATTGGATCGATCAGGTGTGGCCAGCTACTGAAACCGAACATCCCAAAGTTCAACTATACTGCTTAATGGGAACAAAAGATTCGTACACTGACTTGTAAGTCTCTAAATCTATCAATAGTATCAATATTCTGATATCTTCCATTGCATTATTTAGTCATATTGATTTCGGGGGTAGTTCTGTGAGTGTAAAGATATTTCTTCTTTGGTGCATTGCTAACCATATGTAGGTATTCTACCATATATTGCGAGGTAGTAAAACGTTTTACTTTATAGAGCCTACCGACAAAAATTTAAAAAAGTATCAGAGATGGTCATCATCCTCAGAACAGTCAACTACTTTCCTAGGTGATCTAGTTAAGGACTGTTACTCCGTAGAGCTTCAAGCGGGAAATACCATGTAAGGGAATAAAAGTCAGGGTTAATTACAAAATAATTTAAACTTTTTGTTTATGCAGGATTATTCCAACAGGTTGGATCCATGCAGTATTTACACCAGAGGATGCAATTGTAATAGGTGGCAATTTTTTGCACTCACTCAATACGAAAACACAATTGAAAGTGTATGACATTGAAGAAGCAACAGATGTGCCCATGAAGTTTAGATTTCCTTACTACAAAAAAATTAATTGGTATGCTCTAGAAAAAAGTGGTATTCTACTTGACGAGAACAATCAATTATCCAAATTCGAATACGAAAGTATTGTTGAATTGGCTCGATTTTTACGCCAAGATCTTACCAAAGACAGTACAACTATCAGAGCGGATGGATCTATCAGTCATAGTAATAGAAAATTGCATCAGGTGCCTGAAACTATTCTCAATCCAATTGCCTTAACGGAACGTGTGGAGAAACTTGCTAAAAAGGCTCTGGAAGCGTTATCAGAAAAACCAAAAAATATTATTCGGCTTGTTCTTAATGTCACTAGGCCTAAAGAACTTCCACAAATACCGCACCCGGATGACTATGAATATGAAAATGAAGAGGATGAGGAGGATGAGGATATTGATGAAGATATTGATGAGGAGGATGAAGAGTATCAGGAAGATTCAAACGTGATAATTGAACACAATACATTGACATCCGTCTTTAATAATAACGATCATGTGATTAAATCCGAAAAGAAAATTCGTAAAAAGAAGAAGATAACTGCCGTAATGGATCAAAGACAGTATGATAGTAGTAGCGATGATGAAGATAGTATGGGTACTACTAAATCAAAGAAAATTTCATTGTTTACAAATCGCAAAAGGTCTTTATCCAACAACTCTAATTCGTCTCAACCTTCTACTGCTAAGCAAAGAATATTAGGCATGATCAATAAGAGATATTAATGAGCCAAGTATATAATAAAAGTTTAATTTCTACATTTCTGTGAAAGAATCAAAAATCTTTTTGAAGAATAAGCTTAATCATGTCTGCTGACATAGACTGGGTCGAACCTTCTTTTTGACCTGTGTAGAATGCTAAAGCAGCCTCTAGGTGTTTTTTCGCTAATTGTTTTGTACTTTCTTGGGATGCCTGATCAGGATAATTATTATCTTTGGGATCGGTTGATTTCGTTGCACTCATATCTGTTGTTGTTTTTACTATGGTTTGGCCATCCGGTTTCTCCTCAGAATTTAGTGTTGGAAAACTGTTATCTTGTATATTATCTACGGAGCCTGGTGGATCTATATCATTTTGGTCGTTACACTCGTATTGATCGTCACCGTAATCTTGATCGCCACCATAGTCCTGATCCCCACCATAATTTTGATCCCCTTCCTGGTCGCTATACTCTTGATTCTCGTATTTTTCCTGGTTGTCATCATTTTTATCTGCTAAATGGGTGACCTGAATACTGTTATTTATTACTCCGTCGTCCATTACTCTGTTGTTTGTAACCATATTATTATTATATATGTCATCTGTCGTTCCATCGTCTATTATTCGATTGCTCAATATTTCATCATCCACTAGTTCATCGTCGTCCACTAGTTCATCGTCGTCCATTATTTCATCGTCCACTAGTTCATCATCGTCCACTAGTTCATCGTCGTCCATTATTTCATCGTCCATTATTTCATTGTCCGATATGACATCATGAACCATAGAAATGTCTTTCGTGGTATCTTTAACCATATCTTTTCCTACTGGATTGTCAACCACCACCGTATTCTTATCTATTGTACCAGCATCCACTACGTTTACTTCCATCATGTCATACGAGTCTAAATCAATATCTTTAAAGGCTTCATTGTGCTTATTCGGTGAACAGTTTGTAACTCCATCTGGTGTACTATTTTCACAGGATAAAACCTCATCTGATATATTGCTCGTATAATCAGCAAAAGATTTGTTGATAAAACCTCTGTCGGTCTCTATGGAACTCTGTTCTTGCTCTGGTGTAGTAGAAGTACCCAAATTTTGATCGACACTTGATTCGACACCTTTTTCTGTTGTATCGAAAGAGTTAGTTTTGGTTGCTTTTCCAATGCGTGAAATGGCTTCAAAATTCGGCGATCGGGATATCGGTAATACCGGCGTTTGGCTTTTTACCGAGGGTTTGTTGGGGATATTTGATTGTATGGTGGTAGAGTTACTTGGTGTTGTAGTATTGATTTTAGACGTCATGTGGCGTTGTTTGAAGTTCGAAACCCAAGAGCTAGAAGCTTTGAATTCTTCAATCCCATCCACATCATACTCTTTTGCATAATGACGAGCTTGAGACCGAAGCATTTGGTCAGTGACTAAAGTGTTATTGTTATGCTCCTTTTCGAGCCATGACAGTAACGCATTTTCTACGAGCGGGTATCTTGAATTACGCTGACGAAATCTTTTCGCAATAATATTATCACTACCAATGATGAGCCAGCGATCTTTGGATTTTATAATCTAGTACACTAATTAGTTTCGCATTCATTACAAGAATCGTGAAAGCGGTATTTACTTTTGCAACAGTAGTTCGTTTGCAGCCATATTTTAAAGCTAAAGCCTCTTGCGTGATTTTTGGGTTCTCAATATGATCTTCACAGATTGAACGCTTCGTTTCTGCTGATAATCTTGTTCGATAATTAGATTTATTCACTTTTGCCTCTTTGACGTTTGCAGTGGCACGATTGACACGAAACACATGAATGTTGTTTAAGTTTTCTACCTTGATTTCTGTCTTCATTTAATGGAACAATAAAAGGTGGTATATGTGTTTAATCTAGAACTGTAGAAGGGGTATAAAGAGTATGACAAAACGAGCGAACAAAAAAATTAATGTGGTTTATAAGTTTCGAAGGTAAAAGGAAAATAAGGAAAATGCCCTTTTCGGTGTTGACTTTAAATTTAAAGAGGATTTGTTTTCCAATTTGATATGCAAATAAACATAAGAGAATTGTCCTCCCTCAATTAAACACTTTTTAAAAAATTGGTCAGTTTTTCGAAGATAAGTCATGGTCAAATTATTTGAATGTATTTCCCAGATATTTTAGCTCATCACGAAGCTGTTTTACGAAGATAGTGATAAAAATATTCATATCCCTGAGGTGATTGCTCCCGTAACAGTAAAAAGATTTATACCCTACCCTTACAAAAAAAATCTATCAAATCGAAAAAATTGGGTCTATTGTGAAGGGAAAAGACATAGATGATAAGCCTAGTGGTGTTGAGTTATTCACCAGTCACCATGCACATAAATAAAGCCGGTGAAGACGTATTGGCTATTAGATGTTTCATTCAGCGTTCAGCTAATCAGTTTTATAATTATCAATGATATTCCTACATTAACGTAATCATAATAGAGTAAATATTTTTAAATCATTTTTACCGACTCAGCACATTTAGTAATCAAACAACTAAGATATATAGCAAAATCTTTTTATATATATATAAAGTTTAGTAGTATACATGATGTAGCAGGACTATGTAAATAAGAGAGAAATGATGTTAGGTACCATCCTTATAAATTGGCAGAGTAAAATATAGAAATGTAGATAATCTACAAGATGGGATATTTAAAAGTAACGTAAGTGAGGACCAGTCAAGTGTATTATTTATCGCTGTTTCTCAGTATCGATCGGATTTTTCTTGTAGATCCATTAAATTACGTGGTTTGTAAAATCTCAACAATATATTTTATCAAACATTGCCAAATAAAATAAAAGGTACAATTGTTCATTACTTTTAAGTATTTCCAAGAACGTGCAAACGATCTAATACCACTTCTTTTTATAGGGATAATTCCGTCTAAACACTTAAAATCGCAAATCTGAAACAAACCGGTATTGATCAAGGATATTCAAAAAAACAGGCTTCGTGTTGCTAATGCCACTAAAATGGTAGCAAGAATGTTTCCGGTTTCACTGATCTGTTGTTTCTTGCTCATTCAAAGGTAACCACTTCTATGAATTACCATATTTTTTACCTTAAGGACTTATATGTTGTGATAAATTAGTTTTATATGTGTATAAGACAATTATTACTTGAATCACACTTAAATTATCATTACATAACAATAGTTCCCCGACAGCTACGAGCACCACAACTGACACAAATTATAAAAAATATATATATGAGGCTACCAGGGGTCGAACCTGGAATCTCCTGATTCGTAGTCAGACGCCTTATCCATTGGGCCATAGCCCCTCATATATTTTGTTTGTTTGTAATATGTTATATACTTTACATTAAATAAAAAATGTATTACGTAATCCAAATCACGTGCTGCAAATTTGATTCGTGGAATCCGGAACTGATCAATACAGTTTTCACACTTTCAATTCAGAAAATGTTAATTTTTTTTCAGACGAATCAAAATTTACTTTCAGACATTGACTTACCTTTTTTGGACAAATAAATAAAAAATCAGACAAATGGAAATTTAAAATCTTTAAACCTTCTCCTCACTTGAGTGAGACGAGGTAACCACATTGGAGGTGGCGTTTAGTCTTTTAAAGACAGTTGGTCGGCCTTGGCCATCCCAAATGGATTGAGATATTGCAAGCATATTTTTCGCAGCCATCACATCACGATCCCAAAAAATATTGCTGAGAAATTCGAGAGATAAAGCAACGAATTAAGAATAAAAATAAAGAAATTTGACGAAGTAAAATTATCAAACTGCAAAAATAAACTAAAGTCTTTATTATACAATAAATTGGGTTCTTTATATACATATTCAGGACTGGCTGAATATCAATCATTAAAGTGAAACCTGTCAAATATACAATAGGCGTATTGTCAATTAAAGATCGAGCATCTCATGGTACCTTCGAGAATCTTGTTATTGACGAGCGATCATATCATTGGATTGTATTATCTGGAATAAATGTATGACTATTGTTTTCTATATGTTGATGAGTAATCAATGCGTAGTAAATAGAGTGTAATAGCATGTATTTGATTTAAAGAGTAATGCAATAATGATTTATAGAAAGGTTATCAAATAAGAAAGAAAGAATTGATGATAGAGTTATATCTGTATATAAGCTCGATCACAACAATTGCATCGTTTACAAATCAATATTTGATGGATGTGTGAGGATTTTTCGTCAGTACCGCACCTCATGTTTTTCAAATCATTACTAAAACAAGAATTGCATGTCTATAAAACTATTACTTTAGTCGAAGGTATTGATATACATTAATATACTAACGTTTGATGTTTTAAACTCGTTAATATCAACAAGAAGTAACTCTCCAAGCTTCTCTCTTCTTTTCAATTGTCGATAAAGCTTGTCCGTTACACCGGAGCGTAAACCCATAAACTTTGTTTGGCTTTTGTTCTTAAGTCCATCGCCAAAGATGATTAAAGGCATTTTATTACGATCCCCTTCTTCGAATCTCTCTTTATGTTCTCTTCATGCAAGTTTCATTATTAAAATACAATAATATCAGGGTTTGTTAGTACGTTTACCTTTTGATAATTTTCGGTTTAGATTTTGAAAAATCAACTATTTTAGATCTTCTTCGCTTTTTACTCTTCTTCTTATTTTTCCTTCTTTTCTTGTTGTACTTTGTAGATCCATTTAAAAGGATATTAACGGCGTCCTCTATACTCTTTTGTGATGCGATATAATTACACCATCTACTATTGGTAGTTCTAAACCCGTAGAAATTAAAAAGTGTATCAATATGTTGGAGAATATACGTAATGTACAGTATATAGGTATCATGAGACGTGGTTTTAGGTGAGGGGATATTGGTCTCAATTTGATCAATACCTAAGCTTTTCTTGAGTTCTTGCTCCTGTTTATGTCTTTGCGTAACACCGCCCATATTGTAGTATTCTTTTGAAGAAAGACGTCTCACATCATTTTCTCCATGGTAGGATACAAACACAACCTTCCTTCCGGGATTAACTGTACATGGCCTAAAATAAGTATTTACCTCTTCAGTGTTAAAGTCATTGAGTTCTAGGGCAATGCTTTTAATTACCGAAGATGGCTCAGTACGACGACAGAATAGTAAGCGGCAAGTATAACCATCGGTGTATATCCCGTTCAAAAACATCTTGCCATTGTTTGCAGGCAGCTCCTTCAGATCTTTAAGGCTGATAATAATAGACAAAATGTTTATTGTTAATATTATATGAAGAAGGTTCTCAATGCTCTTTATTTCGTATGTACCTTCTAATTTTTAGCTTGGCAAAGTTAAAACAATCATAAAAATACCTTTGTGTGAAGCTAAATAAAGTCTCGTCCTTTTCTTTCTTTAACTTTGAGCCAGGGAATATACCAGTGACGTTTTGACTATCGATTTTGATAAAGCGCCACTGCAAACCTGGATTGGGAAACAGGATAAATATTCTTGGCAGTACAAAATGCTTTGCTTTATCATCTTTCTTCCTTTTTTCACCAGATTGAACCGTATCTTGAGGTTTTCCTGGTTCTGAGTCACGCCTCTGTAAAGTAGATTTTTCCGCAATTATTGATTTATACTTGGATAGAATGTGTCTTAATGCCGGTGAAATACCAAAAGGAGCAGTATTCTGAGTTGCCTTTGTAATTGTGAACGATGGCAAGCGGTTCTTGAGCTCCACAATTAAAGGGTTTATAAATGCCTGTAAACCATTTTTTGTTTCTTGGCTTAATGGTGGGAGGATATCATCATTTAGAACGGCAACAGGATCAGATGATAGTACTTGATTTAAAACATGTTCATAGACAAGTTTCCTTATGACAGATTTTTTAACATCCTAAGTTAAGTTTGTTAATAACTTGTAAGTTAGCGCCTCCTGCTAGTAACTTACAGGAAATTCTTTACAAATCATATAAATGAAGTAGTTGCAGATAATGTTCTGAAAATTCTCAATGTAATAGTTATTATAACACGTAGCAGTAGTTTCACATGCAGTTGCAAGCACTTGACCATAATTTTTCAGCCCATCTTTTTCCACGTTTAAGTTTACTCCCTCTAGATTATTAAGCTCCATCCATACGTCTTCCAAGTGGTGAATTTTGGCATACTTTAACTGAAAGTCTTTGATCGACAGCTGTTTACAAACCACTCTACACAATGAATAGCAGAAATTTTGCTGAAAAAATTCATTGGACAAATTATTGGGGTATTGTAAAATGTAGTCATTGACAAAGATTTGAGCTTTAAACAAAACAAGACGTAAGAAACTAGATAGATCCTGAATCTTGTTTACGGCCTTCTGTAATCGGTCATCATCATCATCTGTTTCATTTAAAAATCCCTTTAAAGGAATATAATAAATAAACAATCCTTATTGAATATTTATGATATCTGTTGCTTTTTATTGATAGTGCTCTATTTTATTTCTTGTTTTATTTAACTAACCAATGTAAAATATACTGAGAGGGTCATTAAAAGAAGAAAATGTGCTCTATTAAATATTTACAGAACTACATCCGATTTTTATACCTTCCTTAAATGCTTAAATAATGAGTCTAATGCTGTTTTGACTAAGAATCGAGTCAATTTTTTTTTTGTAAATAGAGCGCAGCCTATTTTTGCCTTTTACACTGGGCATTTTTGATAATAAGAAATCGGAAGAGAAGAAAAGCAATGTGAGCTATAAAAAGACACACCCGAAAAACAATTATCTGTTCTCAAGGTTACTACAATTGAGCAATATCTTCAGCTCATTAGCGATGCATGGATAAATTTTTCAGAAATGAAAGATCACTTTGTTATTGTAATCACTGCTTCAATTCATGTTCCTGAAATGATTGAGCCGATAACTATGCAGCAAGGTTGCACTTTAGAGTAGTTTCCATATTATTGCCCATCTAATATAAAACCAATTTTCCTCTTGCGTTGTCGTAGAATTGTCATTAAAAAAAAATTGATATCAAGTATTGAAACATTACACTGATGAACTCTTTCAATCTCTTTCATCTCAGTGTCGACTAAAAACCTTGCTTCAACCTGAATATTTTAGTTTTTTTAAAATACTTTCGAAGATCTGTCAAACCCTTTAACGGTAATGGTTTATCTCCAAAGTAATTTTGTACCTCCTGATATTGCTCGTCACGAATGCCATCAATGCCGTTTTCCCAGAAAAGATGAATGTTTATGATGTGATTCATTGCAGAATCAAATGAAAATTGTAATATTTTATGTCTGTAAGACAATAGTTTCAATCAGATATAAGATAATCCTTTATTTAATACATAAGTTGCTCTGGTATTTATATTATTTGGCTATCCTTAGTAATGAAGTTCCGTATTATATAATTGAGACATTAGCATAATGACTGGCTAGATATGATAGATGAGACCTTGATCTGCCGTTTTTATTACTAGAACCACATCATTGTGATTTAACAGGCAACACATTCAATAGCGAACCGATAGCTAGACAATGAGATATGATAGTTGAGACCTTGATAACATCGTTGAACTGGTATGTGATGCACCAAAGATCTCAGTAACGACCAATTTGTTTTTTTTAATAAAATTGACCAATTGAGTCTAACAATGCCATTAGTACAAGGTAATAGAACCAACGAATTCTCCTATGAAACTGTATAATAAATTGAGCTTTATTTTCTTTTCTTTAGAAAATAAATCAGCTGACGATCGTAATCTATGGATTTAATACATGTTGGCTTGACCAATCTTTCTATTTCAGAAATCACCATGTTGCTGTTATTAGTGATTCCTAACCATTTACCGATCCATCCAATTGATGCTGATAAATAAGCCTTTCTTAATATGTCAATCGCCTTTATGCGCATAGCATCATTATAATTGTCCATCAAAATCTTGAACGTAGAATAAGGGTTATTGTGATAAAGCCGGAAGTACATCAAAGAGTTTCCAGAAATGAAGACAGATTTTACTAGCTGTTTACCAAATCTGCCCTCATTCGTGGTGCCGTTCAAATTGATAGCAAGTGTCATAGCCTTTGTTGGATTTTGTAGATAACAGCAATAATACAATATATTAAGGACAACATAATATGGGTTTTCCGCTCCCTTTATATTTTTTAGTATCATAATTCCTCAAATTTATATTATAATCACCTTGTTGATAACGTAAAGCTCGTTTATAAGACCGAAAAGACTTTTCGCCAATTCTTCATAGTTGTGTGCTTTGATGCTAAAGTTTACTGAATGCTCAAAAACTAGTTTATAGTATTAATATGATCCTAGCTAAGTTATAGAGTGACAAACCTTTAATAGCAAAGGCGTAATCGCCGCGACTCCAGTTACTGGCATAAACGCCTTCCCGCAATTTTCTCAAGAGATTGACTGCAGGTTCCCATTCTTTAGCATTATCCAAATCCTTTATTTCCTTTACCTAAGTTCGTTTAACTGTAAGTTTTTAATGCACTCAAGTTATACGCTGGCATTTTATATACCTGTTTCATGATATGGTCCCAAAGCTCGTATTGCAATTTCACGTCCCTTAAACTAATAATTTATTTTTATTTTTTTATTTAAAGGTCTTTTAAATCTCTATCTTTATCATTTATTTTTCTGTTTCTTTTTCGCACCTTTGGGTATCGGTACGAGGATCCGATCTACTCAAAAGAGGCAGTTCTTGAACAGACTCCTTTTTTTTCTTTTCAGCATCCCAGTCACGAGTGGATTGCTTTAATTCAGTGCTATGAGCTTTTTTTGAAAAAAAAAAAAAAAATGTTTATGGCCAAGTCAAGTATTTAGAAGCAGCGGGTTACCTTTCTTTGTTTCAGTATCCCAGTCATGAGTAGTATACTTTAATTTGTCTGAGCCTAGTAGTTGCCGTATATACGAAATAGTTAGATTAAGTAATGGTCAATTGCCGAGTAAAATTACCAACTTGTTCAGTGTACTGTCTAAAACCTCTGTTTCCCTTCAATAAGTTCTCATCAGCTGTTTTTTCTGATTCAGTTTTAGAAGGGGGATCCCAGATTCTGACAGTTAAACCTTCTAAAGGCTGCTTTCCGTTTGACATTGTGCTGATATTTTCGATAGTATGTGAATAAAAAACAACCGGCGAGCTCAAAAAAAACAACAACCAAAAAAACTCAATTTATTTAACCTCAGCGCGCCCTCAACGTTTCGCTGTCCTTTTGCCGAAAACATTATATCTTTAACATGAAGCAGGCAGAGACGGAATCAACCAAGGGATCGCAATCTATCGATGAGGTGATTGCACTAATTATTTCAGCCGAAAACACCTCTCAGTTGAAAAATATATTAGTCCAGTTAAACACGTTGACAAAATCAAACTTGTTGTCGTACACTACTGACGGGCTTGACCCTTTAACAGTTCTCAATCCAAGCACCCATTCTTTAGCTTATTTGTACTTCATGTAAGAAGCCAAACAATGTCTTAGTTTAGGGTAGATTAATGAAATTATGGATTTTGAATAGTACTGCAAGATGTCAAGATGCTAATGCTGGCACCGCCTTACAATTATTCCAAATATTATCTCACTTTATTCAAGTATTCGACATTGAACAAGTACGACTATCAACAACACACTGTAAGTTAGAAGCAGAAAAACTGACTCCGTTTTAGTCTGACGTTCTACAATCAACTAGTTACACTTATTGGGAAGGCCTTATTACATTTAGCAAAAATCCTTGAAAAAGTATGCCATTATGTTATGCATAATAAACCTGTCTATAACTAATGTAATTGTTTTGATAGCCATTACTACCTCTTACAGCATTTTCTACAGCGATTGGAAGATTTGCATGTTCAACAAACACTTTGACCTCTCTTCACGCTCCGTTTGTTCAGGTACGATAGCATATGTGACCTTATTTATCGAAAACTAACTGTTATATTAGGCCTGTATCTTAGCCAAGAACTACAGTTATCCTTTATCCATTTTAGATTGTGATATCGAGATTATTGAACCAGCAGCAAGTATACATACTCAATCCTACCGGAACTGAAACTAACCTACTTCCCATAGAAATACGACGTAAACATTCAGAACTTCTTACAGTATTATTATTACGGTTCAATTGCTTATATTGGTAACCAGAAATACGATCGTGCGCTGGATTTCCTTTCGATTGTTATTTCAGCACCAACACAGAAAGCAATCAGTGCTATCCAAGTAGCGGCTTACAAGAAGTTTATATTGGTTTCGTTGATTTACGAAGGTCAAATCAGAGCTTTACCAAAGTATACCGCCCAAATCGTAGAAAAAGTATGCAAGACACAATCACAGCCTTATTTGAATCTTTTAAAAACCTTCAATGAAACTGATCTCAAATTATTCCATGATCATGCCACCGCTTCTTCTCCTACATTCGAGTCGGTAAGTAACTTATTCTTGTCGCGAATGAAATTATTAAATAGTTTCACAGGATAAACATATGGGGTTAGTCAAACAGTGTTTTCAATCCCTCCGTCGTAAAAAAATTAAGGAATTGACAAATGTATATATTACTGTCGGGTTAAATGAAATGGCAGCTAAGATTGATACGTCTCCTCAAGAATTAGAACTCATTTTGATTGAAATGGTAAGGGAAATTTATCACCGGAAAAAAACTGCTTACGCCGTGTTTATAGATCAACCAAAAACAAATATTCGCCTCTATCTCAATTACAGACCTATCAGTTAAAATGGTCCACTTCATTGATCAAAGGGATGTTGCACAGATGAGTTTGGAAGACCGTATTTTTCAAATTGCCGCTATCAACGATCGAGTCTCCAACATGGATAAATTAGAGGGCTTAAATAAGGATTTCCAAACAAAGGTTTGCTGTGATTGTCAAATGAGTATAGACATTGGGATTAAGTTTTCTTTTTTTTTTTACAATAGTATATGACGCTCAGTAACAATGGTGGACAGATGGCAACAACACCGTACGATGACGATTTTGATCTTCCCCTAGGTGATGATACAAACATATTTGAATAAACAAATGCATAAGCGAGAAAATGATAGGATATGCAAAAATATATATTCCAAAAAATAAAATAAATATAAGAGTTAAAAAAAAAGTGTTTGACCCTTTTTTTTTACTTCGTTTTAGCTGGAAGGGTGGTAACGGGTGCGGTTGTTTCTGTACCGCTTGTGGGCTCTGAACTGGGTTTGCTGAGTTCATCAACTGCCAATTGGCCTGATTTGACACCTGTAAAGTAATCATTAATAATAAAATTCTTGGGTGGAGAAGAACATAACACTAACTTTGACTAAGGGCGGCTGCATGGAGAGGTCTTTTGTTAGCGGCTTTCTTCTTATTTTGGGGTCTAATAACTGAAACGGGCACAGATGATTTATGTACAAGATACGTGGAGATTGAACCCATAAGTAATCTGATATAAATAGGCATTCGTTTAACTATATCAGTCGTTTGCATCACCCAGCTATCTTTCCTTTCTTACCCTTTCACTGTTCCCCTGCCTCGGCTTCCACAAACAACCATTGTTAAGGGCAATTCATCGATCTATTTGCATGAAACATATTAAGCAAATCAAGATACAAAAAGTAAATAAATAAAAAAAACTTACAAGTTTGCATAAAACATCCTTTACTCTTCCACTGATAGCGTATGTGATAAGATCGACATCAAATAATAGCATTTGACTCATCATTCGTTTAGCTTCATCTGTAACAGAGTCTGACGCTTTTTTCAACTACAGTAACGATTATAAGGTCAGATGAATGGTTTCGAGCTATTCTTATTTTGTTTGTTTTACCTCATTTGATAAAGATAGCCCAGTTTGTTTAACAGTTTCTGGATTATCCTCTCTGTTTACGGCCGTAACAACGTATAGTCTATCACCATCTCTCATCATCGTACCCATTGTCCATTCGATCGAGTGAAAACTTTCTTCACTAAAATCACAGGCTACGAGATAACCCCTACTACGACGTGAAGGCCTTGCATCCTTTTCAAGCCTACCCTCTGGTCCAGCCCCATAATGATTATGAACGATAATTCTATCAGCCTTTTTTGTTACAATAGGAGAGTCAGAAAAAACAAGAAGGTCTCGTCTAATAGAAACACTTTGACTTCTTAAGGATTTTCGTCTGAGAACATCATTTTCCGCTGATTTAATTTCAGAGATTTTTTTGTGATCATCCATTGGAATAAAGCGGTTTGCTTCGGTGATACGAGCTAGTTCATCATCGGTCTCATCTGAATCTGAATCGTCCTTTGGTATGCTGTTAGATACTGGAGAAAGATCCAACGCACCTGTAGCTGTTGCAGTGGTTATAACAGTAGTTGCAGGTGCGAAATGTGTTAATGTTTTACTTACTGGTGATGATGATGCCTTTTTATCGAGACTGTCGACAATAATTTCAGGGTGCTCTTCTTCATCATCCAAAACAGTTATATCATCATCACTGCCACTGCTGAAACTACCAGGGATAATTTTGTTGGGCTCGTCCTTCTTAAAAATTATGGCTGTAGGAACTTGATTATCTTCAGGATCAACCTTATTGATACGTTCGACTTCTTTTTGAAGCTCTGCACCAGCCACCGGGTCTTCTGTGGTTAACGGAAAATCATGCAGCATTTCGTCATTGAGAGTGACTGCAGGTGTTATATGCGAAGAGCAAGTGCTCATATTTAAAAATCACCGAAAAATAATGAAAGGTAAAAAAAGGGAAAACAGAGATTTTCCCGGATTTTATGTTTGGGGACAAAAAATAAAGTGCACACAATACGTCATGACCGAAAATTGATCTCCGCATTGATTTTTTTGTGCTCTCCCACACAAGCCGTTTTTTTAGTTTTCTCAATTGTATGAATCTATTAGCCATTTTATTTTAAATTTACAAACTTTCAAGTCTGGCCTTCATTTCCTTGATCATATCAGCATGTTTAATGGTAACACCACCCTTTTGAGACTCATCCTTTGATCTCATATCCTTGACACGAACCTCACCCTTTTCAAGTTCATCCTTACCAATGAAAATTGCGAAAGGAATCATTTCCTTTTCACAAACATCGAATTGCTTATCAAGTCTAGGCTTGTTTTTGAACATGTAAGATGCCTTGATACCAGCATCCCATAATTCCTTAGCAATCTGCATTCTTTCCTTTAAAAGACCGTCACCAACAGAAATGACATAAACTTCAGTTTCGTTACTCTTGATTTCTTCAGTCTTCTGCTTTGACATGAGGATCGAGAAAACGCGCTCAACACCAATGGAGACACCAACGCAAGGAATTTGGAGGTTAGGAACACCCTTCTTGTTAACGCCTGAGAACATGCCAACCAAGTTATCGTAACGACCACCAGCAGCAATAGAACCGACACCAACAGTAGATTCATCAAATTCATCAGTACCTGACTTCTTCTTAGGTAAAACACCTTCTGCGAGTTTAGGGGGAGCTGACTTTTCAGTGACAGCCTCATAGATAATACCAGTGTAATAATCCAAACCTCTGGCCAAACTAAGATCAAAGGACATTTTGTCCATAACATCAAAGATCTCCAAATAATCAAAGAGTGTACCCATCTCGGCAAGACCGGCAGCAGCATTGGCATTGCTGGTTAATACTTCATCCTTTAAAAGCATTTCTAAAAGATCACGGCCACCCTTATGTTTGACATATTCACCAATCTTGTCAGCTACTTCGGAAGCCAAACCCTTTTCTTCAACCATTTCCTTCTTGACATCGGCCCAAGGAAGTTTATCAAGCTTATCAACAGCAGATGAAATAGGACGAATGTTATCTTCGGGTACACCACAAACTTCGAAAATACCATCCAAAATCTTTCTATGATTAATCTTGACTGTATATTTACCGACATCCAAATTGGTAAGCGCTTCACATAAAATTCTTAAAATTTCAGAATCTGGAATCATAGAATCATAAGAGCCCGCGATATCAAAATCCTATGTACCATATTAGTTTACCTTCGTGACGATTATAAATAGTAACTTACGCATTGGTAGAATTCTCTCATACGACCCTTAGTCATAGCAGGCTGATCACGACGATAAACCTTAGCAATTTGGTAACGTTTGATGTTGGGGTATTCTTTACCATTCATGGCCAAGAAACGGGCAAATGGAACAGTCAAATCATAACGAAGAGAACATTCTTCTCCACCTTGATCGGCTAAGTCATAAATCAATTTACTGTCCTCACCATATTTACCAGCAAGAATTTCCTAAGCTAAGATATCAATACCCAACTCGTGAAAAAAAAAAAAAAAAAAATTGTACCTTCAATTCGAAAACAGGAGTGTCAATAGTGACGGCACCGTGTTTTTTGAAAACCTTGGTAATGGTATTGAAGACCTTTTCACGAATAGCCATGTCCTTGTCGTTATAGTCTTTGGTACCCTAGAAATCTTTGCTTAGTTTAAACAAAAATACAGAACTTTCATATGTTCATTACCTTAGCAGTCTTTAAAGTGAAGCTAGACTTACCAGCCTTCTTGGCGGGCTTAGTATCGTTAGACTTTTTGTCAGCTCCTTCAAGAGTAGCCAACTCTTTCTTGAGGCCGAGTAAAATTTGAACTTCGGCATCAATGGCAGTCTTCTCCGCAGCTTGGGACTTCAACTGACGAACTTTAAGTCCTTGGGCTTCAATGGATTGTGTTAATTGTGCCTTTTGGTCAGACATGTTTATTTTTCTAATTTAGCAAACAACAGAAGGCTGCCCAAAAAAAAAAAAGTTTTTCAACTGTATTCTTTTGATTTAAAAGTCAGAAAACGCTGCGGTGCAGTGAGTCATGTTGAAGTATTTCCACTTGAAATTGAGACAGTTTTAGTTATTTCTTGGACAAATCAAGATTTATATTTAGACAAAGAGAAAATAAATTTTAGACAGAAAATGGTTAGCTTTGAGATGAAAGGGGATAATTGTTCAGACTTTTTACCTGTAAAAATCTAGATAAAGTTATATGCAAAGACTGTGACAAGCTAGGTCACAACACAAAAAAAGAAGTGGTCTATGCAAACACTTTTCTTCCATTGTCGACACATGGTAAATATTCTTTGTTTATGTAGTACATAAGCAAAATAGAAAGCATGAAATAAAAAAACCAAATGACAACATACATAATGTAGTGGGTACGGAGCATAAGAGACCTACTGAATACGAAAACTCAGTCAAAAAAGCAAAAACTTGTAGCAAAAAGACAAGGAATTAAGGATCAACCACCAGAGGATATAGTTACATGATCAGGCTGTCATCAAAGTGGTCATAAAAGCTCAAGATTTTAAGAGCGTCCTAATCATAATACAAGCTAGCAAGAAAAATTACAGACAATGTTAGGAAACCATACGAGCGTTACAAGAATAAGATAAAGTTGGATACACTTTTAAGGCTAGAATAGACAAGGTGCGAATAGTATCAAATCAAATTTGCAATATACTAATACGCGCACAATTTTTTGTAATCTACTACATAACTACTCATTGTGATCAGGTTATCGATAAGAGGGTCTTTACACAAAAACTTTTGGTACTGTATAACGCAGCTTGATTTAAAAAAATCCCAAAAAAACGGCAAAGCCATGCCAGGCGATTGCTTGTCCTCTTGGAAAAGCTTCTCTTCCCCGATACAATGCGACCTACGAGATAACATCTGTTATTGGTTTTCTTATTGCCTAACTGTCGCTTGTGTTGAAACTGCAACTGTGTAGAGTGTTTTGACGCACTTCCTGAAGATTTCAAAGATAAAAAAACAATCTATTGAAAAGACATACAGCTATTTGCTGTCAACAGATATGCCTAAGCCTGTGACTCTTATAAGCTTGTCTAATTCTTCAGCAAGAGGAACAACGGGTTAAAGAAAACAAAAAAGACAAGGAAAAAACTAAGACAAAGAAGATAAAGAAAACGACGATAATGCTCCTACGCTTGTTCTCTTTATTTCCTGTGCCTTCATTAAAGTGGAGGTTTATATCACTAAATGTAAGCTCGGTTTCAGCTTTCACTGGTACAAACTCCCGAAAACGTACAAAGACAAATATGAAATGTTTAGCAAGGTATTTGATTTTAAAAGACTCAGATTAAGTAGGTAAGATACTTGAACGCACTTGATAGCTATAGTGCCTGACAAATTTTTACTAATAAATGTTTTGGGCAAATTAGCTTTAAACCACTTCAAGATCTAGACAAGAAAAAAAGTTTGTTTTTTCAAACTTAATTATGAAAGACGGCTATACCGCTGATGTTGTTATTCATAAAAGTTTGCAAACCGATCCAGAGGGGTTTTTTCATTATTATGATCAATAAGTCCCGATAACCCTATTTGCAGACGTTCTGAATAGTAAAGATTTGGACACTGTCTCACTTTGCGCAATAGAACCAAACCGTAACCAAGTGTTTGCTACCTCTTGTGGTGATGGGGAAAACGGTCACTAGCTTAGGAGGTGCTCTAGTAAAGAGATGTCATGATTCAAAAGTTTCTTAAATTTCGCATATTGGCCACGGTTGATTAAATAATTAACCTATATTTCTATTATGACAAACTCTCCCACTTATAATAAAATGTTATAAAGTTCCATTCATTTAATTGCTTAATTTCCCATTTCCATTTCCATACCCTTTCAAATACAATTATCAAAAAGATCCTTCATGCAGGTTTCGAGGTTGTGATCCTCCCACCTTTTTATTGGACAGCGGAGTTCGTCTGGCACACATCGCTTTTGACAGAAAAAAACTGTCCTTTTGTGTTTTCATATCTTCTTTCTTTTTCATATTCACACCAAGAGTAAAAAGTGGAAATGTCTTCATCAGTGCCAGGTAAGTTTTAAATAATTGTTAAAAAGATAGATGCTAAACATATATCAAGTTGAAAAAAATCCAGGCAACTTGGAGTCGGGTAGCGCCCCCCCTCTCCTCCGAGCTCGATCCTCCCAAGGACAATCTTGGTAAGTCATAAACCCCCTTTTTCTGACCTCCTTTTTCTTTTTTGGAAGCTGCTAAGACAGCATGGAATTGATCAATACTACAGTTTTACAGCAAATTAAAATAATGATGTCAATGAACCTGTTATCGGATTGTATCGTATCACTACCGTAAGTTAAATAACTGATAATGTGTCAATATCAGCTAACCAACGTACGGCATTGGGGTGAAAACAGCTTAGTAGTACCTATCTACGTAACAATCGAACAAGGAAGGGCAGTAATACAAGAAAATCGACATGAGAAGTGAAAAGTGATATATTTATATCATGTAGGGTAAGATCACTCTTACTGAACCTGAAAGAGGCTGCTTTTTCCATCCTATTTGTAGATCTGATTTCACTTCTCTATACCCTTCAATTTTACAGACCTATAATACTTGTTATATTACAATACTCATACCCAAGACAGCTTTTAAGTTGAGTTTAGTCGAGGGTGTTGACTACACGACATTAGAAAACCGTGAAATGTTTGTGAACTCCAATTGTCTTTTTGCTACAAACGAGTCTATGATAATAGACTTATTAGTCTACCCGGTTATCTAGAAGCATGGACACTGGGAAAAGAAGCCGAAGAACAAATCAATAGAACGCTTACTTCTCCCATTCACCTAATTTTTAAAAAAACATATCGTTCTTTACTCATCGGAAACCAAAGATCGTATGCCGGTCTTATTATGAGACCCAACAACAGCTATGATGAGCTCGACATTGGGGGTATACAGGTGAAGGGACGCTGTAATATATTATCAAATAGACAAAAGTGCTAAATTTATCAGGATGTTCTTTATGAAAAATGCCCCTTTGTAAGAGACATAATTATGAATGTCATAGATAGCTATTTGCGAATTAGAAGTAGGGTCTTGACTTTAGCAATTATGAAAAGCGCTGTGGAAAAACGAGTTGTTTGACACAGAAGTAATACGATTAATATCGCTGGGGTCGATTTAGATCTTTTCTTCATTGCACTTTAAGCTAAGCGTTTTTTAAGTGCGACTCCTGGGGATACTCTGAGAGCATCACAATTCACTCAATGTTTATTATTCCCACACATCTCTGTTGCTGTGATCAGCGCTATGCTTGACCGCGCAAAAAAAAAAAGATGACAAAGAGCAATCCGAATTACTAATATGGTATATACCGCAAAGTCTTCGATAGCATAGAAACATCAACATCTTTCTAATTGCTGCTACAGAATCTTTAATTGATACAGTTTGCCATAACTTAGATGTCTGAATTTCTATTTTATTCAAATAATAGGCTAATGAAGTGTCAAAACTGAAGTTCAGTATATGTACAAGAGGGGGTAATCAAGGGATAATTAGTTGTTACTATTTGCATTGTCATTATCCATATCCTTCATAGGAATAATGTCATATTTTTTGGTTGTACGTTTTGATCTACCCGCAGTCGACATAAGTGCTTTTTTGGCTTTACTAACAGCAGCTAGTAATGCACCTTGATCGTCAACGATACTACTGTCTTCCTTTGGTCCGACATCAGACACCTTTCTCTTAAACTTGTTGTTATTTTCGGTATTTCCCAATAAACCTTCTTCATCCTCTGGTAAAACAGTTGTATTTGATGATGATGTATCGGTCGTTTCTTTTTTTCTGTTCAGGCCACTTTTTATCATGATTGGTTTCATCTCCCGGTGCATACATGCCCACTCCCCACCAAAAGTCATGATAACCACGTTAGCTAATTGAAGTATCCACCACGAGGAGCCTGTCGGAAAATGGTGTGATAATTTCCATACACACAATATATGGAAAAAATGAAAAGTTAAGACAAAATCCAGAATCTGTTTCGCTCGTTGTACAATTAACATAAGAATGGGTATACTAAGGCAAGCATTGACAAGCCAAACAATAATCAAAGACCATCCAAAACCTGTGTCTGTTCTGATCTCTTTGTCGCTGAAAATAAGATCGAGTGATATATCGGTTCCTGTTAATGTTAATGCAATGTACAGTAACACACTATACAAAATGTAGAGGAGTGACTGTAAGGAAGTAATCTTTTATAAAAAACAAGTTAGTTCCAACTATAAGAATGGGTAGCGTTAATTAATTACTTGTGCTAAAATAAAAATGGGATCCCATTTAGAGGATCTAAAAGAAGAAGATGCCATCTCTTTAAAGAAGTAGAAGGTACTGAAGCCAAATGAGCAATGTTCTGTATAAAATTGCAAGTAAATTGTCTAAACCAATCAAATGCTTGCGTTTCTTATTGCACACGCCAACAATTTGAAATTCAGACATGGATGCTAATGCGTGAGCTACACCTAAAAAGTAACTTTCATTCGTCAACATAATATAAGATGGAAAAGTACAAAAAGCTAAAAAACCTCTATGTATTTATAAGCCAATGCATACATATGTACAACATATTGAACCACAAAATAGTCAAAGCTAGGAAGTTACTTTAGATTGAAAATGTCTAAAAGGCTGTCAGCTACGACTTCTTAGATTAGACGAAAAAAAGGTGTTGGGAGGGACTGAATTCTAGTTCTATTAAAATCAATTGATCAATTGATTATTTTTTCAACATTTCAGTTCCCCGTATTTTTCAAATTATTAGGACATTTTAGACTTAAGGAATAGGGCTTTCGCTGTGACATGGAAGCTACAAGTATATAAAAACAATATAATTTATGTCATGTAATGGTGTAAGTTTATAAGTGTGTAAATTTGTAATTTCAAACCTCACAAAGGAGACAAGTAACTTGATACATATTAGCGATGACATATATCATTAACAATGTCAGAGACAGAGTTGCCTTGTGATTTAGAAACACTGTTAAGGTGAGTAGCGTGACCAAAGGCAGTGTAGTATTTTTTGTTTATTTATTTTCTCAGCCTCACAAAATATTATAGCAGTTTGAGCTTTTGGGTTCATATGAATTACTAGACGAAATTAGAAGTTTGTCATACTTTAATGTGTGGCGCTGTGTAAAATTGTTTACAACAATAGAAAGTGTCGGTTTAAATATCTTAATAATGGATATAAATATGAGGAAGAAGATAGATAAATACGAAAAACAGGGACTTTTTTGTAGGAGAGGTGCAAATCAATAACGGGTTAAAAAAAACTTATTCGAAGTCAAGAAAATTATATGCCGCAACCAGGTGCAAGTGTCCATATTAAAAAAAAAATCTATATTTAAAAAAAAATCGTTCAAATAAGAAATAGTTTTCAATTCCTCGCAAGTAATCAAAATAAATCCAAACTTCATCTAATAAAGCAACTAAGCCCCATTGCAAGGAATTAGTTATTTTTAAGCTTCTTGGTTTCCCTTCATCTATCTTCTTTCTTTCTTCATTGTTTTCAAAAAAAACATACACAAAATTTAGAGTCATAAAAATGGTCGATATCGAGAAACAACCTTTGACTGCACCACAAGAATGGGACACTGGTATTCCCCCATCACCTCCATTAAATATCACAACAATTCAAAGGCAGAACAGCGAGTTATTGGATGTTTCATACTATAAGTCTTTTGAAGCAATAGCTGATAATGTCATATTTAATATCAGCGAAGGCCATTATAACGTCGAGAAATTAAAGGATGCCCATAAAATGCTATACGAACACACACCAGAAACAGATGAAACAGCCAGGAAAAATAGAGAAACATTAGCAGAACAAACAGCCAAGTTGGAAATCAGCTTTCAATATCTTCGAAAAGCAGTCGCTACACTTGAACCATCGAAGCCAACATTATCAGATCTCGACCTCCGTAATCGAAAATACAAACATATTTTGAGGTCATATAAAGATTTGTTGGAAAAGTATATCAATATAACAACCGAAAGTCAGAGATACACGTCGCTTTTATTTGAAAAACACATTAGATCAGTCAATCCACAAACGACAGTATTTGATATGGAACGTGCAATTGCATCTACCGGAGAGGATTCGCCATCAGTATTTGTTCAGGTCCTAATGCAAAGAGGCATAAGAAGAAATGATAAAGAGATACAGCATATGATGATGATTGTCCAACATATTCACGGAGACCTTCGACAACTAGCGCTTACATTTACAAAGCTAACCGAAATGAGAAATGAGGTGAACATCCTAATTGAAAAATATCGTCGTAGATGGCCTGTTGTCTTACAGGAAGGAGATATGGTATTTGTGATAGACGATGAGTTGAATGTATTACAAAGAACGCAAGTTGGACAGACGATCGATTATGATTCAATTTTACGTAAACGAGAGAACAGGAATAAACTGATAGCTGCTATGATTACTTTGGTTACAATCATTTTACTTATCGGTATTGTCGTCTCTACGACTTTATTTTCCGATTTCTAGTTGGAAATTACTATTTAATAAACATGAAGGATTAAATATTTTTGGCGGCTTGAGAAATATCTAACGTCTTTTTGCCCCGTCTTACAATTTAAAAAATAAAAAATGCCTGCAGCTGCAAATAATGGACCACCACGGGGCCTTTTGCTATCTAATAAGCCTATAGTCTTATGGATACACGATCCCGGTGCCATTTATAATCATGATGCTGTTATCAATCCTGAAATGTTTCCAAATTTTCGTGATGGCCAACTACTCAAGATTCTTTGCCCTCGAATAACACAACAACAACCTCAACAACAATCTCAAAATGTGATTAACAACAACAAAGCTGATCAACAGGATAGCAAAACACAACTCGAACATACTGCATCTCAACAGCAACAGAACCAACAACAAAACCAACAAAACCAACAATGCCAGCAGCAACAATCAGACCAGTCATCAACGCAAACTCAGCAATCGCAATCATCAGACAAACAAGAGCACAATGAACAACTGGATTTCGTCATTGTAAAAGGTCATGCTGCTGACAAAGAGAACTTGGCTAAGCAACAGCAATTGCAGGTAATTTTACCATACTAAACGAGCGTTATGCATTATCTGATGAAAAAATACGTTAGCTTTCGGTATCTAAAGATATTGCAGATAGGTTTAATCTAAGATCGAGACAGGAGGTTCAGGTCGAATTGGTAAGTGGAAATATATGAATTTTGGGCGAGTGCTCATTTAGTATCTCTTATAGATTGATCCATATCAAGTAGCATTAGATCATGTCGAACTTGCTTTTAAAGAGCAGTACCTCGGTAGAAGTGATATGTGGAGATTGCAGCAAAGGCTCAAGGGAACATGTGTGTATCTAGAAAAGAAAATATTATTTGCTGGATCGATCAAAGCAACTGTGAAGCGTCTTTTTGCTAACGAAGAGCAACTAACATCTGGGTATATTACGGAGACAACTCGTATGATATTCCGATCCGCATCAGCAAAGTATTTTTTATTTATACAAATGTCAAGGGAGATGTGGGAGTTTGACGAGGACGGGGAGCTGTACTTTGAGAAGGCTGTGAGTAATTTCTTACCACAATTATTTACTCGTTGGAAAGATGAAGGCACAAATCATGTGGTATCTATCGTCTTATTTACGCGTGTTTATTATGAAACAAAAATCGACGATCCCTTAATAAATGAAGCTCCTGATGGCAGATTTTACAAGGATTTCTATAAAGTACTGGCTGACTGGGAGACAACAGATGACTGGATGTCGATAATTGGCCCATTGAAGAAAGAACAGCTTAATTTCCAACCAAATGTTCTGTTGCGCGCAGAGAATGGTAAAAAAATTGTAAGTGGCCAAATATCAATGGCATACGAAGGAAACGTACTCGAAGCTGTAAACTTAGCTTTAAATCCGTTCGATAAACATTACGTTGACAGAGATTTGATGAGAACAGGCCTTTCTATCATTTTGATTACTCCCGGAGTGGGTAAATTTTCTGTCAACAAAAAACTGCTTCGGTTGACGAATGAGCGTATGACAGATAATGGTATTGCGATGGATTTGGTCTGCTTATCTCCTTTGCCTTTACACATAACACCACTGATGGCATACATGGACGCACCACAAGTATATGAAACTGAAACTGCTGCCCCTACTCAAGATATACTAGCCCTCCGTGGAGCTGGCAAGCCCCCAATATTTGCAAATAACTCACCTGAAAAGATAGGAATGATGCATGCAAATTCAAATCAGAAAATAGGCCATCAGGATCCTCTTTATAGAGATTCAAATGATGCACCTACCCAGAAATTTTACGCTGTGCCACATTGGATAGACTGTAGCTTTTATCATCATGAAACAGGGAGATTTCTCAAACAGGATAAATTTAAAACACGTTGCAAAATGTACGAACTTCAAATGATGGGTATCATGGAACACGATATTCGAGGCATTTGCATCCCCTACTTATCTGACCCAGCCACAACACGCAAAGAGGCATCTGTACGTACAATTAAAGAACAAAGGAGCAGCAGTAGTTTAAATGATAAATTGAGAACAGGTGAAGAAAATGCTATCAAAATGTCCCATACCAGTAATGGGGAGGTCTACTTATCGCGATCTGCAAATATATCTGGAAGCACCCGAAGACCTTCATTTTTTGCCAATGCCGAAATGACTCAAGTTCATCCGCAAAAGATTGCTGTCATGGAGAAACCGGTCTATTCATATGAAAGATATGACGGTGGACTGTTTAAAACTTCAGCAGAACCCCGTTTTAATAAGCGGATGATCGTTGGCCCTCCCTCTTCAGGAAAATCAACAAATCCAAAGATAAATCAATCCAACAAAAACTCGTTTGATGGTCCCGAACGCCCCGAAATTGGTAACAACGAGGTTTGGCAGAATAATGCAAGACACAAAAATACAACTGTAAGTGTATACCACCAATTTGATGTGACCTGAATTAACCTTTCTCAAGACATGGCATCATCCAAGTGAAGCGCGTCGTGTGCCTTCAATTATATCGCAGTCCCAACAATTAGGAGGTAAAGGACTTTTCGATAGCCATCATATCCCACCGCGTAAAGACGAAAAAGGAATTGACCCATTCAAGTCATCACCTACATTTATCAGAGACGATGTCACGAACAATGCAAGATTCAGAAGTTTAAGGCGGGGGACTGTGAATAGCACAGACGGTAAATATACATCAATAGGGGCAGCCATTGCTGGAACTACCCAACAACATGCCGCTGCACTTGGCCACGAAGAAGACGAATTTGCAGTTGTGAGCTCAAGCACGGTTGACCCTGTTCCAATCAACAATAAAGGTCTCGGAGGACGTTCTGATTCAAGCCGCAAAAATATTAATCATTCGCCGCGTCAAGGAGGTGTTGTTTCAGGAAGCCTTCCTTCAATTCATAAACAATCTGGAAACAGTGAATTGATACGTACTAGTTTTGGCGCTACTGGAACAAACAACCTTAATCGATCTTCACCATCACACAATTTTGGTCGAAACAATCCTTACAAACACATGTTGATTAATCCGTGTAACCCATCAGATAACCAAAATTTATTTACTTCGCATTTGAGACGCTGGCAGCATGCATTACCTAAGGCCGCTATCTGTGATGAACCTGTTGTACATTGGAAATCGTTAGCTACACCTGCATGTCTGCCTCTAACCACAGACTATTTCCCATCAAATGAAGAATTAGCCACGAGGTATGATCACTACATGTACACTGTTTCAGCAAGTGAAGATACCAATCTCTACCAAGCAGGTGATCGTAGCTTATCCGAACACAAAAAAACCGAAAATTTGTTAATTGAAATGTTAAGTCAACGTTTGGCGCAAGGTTTCCAAATTATTGTAGATATTACAGGTAGCTCCAATTACTTAAAACCCACTACTGTAAAAGGAGATGGCCCTATTTCAGCTCTTGGTGGAGGATTTATGAACGCAAATAATAAAGACGCGGCAGGTTTGGTGGCAATAGCGGCAGGAAAGGAGATCGATAACGGTGGTATTAGGAATGGTGGAAGCCCTACTAGTAACAATGCAGCAACGACTTTGGCAACAACAATGACCATTGGAGGAAATACAAAATTGACCTTGGGTGGAGCAAATACAGTCCCTGCAGTAGGTAGCGGATCAGCTCAGGATGATAATGAGAAGTCAAAATGGAAGCATATGGTCTGGTGGCTGTCTATGGGTCATCAGGTACATCAACTTACTTTTGATTCATCCGGTCAAAATGTTGAAGTTCGTCGTTATGTTCGTAAAATTCAATTTGATGTTAGCAAGATTAATTATAATTGTGCTATATGGCCAAAGAATATGACAGCTTACAGACAAAAGACGGTAGTATTTAGCTACCCTAGCTTGCTATATGCCTGGAACTATCTCGATCATCTTGTCGCTGGTTATCAGGAAGAATTAACAGATAATCTTCGATTCTGGCGCGCTAGGTTTATTGTGATTCCCCGCGAAACATTGCCTACTAATATTACTCTCACTGGGGCACTTCACGATAATTTGGATGAGGAAGAAAAAAGATTGGCCCTGTTCGAATCGTGGATTCAAAATATCCGTAAAGCAAAATGGCTCACTCCCGAAGAGAGAGAAGAGCTACAAAATAGACGTAAGAAAGAAATTGGATTTTCAGATCTTGGTGTAAAATTGACTACGATGGATCCTTCTGCCTATGTTGCTAGTGATGCTGTACGTGTTTCTTCGGCGCCTATTCCTCAAGAGTCCAAACCTCACAGCAGTATTCTATCGTCTATAATTATTGGACAAGGCCTCACTCGTGACTCTAGATCCAAAGAAATTGCTGCAGCGTTGCAAGATCCCAAGGGGGGTGTCAAGATTATGGATAGACGCTGGCATTTCAGAATGTTCAATGATGTTTTCACAGGTACTGAGTTTGTAGACTGGATAATTGGACAAATCGAGGAAATTACGACACGAGAGCAAGCCGTCCAATTTGGTAATTCACTAATGCAAAGGAAGCCTCCATTGTTTAGCTCGGCTACCAAACGTCACAGTTTTTTGGATGGTAATTATTTCTATGGGATAAATGATGAGTTCTCGATTGAAAAGAAGAAATCCAAATCACAGAACCGTAAAGCTAGTAATAATAGTGATACAATCCCATCGAAGGAAAAAGATCATAGTATTGGGGAAAATCAAACTCTTCGTCAAATACCAAGCACAAGTTCATATACTGCAACAAAACGGATTACCTTTGATATGTCACAGTCAATGATTATAGACGTGGACCCATATAAGAAAAGCGACCGCCGAGAAACAGCTATTCTGCATTATGATACAATTCATAATCCGAATAATTGCTACCACTTTCAATTAAATTGGCTCGGTTGTACGGCACAACTCGTACAGGAATTGCTACAAAACTGGAGTCGCCAGGCAGAAAGATGCGGATTGAAATTAGTGGAAGGGTCTGTAGACCAGGCTTATGAAGATACTGAAAATGATAATCCCTTTCAATGTCCCGTACCTATTTCAATGGCTGTGCTACCACCTTCAATTGATGAGCTTATTTCAGCATCAAAAATTGCGGTTCCAGCACAATTTTACGAAATAGCGCTTGTACGCCATCTAGGGTTTGTGTTGGATGTTGAAGCAGACTTTAATTTTGAGCGGGCCAAATCAGAAGGTGTCGATCTTGAGTATTCTTACATAAAAGAGGTTTACAAGTACGATCAATATGTACATCAATCAGGCGTTTCGTTCGTTCAAATCAGGCCTGATTCGCAAGGGTTCTATTGGGTCAACAACCGTCTCTATACCAACCATACTCCTGCTCTGATAGCCAATCGACGACAACCCTCGTCATTACTTTGTCACCCCGATGCTTTAAGAATTCGATTCCAAGAACATTGTTTTGACGGAAAATGGTTAACTGAATTTTGGGAGAGTACCAGGGCCCACTTTTTAGAAGGAATGGACCCTGATAGTTCCGATGCCTGGGTGTTTGAAAATTCTGGGGCGATTGTCGAAGCAGATACTAGTTCCACAGCAAATACAACATCTTCCTTAGAAGACGCAGGCGATAATACTAATACAATAATCTTGAATGAAAAAGCAACTATGCAATCAAATGGACATAGTAATACATCCGCTTTAATAGATATACCCACCACATTAGCTAGGTCATACAGTGTAGCTACTCATCCCACATTGGTTGTTTCTGGGACATCTCCACCCTCAAATTCTGCTGAACCCCCTTTGCCTGAGGAAACGCTTACCACGGCCACGAACGGGAACAAGCAATCGGTCATATCTGACTCTTCTGAAACGTCTACGAATTTGTAACTCGAAAAATCGCAAAAAACAAGATTGTTTTGTTCCTTCTGGATTAGACACATACCCATACCTGAGGTAGATGCAAGAATCTGATTCCCAAATTAATCTATAATAAATTCCATCCGATGGATGTGAGGTTTCATAACCCTTTTGTGGTTAAAATAGTGCCGGTTCCTTAAAATTGGATGGTTGCTTAATTTTCCTAGATAAACTAAATACTTTTATACAAGAAAAATATACATATACATCAAGTTTGGTGTACTCATACCATTATTTGTGCTTTCTTGGGAAAAGTATCGCTCATTTTTATACTTATTAGGTGCTCAAACCTAGCATTGACAGGTTTGAAATTGTCTTACCGTATTTTTTTTTTTTCAAATGTAGTGCAAGCTCGCTATTGCTATAATTTTGGAATGTGCTTTTAACGGGATGCTATGCACTCGCAAATACACAATGAAATACGCTACTAAATTTCATCATTCATTGTTGTCGCTGCGGTCAGAAGTTTTAACCAATAATATCGACATACAAAAACCTTAAAATGAAGCATTTAATGTGATTAAAACGGCTTTTCACCTTGGACTTTCACAATGATCAAAGAAACTTGCATCATTTACCCAACTAGTAGGCACACATGCCCATCTCCACCATTAGCCATACCACTTCATGGTTTAGATCTTTTGGGTCCACCGATGGACATTCACAATCATCGGTTTTACCACTCGCCGGGATGCTCTTTCACTGTTATTGCCAATAAACTAAAAACCTCTCTTTCAGAGGCACTTGAACTGTATCCACCAGTTGCAGGAACTGTGAAGGCGAAAGAAAATGGCGAAGTTTTTATCAGCACTGAAGCTATAGGCACACCATTCACGACAGAAGTAATAGATTCCCCATATGTTTGTGATTTCGAAGGGCTTTCACCACGTAACACACTGCCGATTCCTTTATTATCGCCCTCTTTAGCAGTAAAAGTAACCAAGGTAATTGTATTGCTCTCAATAAATTGGTACGATTATTATATCTGATACGTAGACGTAGTTTTCCTGCGGTGTTATAGTGGTGGCGTCTTCCATCAATCATCAGATTACTGATCTTTGTGGCTATCTCGATTTTCTAAAACTCTGGTCAAAACTTGCACGAGGGGAAGCTGCTGATTTCACAAAGATCCCTACAAGTTGGTTTCATAATCCTGGCCGATTTTTTTCTGAGGCAGGCAATTATACATCTGGTAATTCACCACCGCCATTTGAAGTTCTTTCTGCTCCCCTCACTGGTCCACCAGCCCTCTTATTGGCAACGTCAACTTTTACTCGATGGAAGATTACCAAGAGCTCATTACAGCGATTAAAGCGAGACTTATCACCCTCTGCTCCTGAAAAATGGATCTCATCAGGCGATGCTCTTGTTGCCATCATATCTGGTGCCATTACAAGAGCTCGTGAAAGCAAAAAAGTGAAAAGACTGGAAGGAAGATCGCCAGAAGAGTCTCAAATTGAAGTAATCTCCATGGCAGCGGATGGCCGTGAAAGAGCTCCTGAAGGAAATATGGCGGAAGGACAATACTTTGGTAATTTCAACGTACTTTTAAGCGGTGAAGTATGTCGATCCGACCTGTTATCTTCAAAAAACGAGGCCGCTTCTCGTGTGGCCCTTGCTATCCGAAATACGTTGAATACCGAACTTTCTCCAGAAGCTGTTAAGTCTAAGATTTCATTTTTTGAGGATCCCAAAAACATTGAACCTCCGGGTCGCATTTCTTGGACAGCAGATGTGATCTTTACCAACTGGTGCAAATTTGATATGAAAAGTAAAGATTATGGTAAGATCAACATCATAGCCTGGTACTATGCCTTTTTTTTTAATTTAGAGATTAGATTTAGGCTGGGGTAAACCCTTTTTGGCAACCGATGGAGCTGGTAGTGTCTTTCCTCCGGGATACTGCCTGCTAACACAGGATTATGACACAAACGATATTTTTATGTTGATAACAGTCGAGGAACAAGCCGCGGATGAACTAATTAGAGACCTGATGCTCAATATGTATGCTGAGCGCGAGCCTAACCAAAGTTATAAGGTTTAATTATGCTTGCAAGTTCTCCACAAAGAAATAAAATAAATTAATACCAGATGAATCCACTAAAGCATCTAAACTAAAGCAATCAATTTTAACGAGCTCATATTAACTCTACAATTACCTAGGCTAAGTGTGCGAAATGCACTATAAATTAATTACAATCCACTAATCAGTTTAGGAAATGATGCTAGTTTTAATTTTTTTATCTTTGTCATTTTGGTCAAGACTAATTGTTCACAATGAATAAACAAAATTTGTGGAAGGGATGTCTTTTTGTTTGGCGTTAAAAAATATACTTTTATTTAAAAATTGAGATATGTATACAGTCCTTCACTCTCACTTCACCGATACTTTGCACACTTTAACCATTATTTTTAGGTTCAATTGGCTCCAAAAAAGGAACCAGTTTGGTCTGTATATGATCTGGATAATGTCTTTACAATATAAAGTTCAATTTTGGCTGAAGACAGAACAAAAAAATATTCATTAAATGAACAGAAAAAAAAAAGAATGTTTATAGGAAAGATCACATCCTGTGTACTAACAAGCCAAAGCGTTATTGTTTGCAACAGCTTTATCACGAATTCGGGACTTCAGAGTAAATTGTATCTTTTAGTGGTGAGCTGAAATATCCGGACTCGATGACGAAGATAATTCTTCTAAGGAGAATTTGTGGTGTCTAGTGTTCGGTATGCTTCTAATGCATCATCTGGTCCAGAAGATAATGATAGTATAAAATATTCACCATTGGCCTGAATTGAATACTATTCTAGTAGTGGGCCTGTTTGGTCGATGCTTTCTGAATTATCGTCGGCAAAACCTTCTTCATCTTTAATCACTGAAGATAATTAGATACTCGGTGGGGTATTTCTCTCCACTAGTCTAATTGGGAATACCCATGGCGGTAATAGGCTGTTTGGAGCATCAACTACATTTTTGTATCTTTAAACGGACCCATTTTTTAATCAGGGTCTGAGTGAGATTCTTTGAAAGCGAGGATTCTCTTGTATTCTATTTTTAATTTTTTTTAAGCACTGCATACTGGAAGACTTCTGAAACTGTCTTATTCGTCCTGCAAGCAACAAGTATTTTATCATCTAGCAAGTTTAAACCGCCACGTAATCACATATGAAGAAAATGGAACAAAAAACAGTCAAAGGGGAAAATGATGATTTTTGATTTATCATTTTCACCTATTTACTCATAGTTTAGGTATATCTTTGTTTCTGTACTATACACAAGCAATATTCCTCACTTATGCTATTCATTAGCACCTTTCATCACTTCCATATTTTGATTTATTTAATCCTCCAGACTTCCATGAAGGGAAAGGATAAATTTTTGCCATGCATCAAGAAAAAAAAGAGCTTTGTCATTTATCGTGAGTTTTGTAAAATGCTGTGCTTGATTACACAAAAAATTTACTGGGTTACCTCAAAAACAAAATTACACATTGTGTATCCTTTAACACACAGACTTTTAATTCTATTAATTGTTCGCAAGAGCGACGGCAGGATATCTTGACGCTTTGATTGCAAGTTTTAGCATTAAAACACAGACATCTTCTTGTTATGTAACTTTTTTCTAAACGAAAACGCTAAACCTGTAAGTGAGAGTAGTTTTCTTTTTCTTTTTTTTGGGGTGTACAAAAGAAATCCCTACTTTGTCGGGATAAACTACGCAGTATCCAGAGTGAATGGAGAATTTTATGTGACACAGAAAAGTATTTTTTATTTTTTAGCACTTTAAAACCAAATATCAGTTATTATGTGATTAAGCTTGATATAATTTTTTTTTATCTTCAATGACGTAGAGGCTCTTACGATCCACTTTTGGAAAAGCAGCCATTCTTATTTTCTCCATTTGTTCTAGTATTTAATCAAAAATAATTTTATTGCTTTCATGCGTTATAGAAAGCAACAGAGATCAATATTTAATCAAGGGACTGATACTGTTAACAAACCTCCTGTTTGGCGTCTACATGTAAGAAAGAGACCTCGTTAAATATCCATCGAAGACAATGCTTCAGAGAGTAGTCTGCAAAAAAGACCACACAGAACAAAAAGACAGAAATATTATGGAAACCTCAAAGAACGAGATGAAACTATGTCTTTTAAAAAAACCATGCGTGATTAGAAACTAGCGGTGATATTGAAAAGCTTAAAACTGACTGCTTGAATTCCTCTTGTCTGGAAAGAGGTATCATAACAGGAGTTAACTTACTGATTCGAATTTAACAATTTTTCTAATAATAAACAGAAACCTTCAAGGTTAAATCAAGCATAACTGACTATAAAGGTGGCTCTCGGAAAATCCGTGATAGCCTTCAGCGAGCAAAAAATTCATTTGATGGCCATATTGTGCAGGAGGCCGAAGCATGGTTAAGTCAGCATCCATTTACACATGTAAGACGACGCCGACTTAATATATCAACTTCATTTAAACAGCAGGGAAAAGCTGCGAAATTTCTAAATACATTTAAGTTCCAAGAACAAAAAAAAAAACGGACCTATGAATTGCAATACTGAAAATATGCCGATCAACTGTGTTCCTTGGAACGAAAATGTACAGCCGAAGGAACAAAAAAGGATCCTATTATGTCTGTTGGTAATCGTAATTACGGCACTAGATCTTCAATAAAAAGAGATATGCGCCATGGTGGACAGTGTAGATATACCTCAGTGTGTGTCACCAACGAGTATAATACATCGCAAACCTGTGTGTTCTGCTTTTCTAAAACAAACCATCCGTACCGCATAATCCGAAAAAACGGAAATTCTGTTATTCAAACAATCAATGGAACAAGCTCAGAATGTGTTTCGGTACTCAATGCTCATTCGCATAAAAAAAGAGACACAGTGTCAGCCCTTGCCATTGGTCTTACATGTGTAGCAAACTTGCTATTCTATACAACTTTTCCATCTTTTCATCCTAACATAAGTCAGTCTAACACTGATTTCCAGAATATTGACTGAGCTTTTTTAAAAGGAAATGTTAGTGGCCTGACTATCGATGATAGGGATATTCTTTAGTAGAGGTTAGTTACAAACAGCGTGTGTTAGGAGTTTAAATTTACTAAATACCCTTTCAGTATAAAACATTCATACTGCACACAAACTTAAGCAATGTTAACTTTAAATATTGCAGTTTGGCTCCCTATATGGTAAACACAGCTATTTTTGTTGTTTAGTGTGATAAGGTGAACAAACCCCAAAAAAAATTGCTCTTGGACCATCAATCATATAGATTAGAATGCTTATGGAAAACGATTTTAAGCCGCAGAATGGTGTCTTCGAGAACAAAACATACGGCAGTTTAAAAAAAGAAATCCAAAGTGCGAATTTGTACTTGTGACACTGTCCACTGCTCTCTTTTTTTTTTAAAGTTTGGTTACATGACACAAATTCTAAAATGAGGTGGTTGTATAAAAGGAAAACAGATAGGCAATTAAAGTATTATAATAGTATTATTATAAACAATTTTTTTGGGGGAAAAGGGGGAGCTCTATAGTTGTTGTGTAAGGGGGAAGAAAAAAGGGAAGGGAAGATTATCAAAGAGAGAGAGATGGTATGCGAAATAAAATTAATGATAGAAGAAGCATTGTAGTAAGGGTTGCATCTACGTGAGTTGAGAGTGAGTGTGGGTGTATACTTGTTTGTATGATAAAATAGAAAAAAAAAAGGAAACAAAGATGCAATATATTGATTAAAGATGTGTATCAAGAGTGGGTTAGTAGTGTTATGTTCAAATGGTACTGGTTTTACATGTTTGTCATGGTATACATGTTTTCCAAAGCTTGCTTTTGAAGCACACCTTCTTGGAACCTGTAATGAAGGATTAGTAAAGAGGCTAATGAAATAGTTGTTTTAAAACTTACTTGCGAAGTTGTTCATTCTCATGAACAAGTCTTTCTAATTCAGACAAAATAGACATTTGAGTGTCTTTTAAGTGTTGTATATGTTGGACAGCTATGATGGGTATGTAAGAATAAAGTTATGCTACATTTCAAAGAAAAATTACTTACTGCGATGTAATAATGCGACTTTGCTCATTTTTTTATTTAAACAAGCTGGTAATTCATTTCTCAACTCTTCAAATCCATCTTTAATTTGAGCTCTTCTCTTCTGCTCGGATTGAATATGTATTTGTCTACGAATTTCGGTTGATGTCAAACCATTGCTTTTAATAAAAAGAAAGTTAGCTTTTACCGAAATATTAGTTTTTTTATACTACACTTACGTATTCATTTCATCGTCATTATCAGATTCTTCGCCATTGTTTTCGCTCATCTGTTGTTGTTGTTGCTGTTGTTGATGTTGCATTTGCTGCTGGTGTTGTGTATCTTCCATCATGTTGTCTTTGTTTTCTAATGTTTGCAAATATCTTCTTTGCTTTTTACGGTTAGGTCCACCACCAGTAGACTGTTCGTAAGCTTCTTTGGAATACTGTAAGAATTCAGGATAGAAAGATTCAGGCAACGAAGAAGCTTTTGCAAAGGCTTCGTTTAGGAATTCGACCGAGGAGGAAGACATAGTGGAAGCGGTTGTTGTTGAGGACGAGGAAGCAACTAACATGGGTGGCTCTTGGATCATGATCGATGAAGGCGAACAGGTATTCATTTTATGAGGTGGTGGAGAAGTAGACATGAAGGTAGAATCAGGACTGTTTTGTTGATGAATAAATTGGCTTTGTTGATCGTAAAAATAAGAACTTGAAGGTGATGGGTGGTTGTTTGCCATTGGAGAAACATAAAACGAAGATGCTATTTTATATCAAAATATCAAGAAAAAAATAGGTTAATTAGATGTAAATAAAATGACAGACAAATCTAAAATTACCAGGATAAACTATTGATTGATCAGGCAGTTCGAGTTTAGTTGCTGAAGAATAGGAAGAGATATTGAAGTTGTTGGGATATTCGGAGGAAGGTATACGGCGTTGTTGACTCATTTGTTGATTTGTAAAGAAAAAGCTTGGTATTGAAAAAAGGTATAAAATAAGCTCAGGGAGTAGCAAAAAGGGATTATGATGATAGTTTAAAAGATGGTTATTTGTTGTATGTCAAAGGGAGTGTATAGTATCAAGTTAAAAGAAGGAAAGGGAGGAGAAGGCTATTTTATTCACTAGAAGGAGTGTAAAGAAAATAATTTTAAAGCATTCAAATACGAAAAAAAGAAGAATAAAGAAAAGAAGAGGGAAACAAATTAATGAACTCTATTTAAAGGCGAAAAAAAAAAAAGATCATGCTTTTACAATTGTGTAGTAAGAATAACTGAGACTAAATCCAAGTATCTTTGTGAACCAATTTTGTAAGGGCACAGCATTCTATTTTCTCATAAGCGTTAAATTTACTGTTTGACAAGGTGTCACCTATAAAAATTACCCCGATTTTAAGTGATCATTTTCTTGTATAACGAGCCTTGTTTCTTTTAATTATCCAGTCTTTAGGCTTTTATACTAGACTTTCAGCCATTAAATGTCCGTTCCTTGGTTTTAAAAAGTACAACAATCGGAGATAAGGGTTAACAAAAGGAGGGGGAAAGAAAAAAAAAGGGGAGGGGGGAGGAGAGGGATAAAAATACACTATAAATGTAATTGAAGGCTTATATACTATATACAAGAACCGTAGCTGTATATGGTAAGAATTAATTGAACTTTGTCAACTAAGTGGCTTGCATGACAACTATTTTCTAGTAGGTTAACTATATCTTTCAGGGGAAAGTCGAATAAGAATACAAAAAAAACTAGTTATTAGGCCAAGAATCTATATAGTTGAATACGTTGTCTCGGTTCTATATTGGCTGTACTACCAGCAGTTTATTAGCGGAATTGTATTTGTATCAGAATGGGATGATAAACTTCTTTTTTTAAAATAAAGTAAAACAGCCTTTTCATCATCCAATCAATGCTACAAACAAACAGGCAGTAACGAGTGAGGTTATCAATTATTTTTATTGGCCGCTTTATTGTTTATTCAGGCCTTTTGTTTATACTTTCTGCATATTTCGTACGAGCGCGTCATTTTCGATAAATTTTTGCCTTTGCTGGGCATGCTACACTCATGTTACGCTTTTTGTTCCTAATGAAAATTCGGCATGAGTTTTACTGCCTAATTTAAGCAAGTAATAAATCATATGTTTATAAATAAGTTACTAAATATACATTTGTCAACATATTATTATACTCTCGTGGTAAATTTCGCTTCGCAACAACGTCTGGTCCGAGCCGATGATCGTAGATCCACGGCCAGTGATTGGGGTCTGTTCGTTTTTGAGTCTATAATGAACCAGTCAGATTGGACCCTTTGGGGAACGAATCATAACACCTCACGTTCATTTAATATAGGACATGTACAAATGACAGAATCTGATAAACATCTCGTTCAATTAGGATAATTACGTTATTACAAAATTTATTTCAAAGATTATTCTTTTTTATCCATTGCGTCCAAAATGTCTTGCTGTTCGTCATTTAAAGGTATTTCAGTGGATGGGCTAATTGGGGGAGGAGGGCGAGAAGGACTCTTCTTGTTGTTGATTGTATTATAAATTGCCAAAGCCTAATACAAGTTTAGTAAATTTGCTGTATTAAACAATGTTTCAATATGTCCTATATTACCTGTGTCACCATTGATGCAGCATCATTCGTAGAGGCAGGTACAATCATGGTAGTACCTTCCTTAGCCATTTTACCGAATGCCTCAACATATTTCTCAGCAACTGTCATAGAAACAGCATCGTTACCGTGGTTAAGAGAAATAGCATGAGCTACCTTTTCAATACCCTTTGCAGATGCAGTGGCACGTAATAAAATAGCCTCTGCTTCACCAGATGCCATATTGATTTTCTCGGCCCTTTCAGCTTCAGATGCTAAAATAGTCGCTTGTTTGCGACCCTCAGCAACATTAATGGCAGCTTGTCTAGCACCCTCTGACTCAAGGATCTGAGCTCTTTTTGTTCTTTCAGCAGAGACTTGTTGGTGCATAGATTCAACAACCTTGACAGGAGGGTGAATATCACCTTAAATAAAAAAAAATTAATACTTTGCGCCCTTACATCCTAAGTGTTACTTACGAATTTCATAACGCAAGCAACGAATACCCCAATCCTCAGCAGCAGAGTTAATTGCATCAACAATGTTTGAATTTAAGTGTGCACGTTCAGCCAAAGTACGATCTAAAGTCATTTGTCCAATTTCTGCACGCATGGTTGTTTGTGCTAGTTGAGTGATTGCAAATTCGGCATCTTCAACACCATACGATGCCTACATATCCTTAGTATGACGTAATAAAAAAAGTCATTCTATTTAATGCGTACCTTGAAAGGGTCGATACATCTAAAGTATAAAACACCATCCAACTCAAGTGTAACGTTATCTATAACGTGGTTTCATTAAAATGAATTCCTCGTTTTTTTTTCTTTGTTCGAAAAGAAAAATGACGTACCTTGTGTAATTGCACTTTGGCTAGGTACTTCGATAGCTGTTTCCTTTAAACTCTTAACATACTTAATACGGTCCAGGAAAGGAATCAGAATATTTAACCCAGGCTCCAACATTCTATCGAATTTACCCATGCGCTCAACAATCCATGCTTCTTGTTGGGGTACAAATTTAATAATCTAAAAGACGATTGAATAACAATTTTTTTTAAAAAAGTCAATCTTGACTGCAAATCACTTACAGTGTTTCTAGGTAAAGATTGACGTTCGCTACCAGAACCCCATGAGGTATTAGCAGGCTGTCCACCACCGTAGTTGTTGTTGTCATACTCATTGTTGTAACCATAACCACCATATTGTGCAATACGTCTTTGCAGTAAAGGTGTTGCCTAATCGAAAAAAAAAGAGGAGGAGGGGAAAACGCGCGTTAGATTGAACAATGGTGGTAGTAGATTGAAAACAATTCTCTTACTCTCAGGACTTGAGTGTTTGTAGCATTGAGAACTCTGCTGGTAGATGTCAATCCACGCGATCTTAAAAGACTGGCCATCTTGTTTAGGATTATGGTTTTTATGCAAAGTAACAGAAAAAATACCCTGGTGTGGATTTTTTTCGTCTGATGTAACTCATAAAGAGGGTGCACATAGGGATATAGCTGGCAATTTTGACATTTTTCTCACTCATTTAAATAAATCTTTGACCTTTTACAGTCAACATCACAATATCGTCCGAAAACAGGATGTGTAAGATTACTATTCCAAGAGGATATCCAGAAAATGTTGGTCCTCGTAATCTATACATCTACATACATATTAGATGAAAGTGTGCTGAATATCTCTGAAATCAAGTCTTGATGGCAACGGCAGTGTATTTAGATCTTAAATATTTTCTAGTTATGGAGGGGATGCAATTAGTCATTTAAAATGAGTACAAGCGTTACGTATCACATTCTGAAAAGCCTTAAAGTAAACAAACGGAGCATATTTTGTGAATAATGATCATGATTGATCAGCTGTGTGCACCATTTCATATGAAATCTACATTGTGAATTACAGGAGTACCTTTCTTTTTTTTTCTAAGTACGTCACAGTTGTAGTCGAACATGAGGAAAAAGAAAAGTTGCATGGATATGATTATATAATTTAGCCGGTTTCACATTGTAAAGTGTTGGTTAAATCAACAGGGAAAATATAGATGATCTATCTATGTGCGTATAGACACAACCATACTCTTTGTTTTTCTTTTTTTTTTAAAAAAAAAGATAAAGGTGCATTGTAAACATTACTTGCAGGGACGGTGTATTATTGAAATTATAATTTTCATATGCCAAATTTTGAACTCTTAAACAATGCGGGGTAAGATTTTATTAAAATGGAACGACTTTTTTTCTAATCTGTAACCCAGGGATCAGAATGTCAAATAGTGACACGTCTGTGTGGATTCCAAATGAATGTAAATAATTTTTTTAACCTTACAAAGCTTGTATTTCAACACCAGATACGTGTGAATTAAAGTGATTACCCACGAAATTGCAAGAGAAAAAAAGATTATTATGCTGAGGGTCGGAGAAACTGCAATACCGCTGACACAAACGCTAAATGGATTTGGACTTAGTAATTTGAATTAAAAGTTTCCATATAAACAAGCCCAAATTGCAAAATTTACCCCGCAAAAAAAAAAACCTTTTTTCTCTTACAAAAATATGTCTTTTGATAATAACGTCGCAACAAAGTTTCCCAAGTTAGCACCCAAGAGTCCCTCAGGCGAACTCTTATTAGCTAGTGAAAGAGCCCAAGGATCTTTCGATGTCAATGAGCTTTCAAAGTTCATGTATACTGATGACTGGTTGCAAAGAATGTACAAGGTACTTGCTGTTCTTGAGAACGAGCCTGCTTTCGATAAAACAGACCGTTATTATTTAAGCAGAAAAGATAAGATTACCTCTTCCTTATGGAAGGATAGTCGTCTCGTTGAGCTTGTTAAGTAAGTAACAATTCGGGGGTAGTCTATTTTTGTGTTTATTACTAACACTTTTTTCTTCATTGCATAGGGAACAGAAGTGGGATGAGACTGATACTCAAATTGCCAACTTCTTGTATGATCAATCCACACCTGTAAGTTTGATCTATTTAATGATATGTATGCATATTAAATATATCTTTCTCGTAGTTCTCCCTTCATTACAACATGTTTATTCCCACATTGAAAAATCAAACTACTGCTGAGCAAAAGAAGCTTTTCCTCGAGCCTGCATTGGCACACCGATTCATTGGATGTTACGCACAAACTGAGGTATAGCAATAGATCATCCATGTAACATACATAAATAGCAGTTGAGACTGACAAATGGGAATATAATTAATGTAGCTTGGTCACGGGTCAAATGTTCAGGGTCTTGAGACAACAGCCACTTACATTCCAGAGACAAATGAATTCGAACTCCATTCTCCCACTTTGACCTCTGCCAAATGGTGGATTGGTGGTCTTGGTAAGGCTGCTAACCATGCTATTGTCATGGCTCGTTTAATTACCGGTGGTAAGGATTTGGGACCCCATCCTTTTGTTGTCCAAATCCGTAACCTTGATGATCATCGTCCTATGGAAGGTATCACTGTTGGTGATATTGGTCCCAAGTTTGGTTTCAACAGTGTCGATAACGGTTTCATCATGTTCGATCATTACCGTATTCCTCATGTTTCTTTCTTGGCCAAATATTCTCAAGTTGAAAAGTCAACTGGTGAGTATTCAAAGCCTCCTAATGCCAAGCTGTCTTACGGCACCATGGTCTTTGTTCGTGCTCAAATTGTTATGGGTGTCCGTTTTGCTCTTGCCAAGGCTACAACCATTGCTGTTCGTTATTCTGCCGTTCGTCAACAATTTGTAGATGCTGCCAGCCCTAAGAAGTGGGACAACAAGATTACCGAGACTCCCGTCTTGGATTATACCATGCAACAATACCGTCTTTTGCCTGCTGTCGCAGCTGCTTATGCTTGTTTCTTCACCGGTCGTGAAATGATCCGTCTTTATAACTTGAATCAAGATGCCATGCAACAAGGTAACTTTTCTCTTTTGGCTGATCTCCATGCCAGTTCTTCCGGTCTCAAGAGTTTGACTACCACCATGGCTATTGAATCCATTGAAGATTGTAGACGTGCATGTGGTGGTCACGGTTATAGTATGTTCTCTGGTTTAGGACAATTCTATCAAGATTATCTCCCTAACGTTACTGTAAGTATTTTAACTACATGTACATTTGTTGCAGTATACTAATATTATCGTTATAGTGGGAAGGTGATAACTATATTCTTACCCAACAAACATCTCGTTACTTGCTCAAGACTTTCCGTAATGTCATTGCTGGTAAGGCCGAGCCTTCTGAATACAATCAAACCATCACCTACTTGACCCAATTCTTGGAAAACCCCAAGGCCAAGTGTCCTGCCACTAAGCCCTCTGACTTCTCCAACCCTGAATTGATCTTGTCCGCATTCGGTTTCCGTGCTGCATACGGTATTGCCCAAGTTGCTGAACAAATTGATCGTCACGGTCGTTCTTGGAACTCCATGTTGGTTGAGATCAGCCGTATCTCCAAGGCTCATTGCCAATTTGTTTTAGTCCGTAACTTTATTGTTGCTGTCCAAAACGATGAACAACTTACCACAGCCGCCAACCGTCCCTTGCTTAACGTTCTTCGTTTGCTCGCCAGTCTTTTTGCCCTTCACACCATGGAAAAGGAGTTGGCTGAATTCCTTGTTGCCGGTTACTTCTCTTCTGAGCAAACTGCCATGTTGAAGGAGCAAGTCATCCATCTTTTAGAGCAAGTGCGCCCTGAAGCTGTTTCACTCGTTGATGCCTTTGCTTTGCCTGATTACTTCTTGCACTCTGCCTTGGGTCGTTATGACGGTAAGGTCTATGAAGCCATGACCGAGATGGCCGAAAGAGAACCCTTGAACCACACCTTGGTTGTCGATGGCTATGAGTCATGCATCAAGCCCTTCACTGTTAAGAAATCTGCTGCGGATGGTGCTTCTGCCAAATTGTAAATAATACACATTGGTTTAATTTATATTGTACTTTTATTTCCCTTTTTTTTTCTAAATGTTAGATTCCCCTTTTATATAAATAAACACATTTCACTCCTCCATCATTTCTATTCTTGAGAGAGGATTTGTCGGTAATTTTGTTTTCTCTCTCTTTCATGTATAAGTCATAACATGGGTAGTAGATGATACAGAGCTTTCATAAAAATGTCAATAGCACTGGAAGACAGCAAGAATCATATGTTTCCAACTTACCTACATAGATATTGGGTTATTGTTATCTACTCACTACATTTGATGATCACTGTCAAAGTCCATCATGTCATATCAGTGAAGTCTGTCAAATAATTTGATAGACCTAAACCCTGTCGGGCATAATTGAGAGAATAGATTCATTTCAAGTGCAAGCAGCAATGATAAATTTGAGGTAAGCACTTGCAAAATAAATGAAAAAAAGCCCATTGGGGTTTTAAATACATCAGGATCTTGTTTCTTCGCTACAACACTTCAGCATACAATAGCAATCATCATTTTATGATAGCCATCATCGAAGGCACACCCTGATCTACCATAACTGAAAACGGTAGGATGATAAAGACAATGCCATTTTGCATCAGCCTTGACAGTGTATAATAAAAAGTTTATCTGACGGACGAACCTAATAGGTGTGTTCTTAAGAATTAACCAAAGAACGAGCCGTTTGCTACTTTAAAATGGCAACGACTGTTTGCCTAAAAAGGGGTGTGGTTTATGGCTTTTTGTGTCTGTGTCTGTGTGTGTGTGGTACACTTTCAGCTCAATGCTAATTACGATAAATTACAGTGAACTATTTTAATTGTTGTTCTCTCTATTACAGCTTTTCATAACCGGATGAATAATTTAAACTCTATCAAAATAACATAGGACATGTTATAGCTAGACCTGGCATAGCAACCAAGAAGATAGAGTTTGAGTTGTTTTGAGTGATAAGTCCATGCATTGATTTCAAAATTAGCCTTTCTTCACTAGTTGAAGTGCCGCCCTCTTTTTCATTTTTTTTTATTTCTAGCTATTTTACGTGTGGAAGGGAACACTTTTTGTGCTTTAATACTCTTTTCCTTTAAAAAAAACACCTTCACCCATGCCTCCAGCCAAACCTACTTCTAAAGGTTCGAGAAAAAAGAGAGAGAAAGAATGATATGTTTAGTGACTTATATAGATCAAATGTAGCCGTTAAGAAGAGAAAATATGCCAATGTTGATCCTAGTCAACCTCGCATGGATCAATTCTTAACCTCACATGAGTCGACACAAGTGAAGGATGATCCCATGGAGATTGACTCACTCTCTTCCACCCCTACAAAAGTGACAGACAAGAATACTGTGTTGGGCACAGTACGTCAACAATCCCTCACACCTTCTATTGTAATCACCAATCCCAGACGTAAGCTTCTTTATATTTTGAAACAAGGGAAAAAAAAGTTTTTTTTACATCCATTTGTATAATAGCAGACAGACTTCAAACAATACCAGACAACTTTTTCAAAAACAGTTGGACCAGTATGAAGAGCCTGATTGCCGATATATTTTCTAAAACGGATTTTAAAGGCTTGAATTATCACACGGTATCAAAATTGTCTGAAAACCTGTGCCGACATGGTAAATCTAAAGTCCTGTTTGAAGCATTAAAAGAGGAAATACAAGCACATGTTGTTGATTTAAAAAAGAATCTGCTGTCGGTCCCCGTCAATCAAGAGATACTCGTTCGATTCAATCTTTGCTGGACAAATTTCTGCAGTCAATTGACAGTCATTCGAAATGTCTTTATGGAGTTGGATAGAACTTATATCTTACCAAACACAAAATTCAATTCAATCATGTAAGCGTGCGTCTCTGTAAAGTGTGTCACTATTTATTCAGTTTTTTTCTTTTTCAAGTCAATTAGGAAAGCATATATTCAGTGATGTCATATTGGATACCGCCAGTTTTCGCAGTATCATTGTATCAGAAGTGTTGTTACTTATCAAACAGGATAGGTACCTGATGAAAAATAAAGTTTTATATCTTGCATTTGTTAACACACTTTCATTACAGAGATAATTTACCCGTGGATATCAAACTTATACACTCTGTTTTACAAATGCTGATTGAATTATCATTTTACCCAACCGACTTTGAAGCCAAATTCTTAACGAGCACCAACACCTATTACGCAGAGGAATCGAACCGTTTGATAAATGACTTGGCTTTACCGGATTATATCAAACATGCGCATCACCGTCGAACCCAAGAATCCGTGGACCGTATTAGAAATTATCTAGATATGCATACCAAGCAAGCATTAGTCAACGTGGTATCACATCAGTTAGTCTATAGCAAAGTAGATACCATGATCCGAAAGGGCTTTGACGTATTACTCTCGGAAAACATGCTGGATTCACTCAAATTATTTTACGATTTGCTTTTACCGAGCCCCAAATTGAGTTTATTACGTCAGGCATTTGCTGAATACATCAAGACCGAAGGCGTCGATTTGATCAAACATCCATCATCCGATCCAACCATGATTATCGAGATTTTAAAGTTTAAAAAAGATTTGGATACTATTGTACAGGTGTGCTTTGAAAATGATGTGACCTTCCAGAATGCTCTGAAGGAAAGCTTTGAATACTTTATCAACTCGAGAGCGAATAAACCTGCAGAATTACTTGCTAAATTTATCGATTCCAAATTAAAAAATCCACTCAAGGTAAAGAAACCCCCCCCCCCCCATTTGCAGGCTGAAATAAAAGATAAACTGACATTCCGATGTAGAAACAGCAAAGAAACATCAGCGGTGGCCCCGAATTAGATATAGCTATATTAGACAGCGCACTTGTGTTATTCAGATACATTCAGGGCAAGGATGCGTTTGAAGCACACTACAAGCGATTCCTCGCAAAACGACTCTTGATGGATAGAAGTGCATCTAGCGAACTCGAATTACGCATCATTGAAAGACTGAAAGCCGAATGTGGACAAGAATTTACAAAGAATTTGGAAAGCATGTTTGGGGATATGAAGCTCTCTTATGAGTTGAATAACGAATTCAAAGTATTTAAACCGGAGATACCTCGTATGCCCTTGGTGGTCAAGGTTGTTTCTCAAGCGATCTGGCCTGTATCACCTGCCTCTGATATTGTATTACCACCTCAGGTAATCTAAAAAAAAAAGAAGATAATAATATATGTTTGCTAAGTGATATTTTTAATAGATGCTGAACAGCCAGGGATTATACACTAAATTCTATACCTCCAAATTCAACGGCAAAAAGTTGATTTGGCAAAATTCATTATCATCGTGTGTGATTACCGCACATTATCCACAGGGTAGCAAGGAGATCAATATGAGTTTATCACAGGCGGCAGTGCTTTTACTTTTCAACACCAAGAAATCCATGACCTTTAGCGAGATTTCCAAGGCTACAAATCTGGATATCAAGGAACTCTCACGATTACTGGCGTCCTTATCTACGGGCGTTTATAATTTGTTAGTGGATGATACGGTGAATGGCATCAAAGGATTTAAATTCAATGAGATGTTTCAACATAGCGCCACCAAATTACGTATCCCTCCCGCAGTTTTGGATCCGGCTGTGGAGGAACAAAAGGTGGAAGAGAAGGTATTCAAGAACAGACAACATCAAGTGGATGCGGCTATTGTTCGAATCATGAAAGAGCACAAGACAATGTCACATACAGCGTTGATGACTGACGTTTTAGCACAATTGATGTATCCTGTAGATGTAAAGTGTATATTGTACATCATAAAGAGAATGAAAGACTAACTCCCTCTCTTTATCTTGTTTTAGGCTGCGGATGTTAAGAAGCGTATCGACTCACTTATCGAAAAGGATTATCTAACTCGTGATACAGGGGATACTTCGCTTTATATCTACCAAAGCTAAATTAAGTGACTGTTGGGACCTCATCATATCCATATATATATAAAAAAAGGAACCTAAAAATGGGTTTTTTTCCCTTTATGCTTTATAAATTTATTTAAATGAGTGGACAAAAGCTAACAGTGACATGTAACGTAAACTATCTACCTTTTGCCCTGTACTTTGTGTGTGTGTGTGTGTGTGTGTGTGTGTGTGCTTAATGAATTGTTATTCCTAGACTGCGATGAATATGGTGTATGGCCACTGATTGCAGATGATTTATCTGCGCGACTTCCGCTTCGAAACTTAAAATGGCAACCTTCGAGTCAACGAGCCGAGTGCATCATTCCGATTCTTGAAGTGGATTTAAAGCGCTTTACAGCAGAACATACACCTCAATTATTATCCACCACACAAACTGTGTACCTGAACCTATACTTTGTCGCTTGCGATGTAAAGTAAAAAAAAGAAAAAGAAAAAAAAGTGGATGAAATAAAGGGACGAGCTAACCTTTTGGCAAAAAAATAAATAAAAAAAATAGGACAATGAGGTTTACAAGACACAGGTACGAAAGAACATTCGAAATTGGGTGGAAACCATTCAGTCCAAAAAGAACCAGGAATGGTTAATTGTGTATGTGGCTGATACCGAAGCCAAACGTACGAACAACTATTTAGGTCTCAAGTCTTCTGTCTTTGATAAAATCAAGACGGATTTTAACCCGCCCAAGCAAGACAGGTTAGGCTAATGATGTCGTTTTGTTTAAACTATGACTGACCTCTTTTCCATTAGATGTGCTTACATTCGAAAGAAGGATCCCGAAGGACCTCAGTCGGAATTATGGACACAGTTTATGGAAAAGATGAAGGAATGCATCTTGTCTAGTTTCGATATGCAAGTACTTCAAATTCAAGAGGATACACGACGTCTCGACATGCAACGACATATGCCCGGTTGGAACTACTGTACCTTTTTTATACTGAAGGAAGGATTGGCTCAAGCCTTTGAGATCATGACACTGTATGAAGATGCCCTGATACAATACGATGAACTTGAAGCTTCTTTTTTCCAAGTTTTGCGAGGTAAAATTAAATAGGAAGGAAATCTAAATGACTTTACTCACACACTTTTTAAAGACAAAGCGCTTGCTTGGTTCGGTCATTTTGGTGGTACAGATCAGGGTGATGATAGCGGAAACATTCTTGATTTCAAGCGCAAAAACTATCGCGAACTCATCAACAAGAACATTATCTCGGTGTTTGATTTCAGAAGTTACCTATTTGCCAGACAATGTCGCATGTTACTCAAGTTGCAACGAGTGATTGAGGTTACTGCCCGTGCCCAACTCTTCATTACCAGTTTCATTCCATCCATTCGAGAAAACGAGGAACATTTACCAGAAAGTTTTGTAGAGTCCTGGGTATTCTCCGCTTGCATGAACGTCGTCAATGAATGTGAACCGTTGTTTGCTCAATTGGTGGCAAACAATACCGATTTGATCGTGCCTTACAATGCAGTGAAGGCAGATCTCTTATTGACAGCACGCAGACAATTAGATAAAATTGGTATCAAGTGTAAACATTTACCCTTGACAGATCCGTTCTCCATCTACATTGATCATGTTAAAAGCGCTCAACCATTGAACCCCGATGAACCCAAGAAACATATCACCAATGTAAAGTTATTAGAAGCAATTGAATCTGTCGAAGCCTTTGATAAAACATACATGGTAAAAATAAGAGGAACAGGATTGTAACTTGATTTATTAACAATACAGTTTCTTTTCTTTTTTTTAAAAAAAAAATATTAGGGTTTGAGTACACGAGCCATTAAAAGTTACGATGCCAGTTATAGATCCCGAGCCGCATTAAATGTACATGGTGATATAGCCGCCTTGAAATAGTATGTGATATATTTATATAAAAAATAGTGCTTACAAAAAGAAAGAAGGCTAAACAAACTATTAAAAAAACAGCATTCGAGAGAAGTATGAAGAGGCAGTTCGTATTTATGAATCAATGATTTGGCGATATGGGGAACATGAATGGAGCTCAATCGAGAATAGCTTGTTGATCAAGTGTGCCGATTCTCAGCGTCGATTAGGGAAAGCAGATCAATATGTGGAATCGCTACTTGCTTTATTAAAGAACTCCAAGTTTTTACAAGCGGAGGAAGCACGACATTACACGGACGAACTGATTGCCAATGTGGCGAAATTGGATAAGGAAGTAAAACGACCCTTTTCACCCATTTTCTCGATCGCTGTGACCTCAATTATTGATGATGGCGCCGTGGTGGATAGTACCAGTGTGGAAGTTGTCATTGAAAATCATTTGCCAAAGACCATTCGTTATGACACGATTTCTCTTCGTTTGGTAGGAAGTGATCCTGAACAAATTTGCTTCACCATTCATCATCAGGATTTAAAACCCGGTAAAAATAATTTCTTACTGACCAGTGAGGTAAAACCCAAGCTCTTTTTTTTTTCTATCATCATTTTTAGTTTAAATACTTACACCTTAATAGACTTCGACATCAGGGAATTATGTGGTAGAAACATGTGAAATGAAGTTGGGTAAATTAATCTTTAGTCATAATTTCTTGCGTCCCGGACAGAAGAAGAGAGTTGTTCGATTAAATCATGATATGAATCAGTTGTATGCCACCATCTCTCAACCTCACGAAAGTAAGTAGTCTTATTTTTAAAAAGATCCAGTTGTAACTCACAGAACGCTATTAAAAAACAGTTTGTTTGGGTGAGCGTCAAAAGTTATCAGTCAAGATAGATAGTCGATCGGTAGCTTCCAAAGGAGGTATTCTCTTGTTAGAATCCCAAACAGAAGGTATGACCATCTCTCAGATGCCCAAAGTCTCTGCTCTTTTAAAGCACGGAGAAGACGAAGAGAAAGAAATCGAATTGGACATGTTGGAAACAGGCGAAGTTATCCTTGTTGACCTTGACAAAAATGATCATTTGGAGCTCTTTGTCATGTATGAAGGTCCTTATACCGAATTTGATTACAGAGTAAAAACATGGTTTCGAAATTGTTGATTTCTTATAATACAAAATGAAAACTTACCACCCAATAATAATATTAGATAAAGGCAACAATCACATACATGGTAGATGAAAAGAAGCACAAGTTTGTTTGTTCCGATTCTGTTAAAGTGACGGTGCCTTTACATGTTACAGAATCCACCATCTTTAGAGAGACCTGGTAAAGACTTATGAGTGCTTTTAGAATGGGATAGATTTTACTTATGCTTAATTCATAAAAAATAGCGTGTTTTTAAAGGTGGAACTATCATGTAATGGTGATTTACCTGTTCGTATCCTTGGTTCTTATGCAAAACCATCCACTTACTACCTGGTTGAAAGTCAGTCTGAAATGAAGCAATGTGATTTGGTAACTTAATTTTCCCACGGTCGCACACCAGTTTGCTTTTTATTGTCTTTAACCCGGTTTTTATTTTTATTTTTCATAGACATTATTCCCAGGGCAGACGGTATCATTCATTTATAAACTCGTGAAAAGGGAAGGAGATGCAGGTAGGAAAAAAATTAGAGAGCTTGTGAAAGTATGACATGGAACTAACAAAGGATACAGATTTAAACGTCAATTCCAAGATTCACTTTAACGTGAAATTCAGGTCATTGAAAGAAGGTATAGTTTATATCCCATAAATGTGATTATATGATGACAATTTTTTTTCTGTATAAAAATTAACGTATATATCAGAGGTGGAAAGTAGCTTACAATTGATGATGAAGGAAAAATTGAAGGAGGTGAATTTGGCACAGCATCTACCTTATGTGTTTGAAAAGGTACGCGAAGCATTTTTATCTTCGGTAGATTATTCCAGTTATGGGCTTACCGATGTGGTCCATCTGGATGATTTCGATGCCGAGTTATGTGAGTCCTTTTTATTGCATCGTGATCTCAAGACCAAAGTTCAATTATTGGATTTGATAGAAGAGTTTTTCGAGGTAAAATATTTTGTGTGTGCATAGATAGACAAAAAGATAATAAGCTAACATGGGTTATTCCATAGCAACATGAGGCGATTACAGTTCAATTGATCAAACAGCAGTGTCCGAATCCTCGAGAACATGGGATTGCATTCCCATTGGAAGTACCCACCTCTAAAATTCTTCATACAGCTGAGCTCATGCTTTCGGTGGAAAAAGATTTACTGGTATCAGAAGCATGTCCATGCACGCTGCGTATTAAGCAACTGACGTATTGGAGTGATGCCAAGGAGGCAACACAACAAGATAATGAATTCTTTTATGATATCGATGTGGATTATGATAACTGGTTACTCTCTGGTAAACGACGACTTCGATTCCGATCGAAACCAGGGGAGATGATGGAGTTTGATATTCGTCTTGTGCCATTAAAGACGGGTAACTTATTATTACCATCTGTGCGTATCTCTGCTGTCTCACCCGAGATCTTTGCATCCACTGTCTATGTCAATAGCGCCCAACAAATTTTGGTGAAACCCAAATCGAAAACAGCCACTTTTTTTGTGGAACAACAACGGTTTATGCAACAACCCACGTATGTGACCAATACTTTACCCATCGCTGTTGAAAATGCTAGAAATAGCATCAAGAGTCCCATTGAACTTTCTATTTAAAAAAAAAATGATACAATTATTTATATACATATATATTTTGCTTTTTTTTTAATATCACTTTCTACATTTCTTGTTGGTAGAAGGATCAAAGAAATTATCAAGTGTGGTATTGTTGGATTCTTTTCGTTTGTTACTAGAAGAGGGAGGGCTGCTGATTTTGGTATAGGTACCACCACATTCACGCTGATGCGCTTCATACCAATTATCTGCAGGTTGTGGAGGTCTATTGTTGCTATAAGTCACTAACTCATAAATCATCTATACATGAACAAACCTGTTCACGGCCCGTTTAACTATACCAAAGTAGGGAGGCGCATATTGACATTTACCCTATTTAATGAAGTGGTGATTAATTCGCTTATTTTCCTTTAAAAAAAGCATTTCGCACTGTCACTTTACATTGCATTTCCAGACGTGTGTTTTATAATAATCCACTTCATCATGAAACCTAAGAAAAGAAGAAAAATGTTATGTAAAGAGACCAACTTATTTTACAATTTCTTTCTTTACGTGTGATAAACTGTGATATTGAGATTGGCAGCTTGACTTATTCTTTTCGCTTCTTTTAAAAATTCAGGCCCATGAGCATCTACCATAAACGCTTAATAATGGAAGTGTGGGATTTAAGCTCTCCTTTTATTTACCTCTGTCTGTATTATTTTGTTGAATGAATAACAAGGCATGTATCATTTCATGCTTAAGAAAAAAAAGAATATATTAGTCAAATGGGCATTGATAAACAATGTTTTTTATTTACCAGCAAAGTTTCAAACATGTCTTTCTTGGTCCTGAATTTGAGTAAAGGTTCGGATAAAGCAACGATACATTCAAAATTTTTCTTATAAGTACATGTTCCAGCACTAAGAAAGGGGAGATAGATCAATATAAATATGATATATATAGATCAATGAATATATGCGTTTATACCAGCGTGTCATTCGAGTTGACCATTTAACTTGCACACTATCCAGCATATTGCTGAAATAAACCTTGTTGAAATACATGAATAGTTGGTACAGGTCGGGGTTTTCTTGGGTAAGGATGTCAGCGTCTACGGTGTGAAGCAACTGTCTGGCCAAAGCAGCGTCGGGTGAGTCGTTTTCATTTTGAAGACGGAGCGCAAGCGCATAATCCGACAGAAAGTGGGTGTTTACAGAAGGGAGGGTGGGGGGTTCGTTCTCTTGTGTGAGATCAATAATTGGTTGTGATTGGAGTTGCCTTGCCATGGCTCGATCTGCTTTCTCCATGGCTTCTATTTCCAGCATGTCTTGTTCATGTAAATAGCGAGCAAAGGCTTCATCGGCATCCATGGCGTACGTTTTTTTTTTTTTTTGTGAAAAAGGGAAGAAAAAGAGAGATAAATGCGTAGTTAAAAAAATTTATTTGACATAGAAAATTAAGAGTAGTAATCTGGTTTTTTTACATTGACACCGTATTCAGCTAAAGCAGCAGAAAGATCTTCCATAGTCAATACTGTTTTACGATCCTATGGATGATATTTGTGTGTCAAAAAAAAAAATGATGGATTCTCTTGCGCACTTGTATAATTTACCTTGCCGGATTTCCTATTGCCTGATTGTCTCACTTTCGAATATTGAAATGCATCTGTAGCTATATCTGCTACAAATTTCTGTGTAGCCAAGGCCAAAAGACGCTTGCTGTTTGCTCTCATCAGTTCAAGCCCACATGCATGAAAATAAAATAAAATAAAAACTCACATTCTGACATCGTTGCAATCGAATCCTGATTTACTCAAATAATAATCTGTTACTGCATCGGGTATCTGATTTAAAAATATAAAAATAAGTATAGGTTTCAAGACATTACAGAATTAGGACCGTTTACAATGGGGGCGTAATTATCCATGGTGGCTAGAAATTCAGCCATCGTTTTCTCTTTTTTGGCATCAGGTTCGATTTTAGGCACTTCAATAGTCGGTAATGTCGGTATTTGCGCTTGTGAGGCCGGTGTTTGTGGTGGTGGCATATCGCCAGGGTTTTTAGTGTGTGTAGGTATCTGTAATGTGTTATTGCTGTCGCTCATATTGTGTGTGTGTATTTGTGTGTGTGTGTGAGAGAGAGAAGGTGAAAAAGAGTTACTTAAAATTTAGAAGAGAGCCAAACACCAAAAAATAAAAGTCACACCCCACCTTTTTCAAAGGACAGAGGAATAGTCATGTTGAAACCATCGACCTTACACTCAACGATTCTTAAAGATATTTTAGGTGTGTGTGATGGTAATGCTGGACCTGATACCAAGGGGTCAATATATCTTATAGCCGTAAGCTAATATATTCAATAAATATATAGCACTCCTGTCTGCGTGTATTACAGCTTTCAACGACTTGCATGGACTTTACCCTAAAATGTATATATGTCTTAAAATTAAAGGGTGAAAGAGTGACGATTAAATTGCCCAAAGAGGTACAAATCGTTCAATATATATCTATTCATACCGGTTTTATTTTATTGGATATTCTCTCCCGAGAAAATCGGTTGTAAAAACAACCTTCATAGGCTTTGAAGAATCACAATAGCAACAATTACACGGCCCAAGAATACCTCGCACTCATGCTTCTCAAGCAGACAATGGTGCTATAAGTTTAGCATAACTGCTTTACTGTCTCTAAGAAATACGAATTGCATGAAAAAAAAAGATGAGGTCCTTTACAGCATTCCTGGACGATTATGCCACCTGCTAAAAACAGATCTGTTTTTTTAAAAGCTGGTATTACTGTCTCACTAAGCAGTTACGGGTTAAGTAAAAGAAGAAGAAGGAGACACCATCGACCGGATAATAACTGAGTCTGATATTAACAGTCTGATGACGAGAGCATGGCAGACGAGCAGGCATTTTTTTCTGGTGAAGTTCCGAATAGTGTATGGTACAATTATTTTAAAGAAGTCCAAAAAAGACTGACAGAAGAAACAATGCCAGCTGAATATAGTACTGGTATATTTTGGATTCGTCCCATGCAACCTCCCTGTTGAGTATTTTTATCTTCCACATATTTTCCTATGGATTCTACACTTATTATTGAGCAATAAGAGTAATGACTTGCATTGTCCGACATGTAAATCATATATTCAAACCAAAGGGTTCAGTAAAAAACCCATACTCGCCGCGTTGTTGATCTTGATAGGTCAGTCAAACCTGTGGACTAAATTTTTATCCCAAAAAAAAAATTGTACATACGATAAAGTTTTCTACTGATTCTCTTTTCTATGAATACTCTAGTAATACCCGTATGATGTCTCTTTGTGTAAATTGGAGAATTTATTGTTTTATTCCAGGTCAAGTTGAAATGTGTGTGTGTGTGTGTAAAAACGGGGACTGATGTTATTAAATTGAATTGATTATCAGATACAGCTTTATCTATCTTTCTGAATTTCTACTTGTTTAGCTGAAGAAAAGACATCCCAAAATTTTATAGTTTCATCACTACCACCTGTAACTACAATGTCTCCATCATGGCTCATAGTCATGTATGTCACACGATTATCATGACCAGACAGCGTTGCTACCTTCTTCAATTTGTATGGTTTCCAAATAATAATTTGACTGCCCGAAGAATTGAGCTCATCTGTAAGACCATGTGTACTCACAATCTCGTCTGTTTTCTTGCTCCATTTCAGATTGCATACTTGCGATCCAACAGGATACGAACTTGTCAATTTACCGGAAATTGTGTCCCAAAATTTAATTGTTTTATCATTGGTCCCTCCACCGCTCACCAGCACGCCGCGTTTATGTGGGCTCCAACTTAAGGCTTTTACAGCCGCTGTATGCTGATTTAATCGATGCACAATACTATTTGAATGCGAATCCCACAGCAACAACTGATTATCATTTCCGCCACTTGCCAGCATAGTACCTTCATTATTCCATTGAAGACCACACACTTCATGACTATGTTGCTGCATTCGGTTAAAGTGAGGATTTTGGGAGCGCACATCTTGATGGAAGATAGTGTGATCACGACCACCTGTACTGAGTATGTTTGACTTCCAAGAAATAGCACCCACACGCATAGTGTGATTGTTCCAAGTACGTACACGTCTTAAACGCTGGGTGTCGTAAAGATGTACTTTTCCAGAATTTGACCCTACAGATAATAAGGAGCCAACGGAAGACCATTTTACAGAGGTTACTTTATCTATTACCAAATCACACAACCTATACACACGGCTATTATTAGCGTTCCATAAAAACACACTAGTTCCTAAGCCAACAGCTAAACAATCATTTGTTCCCCAATCCAATAAATTCATGTAAAAATCGTCCTTCAAGTCTGGTGCATCTAATGTCTTGAAAGGTCTTGTATCTATTGCACGTATTTCAGTGGGTTTCATCAAAATACGTTTCCCATTTTTACTAATAGCGGGTAATATCTCAAACCGTGGGTTGATAGGAGAAGGGATAACGGTTGATTCTGGTTCGGGGGATAAAGAGGAAGTATTTTGTGATTTTTTAGTGTAATGGTATACTCTACCATGCAAATTAGCTGAATCTCTATCAAAGTCGTTCCAAGCGGAGGCATCGTCTAATAGCTCGGTGCGGAAGTAGGCGTTTAGCCTTTTTGTCTGCTCAGGGATGTCTAAAGAATTCTGTACTACCCGGGTAGCTGAAACCATCATTTGAAAATCTCGCACAATATTGCGTTCCCTTGAAGGTATTGTTCTATCTCCCTGGACTTGGTGTCTTTTTTTGCCATAAGGGGATGGAGGAAAGTATGATTCGATGGATTGTGTGGGAGGCGTTTTGGGTCGTTCTTGGTTGTCTGAAGCCGTTGAACTTTGTTCCTCCGTATCCAGTGGTAGGACTGAAGCTTTGGATGAGCTTAATGTCTTTTTAGGCTTGTCCATTGCTGATTTCTGTTATCAGTATAAAAAAATTGTTTCTTTTTATAAACAGATCACTAATTTTTTTTTTTATTTTATTCAAAGAGAATTTTACCAGTTTACCGAAACGTTTAATTTATATGCTGATCAAAATAGGCAAAAGACAATGAAATAAGAGAAAAATAGGGAGTAAATATTAATATCGTTTCCAATACTACCCCAGCCGTATATTTTCTTACTCTGCACACTTTTTTTAATAGAGCCTTACTGCACAATATCTATATTAAAGTCTATGTTTAAAAGCTACAGTGAGATAACAAAATAAAGGCGGAACATATTTTAGCTGCTACAGGTCATTTACAATGGATAAACTCGCAGTCTAATTCTCATCTTATAATCTGAGACCTACTTAGATAGATGTCTACATTTTATTGAGTAAATTATACACGTACTCAAATAGTTTGCACTATATAATGGTGACACCAAATGTCTTTGCATGCTATGTCTTTGCATGGAATTCGTAACACAAACAGCTGATCATTATTTTCGGAGGGTGGGGGGTTCATTAACATTCGTAATTAAGTTTATAGTAGATTCTATTCCATCCATAGAAATACTAGGGGAAGTCCACATCATATGGCAAAGACCAGCTGTAGCTGTGATATCACCGATATCCCGCAAAAACTGGAATAGGCCTTTACAAGAAAAACGGGGCATACTTTAGCATCTACTTGAACAAGTCATTATTATAAGCTAACCTTTTCACAATGTTTTATAATGAAAGTGCTGTACACACCTATGGAAAGAAAAAGGGAAAAGAAAAACGAATAAAAAACTGCGTGAACGAGTTTTTATTTATAGAACTAGTTTATGTCAAAATATGTCCTCATTATTACTGAGCAAAGAAAACTTTCAATACTTCTTCTTGGATCTCAAAGCAAACAAGCTTTGATACGAACACGATTAACCACGAAAGGGTGAAAATACAATTAATTCCAGAAGGAAAATAAGGAAATAGCCCAAAATAAATTTCAAAGAACCTCTCCCGACATTGCAATGGTAATACCAACACACAGCAAAGGGAAGTTGGGAGATCAAAGAAAACAAGTTAATAAACAAGTTATAAAATATAAAAAAGATGGACATTAATACAAAAAATATGAATAAAAAAATATTAACTTTTTTTTACCCAAGATATATATAAAATAGATATATATTTGGTGTAAGCATCACATTAAACAAAAGCAATCTCGATGAGCAACTTATTAGTGAACATCACAATCAAGTAATAGTTCTCAAGTAAGCCAGCTCTTAGAACGTGCTTTAGCTGCGTCGCGTATTAGGGATTCCACCAAGCCCACAGAGATTGCTCACAACCGAACTATCCGTACACCTTGCTTTTGCCCTACAGTATAAAGATAGCGGTTACCAAGATAAGAGAATAAATCAACTTATCCCGACCCGATTGTGGTTTAAGCTTTGCTTACTTCTCTTCATCACAGCAATCTCGATGAACAGCTTCACTTGAAAAGTAAAATAATTCAAGATTAATTTTTTTTTACAAGTGAGCCAACTCTTTTTTCCATTTAGTTGCGTCGCGTATTAGGGATTCCACCAAGCCCACAGAGATTGCTCACAACCGAACTATCCGTATACCTTGCTTTTGCCCTACAGTATAAAGATAGCGGTTACCAAGATAAGAAAATAAGTCAACTTATCCCGACCCGATCATGTTTGTTTGCAATGAAGAGAGTATTTGTAAGAAGGAAAGGAAAAAAAAGCTGTTTAAATGATACTTTTTTTCGCTCCAAAAAAAAAACGGTGTCCGTATAATTACGCAATCAAATTGACAACTTATGTCCGCATATGCTAAGCAATAAACACATTTTTTGATCTGAATGATATATAAACCAAACACAATCCCCAGAGTGCACTTTATTAAAATTCTTAGTTTATTTTTGTAAGTTTGATAATTTTCTTCTTAATAAAATAGAATATAATGATGAATACTTTTCTTTATGAAGATGGACAAGAAAACATTTTTAATGAGCAAGGCGAGAAAGTTTACGATCCAATGGAGGATGTTTTAACGCAAGTCAATGATCCCAACATAGTTCTTGAAACAATAGTTAGTCGGGAAACTTATTTGAAGACTAAGCGTCCTGAAAAACCTTCGGATGAGTCTTCATCTAGAAAGCAACTGAAATCTACCAATTTGAAGCCACCAGGGTGGTCATACAATACTTACAGCGATTTCACCCGAGAATCTTTCATTGACCGTATGCTTGAAAGTCTCCAAGAGCATGGACTGATTGCTAAGATTGCGAAAGATTTGAATATTAATTACCGTACCGCAGTAAGATGGTGGCATTTTTATGAGGAAACAGAAGAAAAAGCATATAAAAAAAGTGAACTAAACTCTGGCCGGATAAGCTCATTTACAGCGGAACATAATAAGCATATTAATGAGCTTCTTGATAACGATCCTCAGCTATATTCAGATGACATCATAAAAAGTTTGACTGAGCAATTTGAAGGATATAAAATTTCAAAGGCGCAAATGAATACTCATTTACGAAATACAATGCTTATCACTATAAAAAAACCGATGTTTGAACCTGAAGTTAGAAACTCAATTGAAAATCTACAGACAAGATATGCATGGTTTATGGACTGGAGAGACTCAGACCTGGATTTTGCAAGAAACCGCATCTTTGTTGATGAAGCCAGTTTTCATATAAACACGAGAAATAATTGGGCGAGATCAAAAAAAGGTACCAATGCAGTCGTAAAGCAGCCAAAAACAAGAGCTACATCTCATACGATTATTGGTGCTATTCACTCGTCTAGCATTGTTCATGTTGCCATCAGAAAGCCTCCACCAAGAAAAGAAGTACAGGCTGGAAAAAAAAGAGTAAGGGCTAATAATGGAAAGAAAAGATCTGCAGCTGAAAGTATAGTAGACCCTGAAGTTGATGATGACTCAGCCGATAATAAACAGCCACCAAAAGGTACTACTACAGCGCATTTTATCAAATTTATGAACCAACCTCTTGCAATCATGGATCTTGATGAAACTTTTAAGGGGAATTATACTGTTATGGATGATGCTTCTATCCATAAATCCAAACCGATGATACGAAAAATCGAAAGTAAAGGATATAAAGTCATGTATCTTCCTCCTTATTCCCCTGAATTAAACCCCATCGAACAATTTTGGGCACTAGCTAAAAGGAAAATGAAGCGTGATCGACTTATGAGTGAAGAAAACTTATCTAGTAAGATTGGCAAGGCTTGTAATGATGTGCTCATTAGTGACCTCCATAGCTTTTGTAATCATTCTAAGCGCCAAATCAATAATTGTATAAAATGATAAAAGTTTTTTTTTTCAAATAAATATTCTTTTAAACTATATATCATATTGTTACAGTGTCTCCACTCTCAATTTACTGGATTTTTGAAAACGCCACCCACTTTTTTAAGTGATTTTGAACATTTGTGTGAGGTTAAGTTTCCCAGGAAAAGGAAACTAGTTTGGTCAAATGTTTGAAGCTAGTTTGCCTGACTTTTTGAAAATAAATTGCCCACTGTTTTGCAAATAACTTGACCAGCTTCTGGTCAAATGATTATGAAGGTAGGTCTAATATGGCTCTAAATATAAAGCTCAGGCATCAATTCCTCTTAATTACATGCTGGCATTTGATTATTCAAGTATAAGCGACACTATAAGCTTGCAAGTTGTAAAACAGAGAGTGTATCACCTTCATACTACACAATTTACAATTCAAAGTTACCTGTATCATAACGCAGTATAGTTGTTACATACATCCTTTAAATGTGTATGAAATCGATAGAGAATGTGTGATTTTGAAGAGATGCAATAGGATCAAACCCTCTGGACACGTTTAAATGTATAAAAAAAACTTTTTATTTCAAAATGGTGGAATCATTTGATTAAATCAATTAGGTTATATGCCAAGTATGTAGAGCTTTGAGGCAAGGCCGTTTGGCACCTAGTTGTCGAAGAAAGAGAACCCGAGTAAATCGTCATCTTCAATAAATGTTGAATTGACCAGGAGAGTGCCAAAGTTTATTGTCATTTTGCAGCGCCAATGGAAATTCCACGAAGCGAAAAAGGTAGAGCCGAGCAACTCTAGAACGGTTTTATCTAAAGGAGTACCATCTTAATGCCTTGAGACTTGCTAGACTAAAGGAAAGATCATTTTCATTCGAGCCTGAAGAAAATACAGTTAGAATTAATAACATGCATTATCATGTAATTGGTACTTAGCTTTTGTTATGTGGCGTTATTGGGGTGGAAGACACTCTGCATTCGTACCCAAATTGTTGAAAAGAGGATAAAAACGACATCATCCTTTGCTTATGTTAAAGGATAGTGCGAAATCTAATCCACATAAACAAAGGGGGACTTGGCAGAGGGCACGTCGTTGCTTCAAACTATCATCTCTGTTGAAAGTATATAATTTTATAGCAACTTCGTTAACCATTGCTTCCCAATAACGTCAAAGAATAAGAATGGAAAATAAGAGAAAAAAAATTGTTTACGTATTTCGATGCGATGCGTCGGAAATGTCTAGACCTCCGTATTTTTTTCAAACGTATTTTTTATAATCACGCGATGGTCTACACGTCGATTGACATGCCATATCATCTAAACTTCATGGGATGATCGATTTCTGTTTTCCATAAAATCTGCTTCACTGTCATTACAAGCTACTATTGGAACGCAGATAGACAATTACCAAGCTCTGACTTGCTTGGGGGGGGGGGTTTGCCAATGTTTCTATTTTAAGTAAAGGCTCAAACATTATGAATGATAAAATAGACAAATGAAATCATCCTGACATAAGCTTGTTTATCCAGAAATAAAGCTGGTTCACACACTTTATTCTTCTCCTTTTCTTTTCCCTTAACATACTTCTTTTATCTTATGAAAGTAACCGATCACGTAAAGGTTTGTTTAGTAGTGACTCTTGTTTCTTTGAAAAGAAGCTAAATTGAAAAAGATATATATTGTGATATTGCGGCTGCGGCTAGTCTTTGCTATAGGAGGGCGACCTCCTAGGCAGAGAGTTCATGAGTTTTGGAACTCACGAACCGTGAATGGCTGTGATTGCACTGTAAATGGTTATGAATATACTGGCCTGCTAGTCTTCTGGCCGGAATTCCTGTAAGTGGTAAAAAAAAAAAAATACGTTTGAAAAAAATACGGAGGTCTAGACATTTCCCAATATTAATAAACTTTTAGGTACGAAATGATGTGAAGTCTGAATTTGGAGAAAAATACGCTACTTATTGGGAGGAAAGGGACGAATCAGATATGCAAAGAACTCTGAGGATCCAAAATCAACGGACAATAAAACGTCTCAACCAAATCTCAAACAATGAAATAGTAAGACTTGCTGAATAGGTTCGTATTACTTTTATACATCAATGTGCGTCAATCCATAGCAGCTCAACTCGTTAATTTCATGAACTACTTAGGCCCACAACTTGGATACAGCTCCTAATGAGACAGAGCCGGAAAGTCAGGAGAAGTCAATGAGTCAGAAGAAGAAAATTAGACTGAAAGCGGTGCTGAAAGTGATGCTGAAAGTGGTACTGAGGTTGCATTACGACAAACGTCAAATCTCGCATCTGACGAGTAAGTATTTGTTGGTGTTAACATATTCGTTCATTTGCAGAACTAATATTGTAAATCGAGTAGAGTTGGCAGATTACAAATTATTGATTTATCATCAACAACGGCTCTGGATATATTGAAATTAGAGATCCCAATTGATCAATTTAACGCAATAATTGAGGCAGCCAATATGGATCCGGTTCCAATGTCCGCTTATGCCAATGAGCTTAGTAATGCCCTCGATATAGCGCCATTATCAACACGTGCATTACGCGAAACACTGTATGATGTTGGATATCGTAAAGACTTCGATCTCGTCGCCCACGATGACGCTAATTTTATGGAAATAACGATACGGTACTTGTAAGTAGCAAAAAAAGGGTCCTTTAATTGGCATATTGCTTATATTTACATATTGCTAATCCGCACATCTGTAGCTTGGATCTAATGAGCTCTCCGAATAGCCCTTGAACAAGATTATGCTCGAGAGAACAGCAGCTAGTTATCTGATAATCTACCTTGTAAACCAATAGTTCATTGCCAATAATGATGTGATTGAACTAGGATGGCTCGAAAGAGAATTTTATTCTACTGATCGAAGCAAATTTGATGGAGTTCTCTTCAAGGTTGGAAAGAAATCGATTAGCCCAGGTCTTATCGAATTTTCAGGAGGGATCAATGACAAAACCTCATCTCGAAAAAATTCAAAAGACATTGAAAAGCTGTATAGTAGTATGATCAAAGTTATGAAGGATGCTAAAACCAATCGAATGTTTTGCATGAGGTGTTATGGTAATACAGCATCATATGTCTCCAGCTTATGCTAAATTCCCTTTTTTTTTTTTTGTAATAGGTCATTACATCTACTTCGAAAAGCTCCTTATATTTGATGATACGATGTATAGAAAAATCGACGCAACCATGGAGATACCCAATACGCCAAGAAAACTAAAAGCATTCATCAAAGAAATTCCATCGATCCTTGCGTGAAAAGAGGCTGTAACAAGCCATGCTTTTAATTTGAATTAGTTCATTTGTATATCCATCAGTTATGTAGCTTTCAAAATATAAAGAAATAAAGAAATAAAGCCATTCTATACCATTATTTATACTTGTAATTATTTTGACCAGAAGTTGGTCAAATTATTTGCAAAACAGTGGGCAGTTTATTCTCAAAAAGTTGGGCAAACCAGCTTCAAACATTGACCAAACTAGTTTCCTTTTCCTGGGCAACTTAACACACACAAATGTTCAAAATCACTCAAAAAAGTGGGTGGCGCTTTCAAAAATCCAGTGGAAACACTGTATCAAGAAAAGTGTATAATATTCCGGCCAATTTCGATTGGTAAGTTGTCTAAACTTGTGACATTTATTTTTCTAGAGCGGACATTTATTTTTGACTTTAGGCCAATTATTTTTAAGAAAGTGCCTGACTGTATGACACGAAATTTAACGCTCCCTTTTTTTTCCCTTTTTTTTTTTTTTTTTTTTTTCTTCCAGAAAGTCATTCTTTTTTTTTTCTCTGTTTTAATTTAAAAGCATGATTACAGCTTCTTTAAATGATAGTTACAAGTTGATGAACACGCAAGGAGACAACAGTTTATTAATGGAAAGTAATTACAAAGCAACTCTAAATACAACTAAAGCGGCAACCACAGCAGCAACAACAACCACAACAGCAGCGAATGGTGTATATAAAGAAACACCTGGTAAAAAAAAAAAAAAAAAAAAAAAAAAAAAGTTTAATACAAATAAGAAATACTAACTCTAGTAGATTTATTAGCCGATCAATCTGGACCTAGTTCAGCCGAGGAAACGGTATTTCTTCCGACTTATGCATCGCTACCGACAACGAAACTGGAAGAAGAGCCCAACCCATTTGAACAAAGCTTCGAGAGTACCAATATTATGCAAAAACCCATCCTACCCAGCGTGAAGTCCATGGATAATCCAAAACCAACCAGATTGGATGCATTAGAAAATCAATGGGATAGTTTAAGGACTGGTATTCTATCACCTTCCATGCTACCTGGTCCAACCCCAACAGGTATTTTATTATTAATTTTTTTTTTTTGGAAACCATACAGATACAGTCTAGCTCATATTTTATACGTAATTTTAGCGAGAAGACCCATTAAATACGAGGTCGAAACCACTACTTTTTACAATCACACCTATGATAACCCACCACCCACGGTCAAACATGCAAGAAAAGTCTCCAACAGCAGCAGTTCAGAAGCATCCTTCAATGCATCGAATAAAAAACAAAAGACAGCCCAAGGTGATACAGAAGATGAAGAAAAACGAAAGAACTTTTTAGAACGCAATCGAATCGGTAAAATAAATAAAATTAAAATTAAAATATGTTGTCTACATGAGGTTTAACATTTCTTGAAAAAAAATTAGCTGCGTTGAAATGTAGGCAACGTAAGAAACAATGGCTACAAAACCTTCAAACTAAAGTGGAATACTTGGCAGCCGATAACGAACAATTTCATATGCAAACCAATGCATTACGAGAAGAACTCATCAACCTAAAGACACTCTTAATGGCGCATAAGGATTGTCCTATTGGCCAACAAGATTTAAAAATCGCTTTAAGTCGACCTATACCTGGTGTGCCTGCTCTACCTCATTTGCTTGAAAAAAACAACGACGACTAAAAAAAAAATTTGGTTTTTTTTAATTAATAAAATTGATCACGCTTGAAAGAAACGCTTTGGGTTGTTCCGTTTGCACTATGTATATTAAGATTAGTCTCGAGTAAGCCCTCTTTTGTTTAAAACACCCATATTACCCCAGTGACCTGCTCCTTTAATGTTCTCAAGGCGGGAATTTGGAAATTGCGCCTTGATCATGTCGGCATGTTGGATAAAGTACTTTCGATAAGGGCTGACGTCGCCTGTAATAAACAAGGTGGGACCGTGATAGACTTTGTTTGGTTCAGATTGGAAGAAGTCGCCCATGTGACCAATGGATCTTCCCAACGTATCATAGGCCACTCGAAACTCATAAATCCCATCCTTCTTTAGGTTCTTTTTCAAATTCGTCAATAAAAACTGACGCACTATCAAATCCGGCTCGTATTTTTGAAGCACTTCATCCGCCTCCTTCTGTTTCTTGAGTTGGAGCGCATTGATCTCCTTCATGGCTTCCGCATGGGTGTTGTATTCCGTAGATAATTTGATGGGAATGGGTGGCATGTCAATCACAATTAACTTGCTGGGTAACTCGGGCTGATTCAACGCTACATCCATCATGACCTTTCCTCCCCTATATGTTTTACATTCTCGTTAACAACCGTCTGGGGTTATAATTGTATATACTCTAAAGCCTGTACATGGAATGACCCATAAGCATGGGGTTTTCGAGACCTTCGTCCTTGATGAGTTTTAATATATCCTGGGCCATAAGGCCATAGGTGTGTGGCTCGACATGAGGGCTGTTTCCATGGTTACGAGCATCCTAACCATGTTTCATGAGTTGTCATAATTACGGGTTGTCAAGGTTACAAGTAGTCATGGTCGTACTTACGACGGTATAGACTGGCGATTGCGTTTGTTCATTGATGTTTTTGGCGAGTGATTTCCAGTTTTGTTTGGATCCAAATAGACCATGACATATAATGAGAGGTGCTTTGGTTTGGTTTCCGAATTTTGTAAATGACAGAGGAACTGCTTTAAGCATTATTTTAATAAAAAAAAAAAAGAAAAAAAAAGGAAAAAAAAAGGAAAAAAAAAAGTAGAAAATAGAAAAAAAAAATGGATGCGGTTGAATATGTACATGGTTAAAAATAAGAGGGGGGGCATAATAGATAATAGGTTTGTCATATTGTGTTACAAGTGATTCTTTGATTTCCGGGGTTTCCATAATTTTCATATATAGTACAAATGAGTGTAAATGTAAAGTTAATTAGCTATAGAGGAAGGGTGTTGTTCTACTTTTTGATAGTGGATCTTGTACAGGTTAAATCCTTCCAGACAAAACAAGAGTTGCCGACGATATGTGTTTTAGGTTTTCTGCCTCGCTTCTTTCGAGGCATTTGTAGCAAGGTGTCCATATTGGAGTCTGTGAAGGCGTTCATGGAATCATTCATATTATCATCAATGACATGTACTTGCTGGCTTAATCTGAGCATGGTGTCATGATCTGCCTTGATTTCTCGTTCTTTCTGTTCTTGCGAAACATGAATGTCCCACACGGTGGGTGTTAAAAAGGTCCATCCTCCCGTTTCGTAACTGGTGTTACACGTGGGGGGTCGACCCCGTCTTCTTTTTAGAACAGCTTGCCCCGTTGAATCAAAAACAATTTGGGTATTCGGGATAGGCTTAGGCTCAATCGCTTCATCATACGACACAATGCTGCTGGTAGATGAGCAGCTCGGTGTAGGACTGTTCCAGAACGGAATTTTGGGTGAAAGTGGGCAGGATGGTAACCGTAATCTTTGCGGTGGATCATCGCCTTCAAGAGGTGGCAGGCTACACTCAGTAGGTGGAGTTGTGACTTGTAGCTGTATAACAGGTGGAGAAATTAATAGATTCGAAATGGAGGGTAGCATTCTGGTATTTGAAGGTAAAAAGTAAAAAAAATAAAAAGGATAACAAAAAAAGAAAAAACTAAAAAAAATAGCTGCAAACTATTTTATAAACACCATTTTTAATATAAGAATACCGAGAAAGATCATTCTTCTATTTAAACTCTTTCTTGTGCTTCTCCAACCCGATAATAGTAAAATGAAGATCTTTTTTTATTTTTTCCAAATAGAGTTATGGGCCTGTACATTTTTATTTGGTATTATTGACAAAAATAAATAAGCGGGGACTCCTATTATAGTTTCAGCTACAAAAAAGACTTTGAAGAAAACTCGCCAATTATGGTATTTATTGTAAATGTGTGAGTATGCATTTATATATACATGACATGACACTCTTTCGGCATCACGTGTTTACTAAACTCGTCAAATAGAAAGGTAGACAACTCTATTCATTCCATTGAAAAATAATATACATGTAGACTTACAACAACAATAACATAAATAGTAAATAAATACACCTTTTCCCCTTTCCCTTTTTTTTTCTTATATGGACATATATTCATGTACTCTTTTTTTTTTTTTTTTTTTTTGTCAAGATGAATATATCTATATTCATTCTATTTTTCCCTTATCAGAAAAAATTGAAGTAACCTAAATTTGTTTAATAAGTAAATATATGGACCTTATTTGTTGTGTATGTCACACACATACATACACACACACACACGCAAACAACTAAAAAAAAATACCAACCTTTCATCATCGACCCCCCATTTCAGAACTCCCTTCCTTCTCTGCTTTTTTTAATCATCCTGATGTTCTCTCTGTGTCTTCTAAGAAGAGTAAGCATAGCTTTTTTTAAGGTTCCACAATATATCATGCTTGATCTGACTTGGCATGAGCGCTTCCCAAATCACTCATGAATTTAAACAGACCTAAAAATAGCTCAGCCCTTTCCCTCCCCCCTCCCCCAATTGGATGGAAAAAGTAAAGTGAACAAGTCTTCTTTTCCCACGTTGCTGATCCTATTGGACATAATGTACCTTTCTTCACGTTATTGACAAATGACAAAGTAATTGGCCTCTTTTATTTATGTTTCTACACACATCAGCTAAATGACGTAGATAAATAAATATTCATCCTACATTATTATAAAAAGCTTTTTTTATGTTCGATTTGTGTTTCTTTTTCCCTCTGTCGTATTATCTGTAGTATCAATTGATACCAAAAGTTCAAGGAAAAGAATGGCTGGTGGTGGCAAAGCTTAATTAATAAAATGAGAAAAAAAACACCCCCAGCCCATGCACAACTACGCTAAGCTTTTAATTCTCTCTCAATAAAGGGGAAGGGCTTAGGCCAAGGAGATAACTCTATTTCGAGACGGATTAAAGAACAAAGGATAGTTATTGATAAACAATTAACTAAGAATGTCGCTGAGTGATATTTATGCTAATGTATCTGCAATCAGCGGGCTAGTAGAGTAACTTGTATTTAGCAGGATTGATCGACCTCGTTCTCAATCTGAGTGGGTTGTAAGATCATAGTAGTTGGTAAGCTTTAATCAGTAATCATATATCCTTTTATCCACCACTGTAACCAGGTGTAACCGGGAAATTTCATATCGAAGAGTGAGATTATTACAAAACGTCCATTTCATTGCAGTCCAGCTGATGAATATTTGATGTTCCAAAGGCATTCTTTAAATCTCATTTCATTATGTTCCTTTCATCAGGAAAAAAAATGACGTCGTAGGATATTATGTAAGTGGTTTTTATAACTGTAATAAGAACAATAGAATTGTTTTGTGCCCTGTATGTGCAGATACGCTAGCCAAAGTTAATAATTGAGGAGTCTCTCATTCGATTTTAGCAACAACAGGTACGACTCCATTAGCGATTTAACGCAATATCACGAATTCACAATAAGAGCTTAAGTGCCCTTGTATGCATGTGGATAATCTATCACTAAAATTCTAAAACGAACTGACAAAGCATGGCCGATTTTTATTACAGCTTTAAATATTTGAAGGTAAAACTATCAACGTATATTATTGTACATACACATTGTCATAGATTTTCTATCTGCCATGTCTTTCACAAATTGATGTGAACGATAAAGAGCTTTCCCTTATTGATCTCTTGTTCGTATTTGACAGACTTTAAAGGTGAGCTTGTAGATCATAAAAAAAACGAAGTGAATTTTTGTTTAGTAATGTTCATCTACTTTTCAGTTTCCTACTGTACACTTTTGGTCCCTTTGTGCTTTATTCTATAAGAAGGTTGATTATTTAAATGCAAGTACCCTTTATTATTGAACTCTGAGCAGGGTCAAGTGAAAAAAGATGGCAATGGATGAGTGTCCAGAATCCATAATATATCATCACGCGCTTAGGAAATTCTGGTGGCTTAAGGACAGTGTTTAGGCAAAGAATCCGAGATAAACATCTACATGTAAAAACCCCAGTGATGATAGAACAATTTCTATGATGAACAATAAAAGGCAAAAAGCTATCTCCGATAATTCCCAAAACTTTTTTTGTTGTTGTCACTTTACACAAAAATAATGTCAAACGAAAGCACAGAAACGATTATTCAAGTAAATGGAATATGTTTAGCTTACTCTCCAAAGAAACTAATGACCAACGGATAGTCGTTGAACCCTCATTTAACCACATTAGCGGACACTAGTACCCGAGATCGACCTGTGAAAAGAAGGGCGATGGAGGCAGTCAAGAAGGGGACACTTCAGATCAAGACATGGACTAATGCTTCTTCTGCTGCAGCCGATCTGTTAGCTCATTTGATGGATTCTTTACTTCCATGTACCGAAAGTGCCATTGAAAGCATTCGAGAACAAACCGTTGGTATTCTAGACAGGTAAAATTTTATTATATTTTATAAACGTTAATATGTACAAAGTATGCCAATTGTTTAAAAGCTTGATAGCGAAATGCGAACAAGGCGGGATTGATAATACGGTAGTTGAAAAGCTGCTGAGATCGGCATTGAAGAGAATGCAAGAGGAAGGCACGGAGGAAATTCGAGTTGGATGGATGGATTTGTGTACAACCTTGTTGCGACAGTTAAAAAAGATCACGGTGACGCTCAGTGAATTGATGATGGATATTGCACAGATGGCGGGAAAGGATGCCTTTTCTGAAGTATTGCAACGTGATGCTAAATTCATTCTGTTGTACGCCCAAACGCAGCCTAAATCCACAGACTATGCCTGTGAACGCATGATTCGTTTGACCGTACCATTACTGGTGCATCGACATACGGCAGTGCGCGTACTGGGTATCAAGGCCATGGAGGGGGTGCTTTTGGCTTCTCCTAAAGGCTTACACTTGTTGTTTGAAGAGAGTCCGGAAAGACAGCCTATTGTACCCGCTTTGGTCTATGATGCTTCTCCACTGGTTCGAGATCGTTTATTTTTGAGTTTGGGTAAACTTTTGTGTGATTGGAGTCCTCGTGATAGATACCAATACGGGGAAAGAATTTTACCCATTATCCTTCAAGGCACTTTTGATGAATTGCCATCTGTTCAAGTCACTTGTAAATCCAGTCTAAGTGGAGTAGGTCAGAGCTGTGCTCGTGATCTATTCGAAGCTGACATCATACACGAGATGCCTACAGATCAGGCACTGTCAGAGACCATAGGTAACCATAACCAAATCTATAATTAAGTTTTTCATACTAAACCCAAAATCAGGTTTAAAACAGTTGGTGCATATTTGTTTTGATAAAAGTTTGCTCGATTTGTTAGAGAAAAGCACTGATTTTATTACAGTAAGACAAGAGACGGCCTTGGATGCGCTGTGTCTTCTTTTAGAATACGCACACCTTGATGACATTGTGAAGAATATCAAAAAGACCTTACATTACTTGATGTTGGTTTATGTGAATAAACCCGAGGTAAGAGACAGAGTCTGCAAGATTCTCGAACAATTGGGCTTAGTTTTGCCCTCAGCCGACATCTTTCTGGATGTGTTGCTTGGTCGTTTGGACAAGACCTCATTGACGTTGGAAGGCAATGGAGCTAGCACGGTTGCCGTTACCATGGCATTCTTGAATACGTTGGTGCGATCTTCAGATACCGCTTCGTTTAAACGAATCGATTTGGTACTCAAGAAACCTTTTGTGCAGGCGTATATCAAGGAGAATCGAGAAGCCTTGGAGGAATACGAAATTATCAAGGCCAGGATAGCTGACCTTCCATCTCGTGGCTAAAGGTTTTTTTGTAATAAAAAGGCTAGTTTTGGACAAATTATCTATATTAAAAACGGATGGGGGTCCCTTTTATTTTTTGGTCAAACAATCATTAATTTATTTTTAAATTATCTAAATAAAGATCTTTTTTTCAATGTCCACTTTTTTTTTAAAAAAAAAAAAGTTACATGGAAAACATGAAATGTCGGGAAAGTGTGAAAGTGTGAAAGTGTGAATTTCTTCAAAAAAAAAAAAAAAAAAAAAAAGAAAAAGAAAAGAAATTCCAATGCGGAGATTCATAATGGAAATTTCCATCTACTTTTTTTCTTTTTTTCTAAGCGGGGAATAGATGATTCATATATCTACCCCCACACTCTATTTTTCGATCTCTTTTTTCTTTTGACTCATACCCTTAAAAAAATGACTACTTCTATTACACTTCCCTCTGCCTGTGATTTCCATGTTCACCTTCGTCAAGGTGACATGATGCGTATGGTAACACCCAAGGTTGAAGAAGGCGGTGTTTCCCTTGCTTATATTATGGTAAGTTATTACACGCGACTTATTTACTGGTAGTTATGGTAGAACTAACATGAGTCTTTAGCCTAATTTGCAACCTCCTATCAAAAACACCGAACAAGCACTTGCGTACAAGTCAGAATTAGAAGCCTTAGCACCTAATGTCACGTTCTTGATGACCTTGTACTTGTCACCCGAATTAACCGTGGAAGAAGTGCGTAAAGCCAGTCAAGCAGGCATTGCTGGTGTCAAATCATATCCTCGTGGTGTCACCACCAATTCCGATAATGGTATTGAGAACTATGAGATTTACTATCCCATTTTCCAAGCGATGGAAGAAGAGGGACTTGTTTTGAACTTGCATGGAGAGATCCCTAGTGACGCTCAAAAGGATATCTGTGTCATGAACGCCGAAGAAAAGTTTTTGCCTCAATTGGAAAAGATTGCTACTGCCTTCCCCAACTTAAAGATTGTTTTGGAGCATGCTACATCTCAAGCTGCAGTGGAGATGGTAAAGCGTTTAGGTGATAATGTCGGCTGTAGTATCACTGTCCATCATCTTCAATTGATTGTGGATGATTGGGCTGGTCAAGCACATCATTTCTGTAAGCCTGTTGCCAAATTCCCTCATGATCGTGATGCCTTGAGAGATGTGGTAAAGGCAGGTCATCCTCGTTTCTTCTTGGGCACAGATTCCGCTCCTCATCCCATTGCTACCAAGGAAGGTCCCAGATCCAACGCTGGTGTCTTTACCACTCCTCTTGTACTTCCTTACCTTGCCAAGATCTTTGAGGAAATCGATGCCCTTGACAAGCTTGAAGATTTTGCTTGTCATTTCGGAAAGAAGTTTTACGGTCTTTCTCAAAAGCCTGGATTTGTGGATAAGAAGGTGACTTTGGTGAAAGAATCCAATGTCGCTGTTCCTCAACATTATGAAATTTCTGCAACCAATGCTGATTTGGGTGTTGTCGTGCCATTCTATGCCAATCGTGATATTGGATGGAAGATTGTTTCCAACTTTGTTTAAAAAAATAAAATAAATAAAAAATGTACATAATTCTCTCTCTTTTCTTTTTTATTAAAGCTTCAAAGTTCTCTTTTTCTTTAAATGAACACCCAATGATTCGGTATCCACTTCATCTTCGTGGTTCTTCATACCATCACCTTCCTTCAAATGACTATAATGCTTCATAAACACGTCCATGTCTTGTTGAAAGCTACCCTTTTCAATACTGGTACGTATCGATTGCATGAATTTATCTAATTGGTAAATGTTGTGGCTCATCAATAAAATAGGGCCCAGCATTTCATGTGCGTTCAATAAATGATGAATGTAGGCTTTCGTATGAGGTCTTGAACAGGCATCGCATCCACAAGTCACATCCAAGGGTTCAAAAGCATGTGCTAATTCGGTGTTCCATAAGTTTAATGTCTTGGGTTGGTTTTCTTGTGTCTGTGGTTCCTCTAATTCTTGTCCGAACTTGATTATGATGGCACGTCCCTTTTCCGTTGCCTTGTATGCATAACTACCGTCAAATAAATCCACTCCGTTTGTGATTCCCTCCAATATACCTTCGGGGGAAGATAATCCATATGCAACGCGTGGTTTGTCCTCGGGTAAGTTACTGGTAGATGCCTTCACTTGTGATCCCACTGTTTCTCTGTCCAAACCCAATACATTCACAATAAAGCCTGAAGAAACACATCAGATTTATCAACTACACAACATTTTAGATATGAATTTTACCTTGGACATCGCGTTCAGCGGTGGCAGTGGCAGAACGAGCACGTTCCTCCAAATCAGTATGACCCATGACGTGAGCAAAGACAGGAACATCGAATTCCTTTGCTTTAACCAAATTCTCATCTAACCAGCGTAATGAACGATCGACGGATTTCTTGATACGTTTGGTCTGTGCGTCTAAATCGGTAATGGTGTCTGACATGGTGGCTGTGAGATCAGGACGGTAAATACCTAAAGCTTCGGCCCAAAGATCTGGTGTCACACGACGGACACCGCCGTGCGTTTGGACAGACAGGTACTTGTCTGTGTTGAAGGATACAGGTGAGATCTTGAGAGGATCACGAATATCACAAAATAAAAGATTGTCCTATTACATAGATTTTAGTCTATTTTTTCTTCCTTCAGTAAGAGAGAATGCTTACCTCGAGATGTAAATATTTATGAAGACCATGAGGATACTTGAAGGAAGAAGGGTCTCTTTGTTCTAAACTACAACCACCCCAGTTTGACATCAGTTCATGCTGAAATAATAATAAAACTGAGACAAAACTTACAATTGCTCTAAGGAAACTTGCACAAGTTCAATGGGTAAAAGTTTGAGGTTATCCGCCAAAAGATGAGGTACTGCACCACGCAAGGTGTAAGTCATGCAAGCAGGTGTTTGAATCACATGGTTCTTCTTCGTAAACGAAAGTGTGCCTCGACGAAAGATGTTGTGAGCTGAATTCTCGGCTAATTGTAATTTAAAATTAAGTGCCATCTTTTGCATTCAAAACCTTTAATGGAAAAAAAGAAAAAACAAAAAAAAAAATGTCAGTTTCGACAAACAGTGGCTTTTTGAGCGGGGTTACTTTTTTTTTTTCTTAATTGTTCAGCCTGTGCTTGTCTGAGGAAATCCGTATGCGATCAGGGCAACCTCAGTAATTGAGATCGCTTACTGAGGTTTACCCGCTGATTAGTTAAGTATTCTCATACCTTTTAGGGGGATCATGATACTTGAGCACATTCGAGAGTGGGAAGACCTCATGGAATGTAAACATCACCAAATTTTCTTATTGGCTCCTTATGATCTTTCGAGTCAATCACTCAACAGTTGCACGTAGTATCTCTCTTTTAAAAAATGTGCCGATGGTAAAAATAAGCTTTTCGTAAGAAAATAGACATGTTCTCAGATGTTTACCCATGTTATTTCCCCGTTACATAATTTACTTGGAATAAAAAAAACAATGAAATAAAAAGGGGATTGTGTGTATTTACAATATGTTTTGATTTAATGCTTTTTTTGATCGACGCTTGCGTAAAGTGCCGTTAGCAACTTTTTCTTGACGAGTGACCCTGCGAGATCGCATCTCGGCATGTCTGTTGCGATATGAATCAACGGCGCGTTGAATAAGACCTCGTCTACCAAACAATTGTTCCTTGTTTAACCAACAGAGTTTCCAACCCAACTGGTTGCACGTCGTTTCATAATCCCAGCGGTTACCATCGTATTCGGATCTATCAACATTAGCTCTAGGATAAATCTATCATTTCATATTAGTGACACTGCTTTTAATCAATGATAAATATACTCATAAAAAATCTTACGGCATTTTGTGTACGGAAATCCATCGAGATATCATCCAGATTGACGTGATCGACATCTGTGCGCACCGTATATTCTTTGACAAGTCGATCATGCGAATATAAAAATGTGATATATTCAATACCGTCCACTATTTTGGAGACGGGTTCATGCGCTGTTAAAGAGACCACGGAGGCTACGGAAGGATGTGAAGATGCCCGTCTACCATAGCGAGTGGTTTCGGCTGAACATCGTCTGCCATTTAACATTTTACCGTATTTTTTACTGCTGCTGGTTGTAGGTAGACTATGACGAGATGGATAGTAATTTGTCAAGGGAGGTGTGATACTGTTGGGAGTGGACATGTTCATAGCAGAATTTCCCATAAAAGCATTGTGACCGTAGCCAAAATCGCTCACGGTTACCGTCGTCGTGTTACTAGCATAATTGTAGTTATGTACAGGAGGTGTGGGTGGCATCCCAGACAGTGTGTAAGTTGATTGCTTGTGTATATCGTTCATAAGGGTGGAATCTTGAGGATGCATGCCAAGATCCCAATCGTCAGAATTCAAATGAGCAGGAAAGCCATTTGGATCCCAAGAGTTCAGAAACATGGTGGGGTCTAAAGGGTGCATGCTTTGTTCGTTATTGGATGAAGGCCACATTGCCTGCTCTACCAAGGACGATACAATATCATCAGTGGCGCCCAAAGAATAATCATCAGTGGAGGATAAGGAAGGCTGTCTGCTTAGATTTTGTGTAACGTAAGGCTCTTCCTTGATCGTAGCCTCTGCCATGATTGCTGAATTATCAATATTTGTTATCATCTTCAGAAACAAAGAAAACAACCAAGAAAAAAAACCTTTAACCACCCGCGTTCATAAATAAAATGGTATTGCTCCCCCATATCATTGAAACCGGGAAATGGCCCGTTCATCCAATAGTAAATTGATGTTTTTATCGTTGATTATTATTATTGCGATTTTTAACTCTCGTTGTTTCTCTCGGGTAATTTACTGCTTTTTTTTTTTCTTTTGCCTGACTGTAAATATCGTGTTTTAGAACATTTCCAATGTTTGGACGAGAACAATCCCGAATAACAGTGCATGCAGAACTGATTTTAATGATTTTGTTAGTATGAGATCCACTATAATTTATGAGATAGATACCCTAAATTTGATTGCTTTTATTCACTGAAATTTTTAGATAAAATGAAAGGTATTCCTCTTTTTACCTTAATCAGCTCACGTCCCAGGTGTGAATTAAGCGTCAAGTAGTACAAGCAAAGAACAAAACAAAAACAAAAAACCTTTTTAACATTTACGTGGCTTTTGTTGAATAATAAATACGGTAATATGATTAAGGTATGGAGTTTGTGTACATGACAGTAAAACAGCTACTATAAAATCCAAATGTTCCCTCTATATCGATTGTTCCGAGACAGGACAATCATTAAATAAGAGTTATAAGGCGTAGTAGTTGTATAAGGTAATGTTTAATGAACGAACTCTATCTAACAGCTAGTCAGCTCAAATCAATCGCAAGTCATTCGACCATACTAGGTAGTTCACATAAATAGTTCAGGCCTAAAATAAAATAATTTACTATCAAAACGATTAAACCAGACTAGAAGAAATATAGTGTGCTCCCAGCTAAATATCGAAATCCCAGGATTTCATATCACATCCGTTGTCCTCCATTTGGAAGGGGAAACTTATTTGACCCTTCTTTCCTCGTTAACTATACGAGCCATGCCATCAGGTAATTGCTAATCCTCATAAACTTGTCTAGTTCGCAATATCAATGACTTCATATTCGCAGTGGTGCTACTATAATTTTAAGTCATGAAAGCGCTTTCCCTTATTCTTTTACCTTAATCAATGATAAACCATCTTTCAGGCTATCTTTTAGACCACTTAAAGCTACCGTAAAGCGAAAGGAGCACACTTCTTGGAACGTGTGGACTCCTCGGTTTGCTAACTTCAATACAAAGACATGTGCATCGAGACGCATTGTTTACCCAATAGGAAATGTGCTACTTTTGGAAGTGCTGGCACCAAGGTAAGAAATTGTTTCCTGAAGGCTATTTAGAAAATATTTAGGAAAAAGCTTGTCAATAAACTCAATTGTACCGCAAATTTTATAAATTACATGTGCTCATATATATTATTACAACACTCTTTGTTTTTATATCACTCGACTTGAAACTTTCCGCCTCATTTAGAGGTAAAAAAGACTGTTTGGTGATTTAGCCTAAGTGTAACTTTTTAGTAGCAGTAGAGTATAAGCGGTTGCATTCATATCGTACGTCAGAAAATGAACGCCTGGTAATTGGCTGGAGTAATAAAAGAAATGAAATTCATATTTTTTTTTCTTCACCCAACTGTAATTGTTGTGTTTCAGAACATTGCCTATCATTTCCAATGTTGCACGTCATTATGCTTTTTTTTTCACGAGAATAGCAATTTTCTGTAACTCTATTTTTAGTTGTATAAAAATAAAAACAAGTAATTTTTGATGTAACGCGGAGTCCATTGACCTATTTCGCCAAGAGGACCTGAATTGGGAACACCAAAAAAAAAAAAAAAAAAAAAAAAAATTTATAAGCTCTTACATTTAAAAACAAAATTGAATATAAAAGTGAGTCAGTTTAGGCAGGAACGGATCCCTTTTATCTTCTATTCATTCATTTTCATCCCTATGCAACTATCTTCTTTTGCTATTTCCATTGCAATTGCAAACATTGCTCTTGTATCAGCCGATGCCTCTAACTATTGGAAGGCATTTACATCTCAAATTGATCCCAAGAATATTACCGTGCCATCTATTCCTGCTACCACAAGTCTTAACCCTACTACAGAATGTACTTATTATAACCCAGATGAGAGTTTAATTGTCATTAATGCTACGGAATGGCCCAGTATCTGGGATGTAGCCACTTCCAACAACATGGATACATCCCCCGAATTTTTAGCTCTTTACGACTCGCTTGACTGGGCAAATGCTCCCAACATTTCTGTCCGTAAATTAACCAGCGATGGTGGTTTAGACTTTACCGGTTATGATTCTTCCGCTGATCCAGATTGTTGGTGGTCTGCCTCTGTTTGTGTTCATCCCAAGTTGGCTGATGTCAGTGCCGATATCATCAACTGTCCTGAGCCTGAGACTTGGGGTCTTACCTATGACGATGGACCCAACTGTTCTCATAATGCTTTCTATGACTATCTTCAAGAAAAGAAGTTGACGGCCTCCATGTTTTATATTGGTTCCAACGTTCTTGACTGGCCTTATGGTGCTATGCGTGGTGTTCTTGATGGTCATCATATCGCTTCTCATACCTGGTCTCATCATTACACTACTACCTTGACCAACAAGGAAGTGCTCGCTGAATTCTACTATACCCAAAAGGCAATTAAACTTGCTACTGGTTTAACTCCTCGTTACTGGCGTCCTCCCTATGGTGATATCGATGATCGTGTTCGTTGGATTGCTACTCAATTAGGTCTTACTGCTGTTATCTGGAACTTGGATACTGATGATTGGGCTGCCGGTGTCACCACTACCATTGAAGCTGTTAAACAAACTTATGATGATTATGTTGAGATGGGTACCAACGGTACTTTTGCCACCTCTGGTAACATTGTTTTGACTCACGAAATTAACAACAACACCATGGATTTGGCTATCGATTATTTACCCAAAATTATTTCTGCCTACAAGCAAGTGCTTGATGTTGCTACTTGTTATAACATTTCTTACCCTTACTTTGAAGATATTGAATGGACTAATGTCTTAAATGCTTCCACTGCTGCTGCTTCATCTGTCGCATCATCCTCTGCTTCCGCCTCTGGATCCTCTTCTGCTTCTGCTGCTGCAGGTACTGTTACTGCTGCTGGTGCTCAAATCAATCAGTCTGCTACATCTGGTACTTCTCAACTCTTGCCCAGCGCTTTATTCACTTTGGTGCTTGCTGCTGTCGCACTTTTGTAAAACGAAAATCTCTAAATTATTTAATAAAAAATAAAACACTCAAATAGAATCTTGCATGTTACACAAATGAACAAGGGGGTTAACAAATGGGCTTTGACCAAATATAAATATTTTGCCTAAATAAAGAAACTGAGATTATCTTGTAAAAGGGTATTATCTTCCCCGGGGAATTGCATCTGTTGTGTAAAAATAAAAAAACAATGGGCTGAAAATAACAGTTCATAGAGTAACTTTTGAATTAAGGTGTCATGTATAAATGTGATTAAAATATATGCTTGTCTTTTTTTAAACACAAAGAAATTATCTTCCTCTCCCTCTCTTGTATTAAGTTGTACTACTAAAAAAAAACCTTCTGTCGGATGTATAAAACAAATCAAATAATACTTTTTTGGAAAAATGAACCTAATGTGTGTCTATTTTCAAATCACAATCTGCGTACTAAAATTGAGGTCACGTAACTTTCTATTTTTATCCTTTTGGTGACATTGTTTGTTCCGAGATCGTTGTCCGCAATTTTTTTTGGGCTGCTCCTTCCTACCAACTTTTAAACGGGGATTAAGCACTGCATCTATTAAAAAAAACCACACCTGTCTGGCACTTGCCTTCAACTTATACACAACAAATTCCTTCAGCCATACTTAAACTAGGGCACACTTAAACTAAGCCCACATGCTTGATATGATACCACTTTTTTTTTAAAAAAAATAAATGAAAATAATATCCAATAATTACAACCCCAAATCACCGCCAATTACTCTTGGCGTACATGTGGATTTAAACCCTGTTTGGACGTATTCTTATTGTAGTTTCAGTCCTGTTCTCCCTAATGCATAAACGAAAAAAAAGAAGGTTGAACTAAAAAGTACAGAAAATGAGTAAAATGAGACTAACTGTGTTGACATTAGAAAAATTATAACAAGGAGCAAACAGTAAACCACGAGAATACGTTTATCCGAGCCTCTTAAAAATTCATCCTATTCAAAATATACAAAAGAAAAGGGAGAACAATGACATTTACGTTTTGGGGATTATGATATGAAACATCATATCAGATGTGCCTGTATATGTAATCCTTATGATAATATTTATAATAATAAAAAAAACTCATATGACTTGGGTGATTTGTTTCGAATTGCTTAGGATACATCATAATTCGCATTTTTAAAAAAATGTGGTGTACGGGAGGGGCGGGGAGCTGGTTTCCTTGTGAGTACGCTGGTTGCCCAATGTCAATAACATACTGGATTAAAACGCCCGATCTTGTATCAAAATTATATCTACGTAATTGTTTCTTTTATCGCACGACTTCAATATCATATATAGTGTAATAGGAGCGCCAGACTCAAATTTTGTCACTTTTCGTTTCAAGATCGACATTTCGCAACCTTACACGAGTTTTGAAAGTATTTAATGTAGGTACTATATTTGACGGACTGTATCCCCGTGTCACATCAATGGTATATTATTCATTAAACTCATAGAGTCAGCTAAAATGAATGGGGGTACCACCTTTTGATATCCTTGATTTGATAGATTACCACCAAAAAACAAGTTTCCTTCATGATTTATCTGCAGGAAATTATAATTCTTAAATTTAATTCAAACTTGTTCTGTACTTGCATTGATAAGCCTCCCCCCCCCCTCGGAAAAAGTTTTTGGGCCGGCCTTAAAAAATAAGGCTCTTTGAAACCAGAGTATTATATCATTTGTCTTGAAGGCTGTTCTCCATAAAACACATTGTCATACAGAATTATCTACGCCCATTAGCCGAATAAGAATGCAATGCGATCAAAGTTTCTTGAGTCTTAGTCGGATCAAAAATTCTCCTTTGATTGTTTAAACTGATTCATACTAGATCTCACTCACACGCATTTAAGTGTATGGATAATTATTGTACCGTCATTTTCAAACATTTACGATATTTATAGGTATGTATGTATATAAAGAATTTTGGATAAGATCATTGAAAAGACATCAAACTCTTTTTAATCGAGATATATCAATGATGTGTATGTCCTATTATAAAAACAGATACAGCCCCTAAAGCCAGGTAAGGCTACCATATTTTTAACATATTTTTAGCAATAACAACGAAATCTAGAATATAAAACCAAGAGGGGGTATACCGTGATATACTATCTATCAAAGTATCACATACAAGTAATTTCACTGTGTTATATTTAATTGATTAATAGGCGTGTGTTCTGTTAGGAACAGTTGCATCGATTTTGTCTAATTAAGACAAAGTACCATCTAGACCTCCAACTATCTATCTCTGATCTTATTTGCGGTGAAACGCTAACGACTTGCGTTATTATATGATTTGTTGTAGTCTATAATAAGTTTAAATTTATTTTGTAGTCATGACGGGTAGCCATGTATATAGCTTCACTAAAAACGTAATCCTACATTAATACGTGTTTAAGATGCCTTTATATTTGGTAAGCTCTTATCACTCAGACACACTCTCAGACAATGTTATCAGACTGATTTTACTTGTTTTTATCAAATTTTTAATTTTTGTAAAGATATCAATAAAATCCCGATTCGTTCTATCTGTCTATTCGTTGAGGAATAAATGCAATACACAGGTATCTAATATATTCGTACAAGTCGTATATATAAACTTGAGCGACGTAATGTTTTTCTCATAGATGATATAAAGCTAATCCTAGTGCTACATGTCCCGATCAATTCCAGTTGCAAAAAAATCCCCAGTGCATGACATTTTCTGTTTTTTTCACATAATGACCAACTCAATAAAAACTGGTATTCTATCACATCATGTAATATCATTGATGTTATACCATAACAGATGATATCATATCTTAAATATCCCTTCTATTATTTTAGTGCACTCTAAAAATGAACACTTAACAGCACTTAAACCTGTTGGGAAAGCATTGATAAATCACTTGTAGTGATGGTACTGTTAATCTAGAAACAAAAAAAGAATGATGAGATACTATTTCTTAGTTATTCATTGTGTCATATAAAAGACAGAATTACATTTATTTCTCTCTCTTTATCCCCCTTCCCTTCCTCACACACCCTTACCTTATTTTATTAACCATTGTTGTAGTGTTCATTTCTTACTTGGGACGTAGATCTTGTATTGACTTTGGGATGGGTAACGTTTTGTCTTGCTGGTCACTGATAGTGGGCTATAGAGGCTCTTGTTATTCGATGTCTGGCTCTTGCGGAAGAGGATGGATGTTGTGTAGGTGCGCATGTGCGACATTAATACATGCTTCCTGGGTGCTGGGTCAACTGCTTTGGGTGCTATCTGAAGAATGCTGGTGTCTGGTAATTTTGAATCATTTCTATATAAAAAAAGTGATAAACTAACATGATATAAAGGTGCTTGCTTACTTGTAAACGAAACCCGTGGTATATCTGCTTGTATGGGAGATCATGCTGTACGGATACTTGTGGTTTTGTAGTGAAACAGTTCTGTAGAGGTTCTCGTATTGTATGTGTGGGGGTATTTGTGAATCCATTCATGGGCGGGATGCTGACCAACTTTACACCATGAGGTAAGAACAACTGAAAACCAATATAAACATTTGTGATTTGTCTATGTATTTCCTTTTTAGCTAGGTACTTAGTCTGACGGGTCGACTTCTCTTGGACACGGTGTTTAGTTGTCTGGTATACTTCGGGAAACAACATAAAGTCTTGTTTGTCTTCTGTATCTGACTTCTGGTCGACTTCTTGTTTTGCACTACCAAAAAACAATAAAAACCCCATCAAAACAAACAAAAAAACTTGATGCTCAAACTCCTTCCTTTCCCGAGCTCCTCTTAGGCCTGGTGCCATTCATCTCTTGTAAATAATGGCGGCCTGGCGCTTTCCTCCGGACCCATTTGTACATACTGTAAATACTTTAAAAGAAAATCCAAAAATCCAAAAAAAAAAAATCAAATACCACCAAAAATTTTTATAATTTTGAAACAAAGAAAACTACAAAAAAAAAAAAAAAATACAAAAATACAAAAATACAAAAAAAAAAAAAAAAAAAAAAAAAAAAAAAAAAAAAAAAGGTGCAGGGCTTGGACAAGACTGGGACAAAGATTCAGAGGACAATCAAGACTTTGTATTGGTGCCATGAAGAATACTAGACAGCAAATCATTTTGAGCAAGATTAGCCGACTCCGAGGGTGATGTATCTGGTTGAAGGGGTCAGTAAATCATAGACAATTCCCAAATGTTTTATTGGTTCTCTTTTGGTCTTATCTCTTGATCTAAAGCGTCAGCGTTTTGCTTGTGGATGTTTGATTTGCGGATGCTTCCTTAAATTATGTCCGAACGGGTGCTTTTATTGGTTCTGTGGATCTGCAAGGCTACTTGTTGAAGTACGGTATGGTTGAACATGCAGGTATTTATATCATGGGGAGTAGTTTACTTGTAGGCAGGTTAGACACTAGCGTTTGGATGATTGCACTCATTGTACGGAGGGCTGCCCCGGGAAGTATTTGTCAATATCTCGCATGTCTTACCTTGGAACGTCCGTCTTTTTCTGGTAAAAGCAGCCAGCTTTGGATAGCAGGGCGTCTTGGTCCAAACCTTCACCAGTATGGAGGATTCGGTATTCAAGCCAAAGTCAATAATACCATTATCCGCCGATCTTGTTTCGTATGTTCATTATAACATTTTTACTTCTTTATGCCACTCCACCCTTTTTTTAGATTCCCGTGTCCACTGTTACTATCTTCTTCTGCTCCACTGTTGCTTAGATATCATCTTCTACCTTTATTCTCAAGACATACATGACCACTCTTTTACATAACCCTTCTTCACCTTCCTTCACCTCCCCTTTGTACTCGCTCACCAATTCCTATTCTAACCGACTCACTTTTCTTTCTTTCTTTTTCTTATTAACTTACCTTCCCCCCTTTTTTTATCTTTTGGGCTAGGATGTGCTTCCACCTTCTCGTGGTCTGGCCTGTTACACCTTATTTTTGGGTACCGAGAGAAGCACTTTAATTAGTTAATAAAATAAATACGTAGCTTTTTTATGTAAAAAATAAAATCTTGTGAAAAATAAACCACCTCAAACTCTTTCATTAATCAGTATTTGTAAATTTTAATAATTTTTGCAATGCTCATTCTTTATTTCAAAAAGTTTTAAGGTTTGCTGTTTGGTTAAACTGGACAAATTGTTAGAAAAAAAAAAGTCAATTTATCATCAAATGTAAATTAAGTCATGATAAAGGTAACTTTGTACCTTTTGCTTGTCCTAGAAAATAAAACGCCCTCTCTCACTCTGAATTATTAGATTGATCATGTTAACAGAATTAAAACGTATTTTAAGTGTTGTTATAGTGTATTACCTGCTTTATTTAGTTAAGCAAGAAGAGTATACAATCTATTAACACTATCTTTATTTTTATTTATCTCCATGCATTTGAGCCACGAACCCGCTGTCATTAAAGTCTTTAGTCATAGTATTAAGCACAAAGAGGCAATTTTGAAATTTGAATAAGCCTATTTTAGCATTTAAGAATACGTGTCAATTGTTACAAAATCAATGTAGAAATCAACCAAGAGTCATAGCGTTGACAGCAGAAAAACTCAGTGTCAACGATAGAAAACAGCAGTGTCACACGAATTGTCAACCATTAAGGGTGAGACAGTATCTACTTTTCAAACCGATTAAAAAGAGCGATAGTTTTATTGATAGTCAGATGAAAGAAGAAATATACAGTCTATGGATACGCATCTTATATATATTGGTAGAGCCATGTCTGGAGGCTGTTTGTTTGTGGGGAAAAAAGGGAAAATTTTAAAATAACAAAAATTTAGCAGGTATCGACTCCACTAATATTTTGCAGCGGCGTTTCTTCGTTCATCCTGACTAAAAAAATGTTTATATGCATATCCATTTTCCTAAAAAAGACCAAGGAAAGCATTTTAAAGTAGATACAGTCTTAGAAAGCCATCAATACTCCCGCTATAGTGCGGGTTATGCTGCTACCAACACGGGATAGACTACTCGTTTTGCCCTAACAGCATATATAATAAAATAGAAACCCTCATTAAAATAATACTAGATGCTCAAGACGGAGTAAAGTTTTTAGGATTATAGGAAAAAAATTTATATTTTATTTATTAAGCTTATAAAAAATAAAACTTATTAGCTATAATAGGGGCGCGGTTGGTGTAAACATTGAGTACTGCATGTTTAAGATAGAAAGAATAATATAATTGAGATGAATTAGTTGATGATTTGAGCCTGTTGGCGATCGTCCTTGTTATTGCTGTTAGGTGAAAGAACAGCGACAGGAATCTCTATACCATTAATTCCAAGAATCCCGAGTAAGCCGCCGTTAGCTACTTTATCAACACGATATTGATTGATTTGGGACTTTGGGTTATTGCTCTGATCATGGATTTCAACATCAGTATCACCGCCATGGGGAGCAGCAGAAACAACAACGGCACATAAAGCAATGGTAAGAGCAGAGATAAACTTCATTTTGCAAGTGTTAAATAGATGATTTAATAGATGATAATAATAAGAAAAAAAGAATGGGGAAAAGTTGCCGTATATATAGTAAATTCGTGGAATTGTGGTATCCGCATGGAACATCGCTTGTCCCGAGATTCTAATTTTACTGTAAGAACCAATACTCCTTTTCATTTTGTTTGTAAGTACACCCCCTCTGCGTGTTCATATATAACAGTGTGCATATTGTCCCCCCTTCCTCCCCTAGTTTTTGTTTTACTCAGTACCCTTGATATTTGCAATTTGTATTAATAGCATTGGCCACTGTTTCAGAAAAAAAACTACGGATGAATGCTGTCTGGCAGAAATGACATTTACTATAAAATTAATTTGATTCACATTTCTGTAGTAATTTAATTGATACCCAGAAAAAAAAGAAAGGCCTTATCAAGATCATCCACAAACACTCACACTCCTTGCTTTTTTTTTATCGAGTGACACAAATATTTGATTGGCCAGTATACTTGATTAGGGAGAAAGATCTGTTGTTTTCACTTTCACAGAAATAAGATATCTATTTTTACACGATTTTATCATCTATTTTAAAAAAAAGGAACTGTAGTTCAATCAGCAAGAAGAGGAGCAGATACTGTTAATTTTGATTTAATATCTTGATTTTAAACATGCCAATATGTCTGGTTGAAACTTTTACAAGTAAACAAACATGTATGCCAACCCAATACGAATTCTGAGACCATTTTGATATGTCCAAGTATGCCCTTAAAAATGATATGTTTATTGTAGTCTCCGAAAACAGAAATCCACACGCAACTCCGTTTTTTATATATATATATGATTTCTAAAGCATGTGGTATGTTCCTTCTTGTAGCTAGCAAAGTGAACCCCTGCTTACGTATCTTTATATTTTTTCTTTTCTACATTATTATTTTACCGAGAAAAAGAAGAGGAGGAGTAATTATAGCATCATAAGGGGGTATCAGCACTACCACTACCAGAGGAGGCGTGGGTTCTAGAAAATTGTACGAAATTGTTTCTAATTGACATAATCAATTGGAGCAAAATAAAATTCTCTGATTGAAAAAAAAAATCCCTGTACAGGTTGTTTATTATCGGATAATCGCCCACAGTGTTGACGATAAATGATGTGCAGACGATTATAAACAATAAACAATTATTTCAGGAAATCCTGTCTCACAAATAAAATGTACTATACTGATGCTCATATTGTTTACTATAATTGATGCTCATATTATTTACTATAACTGATGTTCATACTATTTACTATACAGATGCTCATATTGTTTTTCTGTGGTATTCTGGTTTCATACACATCCCCACGGTGTCTATCCTACCGAAGAACGGGCTAAAATCCTGACTTTAAACTGTATGACTACTGATAATCAGTTTCACGACATATTCAAGTATTTTATACATGGTCAATGCAAAGTAAGGTCATACAATATGCAAGGTATCCTACGAACAGCCTGTTGCTGATCTTTCTTGTCCTACTCTAACTGTGTCACTCAAACCAAACATGTTTTTTTTAGATTAATTTTTCTCAATTCTCGATAACAATAGCTTTACTTGGAATCAAGTAAAAAAAAAATCCCTCAATTTATAATGAATATGATAATGGAAATGTGAGTATTTCCAATAAAGCTAATGAAAAAAAAAGTATCATCCCCTTGATTATCCGACGCATAACTTATGAGTCGTGCCACGCATTTGAACATAGCCCGCGCCAAAAAATTCAATCATCATCGTGGTGTCTTTTAGCTTTCTCGGTCTTAATTCCAAGGATGGCTAGCTTTTCTCTCTCTCTCTCTCTCCTTGATAACATTTTTTTTTAGATCTTCACAAGAAAAAAGTAATAGTAAATGTAAAAATGCCTCGTTACCAAAAAAAGTTATGGATATTTTGTTGACTTAACTCGACTCAAGCAATTTTTTATTACATCTCTATCTGATTTATGTGTTAAAATAAATATGTTTACTCAGCTGCATTAAAAGATGTAGATCAACGAGTCCAGTCATCTCTTTAGGAAGTAGTATATCATCGCCAAGGGATTTTCAAGAACGTTTTTTTTTATGTACATTGATAATTATTTACCATTCTCCCTTTTATCAAAAACTGTTACAAGAAAGTTATGAGAAAAATGCATTTGGATAAACCGTCATTAACATATAATGTCGTATATCATGATGGGTTTTAAATTAGCCATTATCCATGATCCTGCTTACTAGCAGAGCATAACTGGTTTTATCAGGGATTACGGATTCATTGGTATAAAATCGTGTAAAAAAGCACTAGCGGCCATCAGTCATTTGCCAAGTTCACACAAAGTATTATTTTATGTTATCTATCATGTATTGTATATTATTGACACATCCATGTTGTTATGTAAAAATCTAGCTTTTAGTAATACATTATAAAAAACCAACCAGATATGTTTTTATGAAAAAATACATGTCTAAATCAAGTGACGGACTGATAATACTATCATCCCTGAGAAAAAAAAAATACAAATCGTGGGCATAGTTAATCATGATTTTCTGAACCTATAGTAGTATTCTAAAACGATATTTACTTAGATTGACTCACATTGACTTAAACATTTAAATTCGAATTTTATACAACCATTTCAATTGAGATTAGGTAAGGCTTAAAATAATGGTAACAAGTATCCATTAAAAGCAAGCGTTAGTAAAATGGTGCCAATTCGCGTCATTTTACTCACACGACATGTTTCAAACCGGACCAAACGATTTGATTCGGAAAAACGTTTGATGACGTACACAATCATCATGCCTGGGAGAAAAAATGGATGTATATTCTACAAGTTTGGGTTTGTAGCCATCGAGTGAGTATTGATGGCGTCGAAAAAAAAAAAGAGAGAACGTCATAATAGACAGTAATATGTACAAGATTTTATTGAAGATTAAACTAAACTTCAGATGTTTGTTGCGCTTCTTTTACAATACGCGCGGTTTCTGTAGCATTGGCCATGGCAGTGGACTGATTTTGAAGTTTCTCTGAACGAGCTTGTTCTTCCAACGCTTCCGTGTTATCCTACCGCCACTATTAACGACAGGGAGAAAAAGTCATAAAATATCTTGGCTTACCCATGCTTGTCTTTTGCTTCCTCTAGAAGGAGGTTCTTGATCACATTTTACTTTATCAATATCTATTTCATTGGAACCAACCTGTTGGTTGTATTGAATATCGTCTTCATCCGGACAATCTTCTACAGTGACGTGATATTTGCGAGTACTCATTTTAACAAAAAATAGTTTAATAAACAAGAAAGACGACGAGAGCTTTTTCTTGACGCAGTTTTTTTTATAGTGTGTGAGTCTCACCGATGTGTGTGAACCCGAAAAAAAAAAAAAGTCCCATGTCAAATATTTGCATACAGTGATAGTTAATTAAAAAAAGAAAAATTTATTGTGTAATTTTAAGATTCCAGTTGTCTTTCAAGTTTATCAAGTCGTTCTCTTAGCGTGTTTAACATGTCATGATATTCATTGGGACCGATATCGTTTTGAGATTTTACAATGGTAGGAGGACTAACTAACTTATGATGTTGCTGTTGTTGTTGCTGTTGTTGTTGCTGTTGTTGTTGCTGCTGCTGTTGCTGCTGTTGCTGTTGTTGTTGTTGCTGCTGCTGCTGCTGTTGTTGTTGTTGTTGCTGCTGTTGTTGTACAGCAGTAGCATCCACTTGTGTTTCAATATTGGATCTCCTTTCCAACACGGATATCCTATTAAATAAATTTTCCAGATTCTCATCCATACGAGCCAAGATCTCCTTTTGAGCTTCTTTGATTTGGTTCCTGACGAGGCCTTCAATGGTAGTAGAAGAAGCCTGAAGGGTTTGCATCAAGGTGGAGGATCTACGAATTTGATCATCCAGGGTGGATTTTAATGTGCGAGTGGTTTCAATTGTATCAAACAAATGTTCAAAGGGTTGCATAAATTGTTGTCTTTGTAATCCTGCGTGGGAATTCGTGGTGGGGGTTTTGGGAGGCATAGGAGCAGCGGATGCCGTAGTGGGTAAAGAATCCATGGTAACTCGACCGCTTGTGACAGGAAAACTATGACCATAGGCAGAGGATGGGTATTGAGGAGAATTCGGTGGGAAGTGATGATGCTGATGCTGCTGATGATGATGCATATTGCTGTTGCTGCTACTGGGATGGGCCGTATGAGGAGGCTGTTGTTGTGAAGGGACAATAGGTGGAATGGCAAATTCGGTCGTTGTACTGTTACCAGTGGCAGGACTACGTAAAGTAGTCTGAGATAGAGGATGCGGTTGTGATTTCGATTGTACTTGACGAAAATTGGAATTTAAGGGTGCAGATCGAATACCATTGTTATTCGTGAATTGTTCTCCATACGAAGGTGCATAAATCGTCAGGTTTCGAGTGTTTTTACCATTGGCCATGTTCTGTTTCAATCGCTTGGCCAATAAAGTGGGTGGTGCTTGTTGTGAACTAACAGTGTGAATAGGTTTAGGTAATATATTCGTCTTTTGCTTTTTGGCAGGCGGTTGTTCCTCAATGGATCTATTTTTATTACTTAGTATAGAATACACACGAAAAGAAAACATTTTTATTATACCTGCTGAGTCGTCTTGTTTGTTGGCTACCAGCGCCATGAGTCAACATTGTATCGATTGCCATTGGATCGGAAGTGGTCATCATGCGTGGAGAAACAGGTTCTGATTTGACGATGGGAATGGTTGCGGCAGAGTCCGAGAGTTCAATATCGGTGGGGACGTATTGTGTTTCGTCCTTTTTAATCTTGTTACGTTCTAAACCTGGTATATTGGATAATATGGAATCCGCTAGATTAGCAGCATAGTCACTGGGCTTTAGTTTGCACAGTTCAGCTAGTAAAAATTTGCTGTGTTTGATGGCAATAGTAGAAAGTGTGCTAGATTTCAAATAAATGTCATGGTCTTTATCTCGGTAAAAAGGTTCAGATTGAGACTCTAATTGTGCAATGGGTGAAGGCAAGTTGAAAATAGAACACACATCTGACAATTTAAACAAGAGAACCACTGTACTTTCGATACGATATACGTGAAACTCTGCTTGATTAAAATGGCCCAGCAGAAGTGATAGTATTTTCATTACAGTGCGTTATGTATATAAAAAAGAAAAGAATGAAATAGTATAAGAGAGACAGAAAAAAAAAAGGAGAGCTTTTAGTTTTTAAAAAAAAAAAATTAAATAATCCCGGAGTTACAATCGAACTTCTTCCATGACATCCTCTTCGTCTTCTTCACTGGATGAACCATCCTCAGGTAATTTACTGATGGCATTTTGTCTTTCGGCAGCAGATAGACGTTGCTTATATTCCGGCTTCAACTGATAATTACCAGCATAAGGACCTCTCTTATTCAGAATACAGATTTCAGCCAATACTTCTTTTAAATACTGGTTAGGCTGGTTTGTATGCTCCACAATACCCTTAAATGACCAATATGGGAACTTGTCGAATGCTGCAAACAACAAATCCATCAATTCGTTTCTAGGCATACGTGTTGCCTTCTCCTTATCGGTTCGTGGCTTCTTGGTTGTCTACAAACGCAACATCTTAAATTTCCCTCTCTCTTCTATAAACAATCACACACTTACAATGAAATCAGAGAAACTACTACTTGGCATACTACTGCTAGCACCAGGCACGAACACGGGTTGGTTATTTTGTCCAAGCACTTGTACAGATCTTTGTGGTGTTCCTGCATCCAAAACGCGCTTTCTCATAATACTTCTGTAAGTTTTAAATTGTGTTGGGGTGGCTGCACACTCGTGATGAACTGTACCACTGATCGCTTTACCACCGTTGGGATCCTCTGTAAAAACAAATTTGTTTTGAACTTCGCCAGGTAAGATGGATATACTATACTCTCTAGGGATATGTGCTTCCGTGTCTTCAGGTAATACCAGTGAGATCTACACATATTTCCTTTTTGTTTTTAGTCGTGTGTACATATATATATATATAATAATAGCGTGCATACAGTGGTTGTTCTACCAGGTGGTGGTCTATGAATCAAACGGTTAGTTTATTTTCTCCCCAATCTGCTTGCATCCCATTACCTGTTATAAATACGAACACTGCCCAAATTAACATTATCTTCATCGATATCTTTCCACTTGTTCGCTAAAAAGTGAGGAACCTAAATCCATTGTCAAGAAAGAGAATTTACAATTAGTTCCACTCTTTTTTACCTTTACTAGCCAAACTTTGGTGTCAGCATCGTCCAGCTTGAGATCCTCCGCATCGTCTTCATCAAGAACCTCTTCCAAGGATCCTGGGTCGTCTTCAAAGAGTGCATCGACGTCGTGGTGTTCAGACATTGGTAAATTTATATATGTATGTTAAAGAAAGAAAAAGAAAAAAAAAAAAAAGCAGAGCAAGTGACTTCAATTTGGGGAGTGAGCTCTGAGCTTCAAAACACACACTCATTCACAAAGGCCGCTTTAAATAGGTACAAGTACCACAAGCACACATCAAACAAATCTAAACGTCTATGCTATAAATCTCATCATGCTTTTCCATATTTATTAAACGAAATATCCTAATTTAAAGAAAAGGAGGGTTGTCGTGCATCTTTTTTGTTGTTGTTTTTAACCCAAAAAGTTGATGCAAAAGAGATGAAGAATGAGATTACATACGGCAAAATCAGCAAAAGCTCTGCATTATACATTTATAAAAAGAAAAGGTTAATGTTTCCAAAAAGATGAAAAGGAGGCATCGGGTATACCTTTCAGGGGATATCGTTTTGAATTCGTCCTTGTTTTCTGTGTTGGTTTGAATACGTAAATTAGCTACAAAAAAAAAAGGTGTCAATATACACATTTATATGAAAGTTTTAAAGAATTACAAGCAAGAACAAAGCTGCCCACGGTAGAGATGAAACCACCCAAGAAAGCGTTGTAAGGGAAAGTACCGACTAGAGCCATGTACACAAATTGAATAATGCCAGTAATCAGAATATACACAAGGTACACATCAATCAACTTTAAAGAAGCAGGTGTATCGTTCTTGTATCCCGTAACAAACTTTTTGCTAGCTTCTGTAAGTTGATCCATTCTATGCTGTATATGATAAATAATAAAAGAAAAAAATAAAACACGAACTTTTATTTCATATAATTTAGGGCTTCATATTTTTTTTGGCCAATCAAAACGTTACTACAAATGCATCTTTCAGACTGTCAGATTTCAAGGTGTAATATCTTTTGGAGATTGGGTCAAACAAAAAAAGTATACATGTACACGCTACAAATATATATATATATAACTCAAACCACTAGAACGCATTGCATAAATAAGGGGCCGTCATCATTACTGCCCTCGCTTGAAGCTTTTTGTGGAATGACCCTGAATTAAACTTCCGCCAGTCATCCGAGAGCCGCATAAATCATAATCGTTCGTCATTTATGTTTTAAATAAGTGGCGTAAAAAATAAGCTTATAATCATTTACCTTATTACAAGACATTTAATTAATCAATTAATCACTATCAGTCAAATATTATGTCATGAAAACCGTTAACCGGGAAACGATACAGGTGTTGAATTATGTTTTATGAAAATGATTGTTTTATTACAGAGAATGTGAACGTCAGGCACTTGCTAAAAGAAAAAATAATCACCGAGTCTTTCCATAACAAAGCTGTTACACAACATGCACATTCAAAAGTTGTCATTGGTAAGTTTTGCTTTATTGATAGAAAAACGCGGGAAAAAAAAAGTATATGAAACGCGGCACACCTTTTAAAAACACGTTTTCCACATGAAAATCAAACAGTGTATATATTTTATATATTCCGAAGAGTCAGTTTTTAATTAAGAATAAACTTATTAAGGTTGTTGAGAAGACGATGATCTTTGACTTCTGTGATGATGACTTCTTCTACCACTATCTGATCTTCGATGATGCATACCTTTTTATACAGTAGAAATGCGATTAATTTAGAATACACACATATACATATGTCAGCAAATTACCTGGAGTGGTACGAGGACCTGCTTCAACAAGGGCATTTTGTGCTTGTTCAATTAAGAATTCAGTCATTCTTCTTAGTCGGGTAAATTGCTCATCCATCTGCCAATCTTGTTCGTCCTCCTCCTTTTGTTGTAATTGAATTGGATTATGAGTATTCTTTTAGAAAAAAAAGTGAAGTAAAATTTACCTCTTGTTGTTCTAAAGATGTATTGTGTTTGTGTTCCTCACTATGGATATTAAAAAAAAAAAATGAGACATAATATCATGCGGTGATTTTTTTTTCCTTACATGGGAAGTGTCATCCGTTGTTGTTGTTGTATAAAAGAAGCGACTTGCTTAGCTTGATCCCGAACGGTGGTTTCTAGTATTTGATTGACAATTAATAGCGACTGATTTGATATTTCTAAATCAGCCATCTTTTTTATATATTTTTTTAGTTAAACATTATTACCCGATATGAATAATTACCCGAACTCTACTTTTCGATTTGTACGCGCATCCTGGTTGTCATCATCTTCTTCGTCACTAGTAGCACTGTCATCATTATCGTTACCGCTGATAACTGAGCGGCTTAATTGTTGCTGATTATGTAAATAAAGCGCCTTTTCGGACAAGATCACTGGTTTCGTATCTGTCATGCTCCGTTGTGTGTACAATAAAGTGGGTCTTTTTAAAGGTGGAGGTGGTTGTTTGGATGGGAAACTGAGCTTTCTTACTGGCTCATGTCGGATAAATGAAATGCCACCACCAGCATGATCAGAAGGTCGAATGATATGAATGGCCTTGGGATTCATTGGGAAGAGAGAGAGAGAAAAAAGGGTGGAAATTTTCGATTTCGAATTACCTTAATTTAACATCGTTGTACCACGTGATATTCCCTCATCGGTCGAAACAAGGCAATATGCATCACTTTTTTCTATTTTCAATATAATCCCTTTTTCTCTTTCTCTCCTCTCCATCTCTCTCTCTCTCTCTCTTTCAAATATTGTTATTTTTTTTTTATATAAAAAAACACTTGAATTATGGATGTGTATGATACAACAACAACCGATGATGGATACTCCACCTGCGATAGCATTATTACGCGTAAATAATCAACACACAACAACAAGATAGGACCCATCATCCCTAACATTTTTTTTTAATAATAGGCGTAGTGACGGATTTATTTTCATACGATGATATCAAGAGAAAAAGAATATTAGACCATTATTATCTGCCCAACTCGACATTTGTATCTCCGATCTTGCGAACTTCAGGAGTTCACAACATCAAACAGTAAGTTGTAGTTAGTCCCCAACAGCCTTTATAGTGAAAGACTCATTTCTCCTACAAAAATAGTACGCTGCTAGTGTGGAAGACATTAAATAAAGAAGCACCCACAATAAACAACATTTGCTTTAATGGAAAAACATGTGTCGTCTTTTTAACACAAACATTATGTCCAAGAATGTTTCCTTGGATACAAATAGCATTACCTGTTACTGTGGTACTCGAATTCAAAGAAACAGATAAAGACAGTGGTTTACTAAAGATTGAAACTCATGAAGAGCACTGGACCATAGAAGGTATACTATAGCTGCATTTCAGGATAGATCATGAGAAAGAACTAATAAACAGTAAAAAAAAGGCATATTAAAGGCAATCCCATTTGTATCGTTTTGGTATGATCATGTGGTACGAACCATGATAGGCAAATTATTAGCTGCCACTGGAGAGGCAGTTTATACTGCAACAGAAACTGCAAGTTTACTCGTTTCAAGAAGTCGAGAAATTGAAGAAGCAAGAAGAAAACTCGAATCTTCCTCCTCTTCGTCATCCGCATGCAAATATGATGTCAGTGATAAGAGCGACGTCCAAGTCATGATGCTAAGAATTAAAAATTCGTATTCAACTGACGACGACGATGATGATGATGATAATGATGACTGACAAAAAGGGCATGATTCCCAAAATAATGGGGGTGTCTGAAGGGAGAAAGAAGAAGAAATTACCTTATTGTTTATATCCCCCCACCCACCCAATTCATATTTTAATTTTCCTCTCTCTTTTTTTTTCTTTCTTCCTTCTTTTTCTTTTTAAAAAAAAATAACTCTCCCATTAGATATGAGTGAAGAATAGTAAATATAGAAAAAATAAAT